ACCATCATCTCTATTACTGTTATTCTTATGACGATGAATTTCTGGTCATCTTCTGATAGTAGTGGCTATCTCCTGGCAATTATCTACGTCTTATCGAAAGCTATATTGTGGTGTCGTTTCTTGTGGTAATGTTCTGTGATTGCCCCCTTTTCCTAATTTGATGTCCCCTTACATGTCTCTATACTTGCACGACAATCTATAGACACCTAAGTTTCTGGTTTGCTATATGCAAGGGCTTCCGTATTTTGCAAACTTGGAACAGTCTACAATATGCGGAACACCTTGCCAATAGCAAAGAACAAACTTTAACTAATTCGATGACACGTTAATGTAATTCGTTGGCTAATTTGTTGTAAAGACCACCGTCTGCATACACGCTGTGTGGATCGAACAACTCAGCAGTTATGTTGCTGGTCCCAAACCCCATAAGACCCGGGAGGTTTCACTGGCTAGTAATCTACGTATATTACGCTAGATACGGTGAAAAAAAGAGATACTGGAAGAACTACCTGATAGGATATGGATATATTATGGCATTGAATAGGCACCTGATAGATATCTGCGTCATATCAGCGACAAAATATAACAATTATGTATTAATGTACAGCAGAAGATCGAAAAACGCAATCTAATATGAAAAAGCTTGAATTCAACCTAGACAGCATGGAATACGTGAACGACCGACTACTACACGTAGCACTCAGGTTTAGGACCAGAAGATGAACATACATTTCATTTTATTAGTGTATAAGCATATTGAACATCAGGAATTAGACAGGTTTAAACTTTAAGGGCCTTATAAGAGCTGCGGCAGATCGAGAGACCTTTGCGGACGTCATCGCTAACCTTCGATAGCGGAGAATGCACAAATAGATGGCACAAATAAGCGCCGGACATCAACAAACCAAAGGAGGAAATAGAATACTTTTACAACCAGCTCCAAGACCTAATAGAAATCATCTCGACACATCACCAACTCGTGCTGATGGGGAATTGCAAATCCATATCAACATAAATCCACCTTCTCAAATAGCAGGAGCCAAGAAACCACTATTGACTATTTAATAAAAAACTCACCCATTGCGAATACTCGATGTCAGAGCATTGTCATTAATGTCTATTAATGACAACGCTAGAATAGGAATAGGAAGTGATCAAACAATGATACTGAGGATGTTACGCATAACATTACAAAAGCTCTGTGTAATGCTATGTGTGAAAGAAAATAAAACAATTAAGGTATGTACTTTGTGTGATGTTGCTCTTCATAACAAATGTTTTGTAGACTTTAAAAATCATAATTTTGTGTATTAGTATCGTCCCATAAATACTTAGAATTACCCGATGATTACAAGATAAGAAGATGAATTTTTTAGTATCATTCGCTTATATGACTTAACTGGAAATACAATCATTTATGAGATTCTGGGTATCAAGAGGCTTCAAGGAAGAGTGTGTAATATCTTGATTTTTTTATGAATATCCTTCCTAATTTAAATAGACTTGGTTTTTTCAAAAATCCTTGAAGATTTGCGATAATTGTATAATATGTCACTTATTAAATGATAAATTATAGTATATGACACTTTTTAAAACATCACGCCGCAATACCCCCTTAAGGCATGAGATGGTTATCTCTATGAAGATGTCTCAATCATCGCATCAACTAAAAGATATCACTTATAATAGACAAGTGCGATAATATAGAGACTGTGTGAAATCCGTACATAATTAATTGTATAACTAATAATTAACGTCTATTAGATATAGCCAAAACTTAATGCCAATGGGTGGGTTGAATAAAACAGTAGTAAATGCTAATGCTACAATACTGAAGTAAATTCTATGATTGTGAAGCAGGTTCTACTAATTGCAGTAAATACTTCGATGTTTCCCAGTAGTTACTTTATCATGCTACAAAGTAGTACTACTAGCATGTACGTATGTTAGCGAAGCTTATAAAAGGCCAGCTTCGTTAATCTTGCTACGATGCTACATTATTAAACATAGCGGAAGGCCTAAGAAATAGAAAACATTACCTGCCTCACGGACAGTAGAATGCGACGAGTTGTACCGAAAATTATTTAGGTAACTATATATAATGCGTAAGGATATAATTCGTGTTATAGGACTTTGATTCTTCTATTAGATTTAACAGAGGAAACGTTGTGTAGCTAGCTAACCATTTTATACCAGGGGACACCGATAGCAGAGGTGGCGGATTATCAAAGATCCAACAGATGGAAGTGTACCCAAGAAGTCCACCTACCTGAGAAATGTTTGGATAAAATATCCTGCTACTCGTGAAGAATTAAACAGAGCTGCTGAAGAATGTAATAATATACCCAATGTTATTGGAGTAATTGACTGCACCCATTTAAAGATTTTAAAACCAGTAACTCACGAGATTTTTTTTTCTTTAAACATAGTATTCGTTGCACAAATAACTACGAACCTCACGCGTACGTAACCTATACAAAACAAATGAGTAAACGATGGTGAGACGTAAACCAACGTGAACTAACACGTTGTTGCACTTTTGGAGTGCGTACTACACTTTAAAAATATTTACTTCCTACTAGAAGTATATACTTTAAATCGCATAGTTCGTACTACATATGTGAGTAAATTCTACCGAAACTGAAGGCGTACTACATCCGAAAGTATTTGCTATGCAGTAAATTCTTTTTCCTCAAGCATTAACATGTACTACTTTTTTATTCAACCCACCCATTGTCTTGTAGTGCTTCGTTGACAAGCAGCCTCATCTACCATCTCTTCTTCATTGATGATATACACATCTTTTTGAGTAAGTGATTGAATAAGTAACTCATTGTCGGTATCTTCTGGAAGTAATCAGTGTTGAATCTATAATCTCTCCTCATGGAAGATTAATCTTCGTGATGATAGTTAGTTTGATAAATAACACAATTCTGCAAGGTTTTAGTGTCAGCTGAGTCATTTCCGAAGTCATTTTCTGCGTAGAATCATAATCTGAGCTCAGAATGGATCACATCCGGATTTTGAGATATCTGAGGTTATGCAGAAGAAAAACGGCTTTTTTTTGCTACTTTTGAGGGTATGTACGGGACACACAATATTTTTTGCTCTATTCTATCTATTAGATTGTTCAGTACTATCCTTGCCCTTCAAAATGCGCTTAACGGTGCTGTACTATTTTTCCCTCATAAGTTGTGACCCTTGAGGTTGAACGCGGTATGAATATGAAAGGTTGCGTGGCGTTTCTTTAATTTTTTTGCTGATTCTGTATGATCAGGCTGCACTAAATGATTTGGTCAGGGATTTAAGTCTACCTAAAGATAAATCTGAACTGCTAGGTCTTCTTGCTCCTGGAACTACCTTCCCTTGGTACAGACATCGAGAGAAGACATTTATTGATTCTTCTCTAAAGATGGTGCTATGTTATTGTATTTTTTTTTCAAAGCCAGGTCTTCTTTGTGGTCCGCATCAGCTTTTGATTCGAATTACTCAATTCACATTGCACTTAGCTGCAACATTAAAATCATCCAATAAAAAATCGACCACACTCCAACAATAAAGTGGCTTTAGAGCTCAGTATCTCAATATCAAGAGGTGATAACTCAAATCATTCTGATATTAAGGAGCTTTATCTATACACTAACTTACAAATTTCAGCAAACTCAGTTTCAACGTTGCATAAAAAGCGATTTTCCGCGAACAACGCATCTTTTTCATGAATTAATGCTTCTTCGTCTAAAGTAGTGATTACATCGCTGTGATAGAACATGATAAAATTGTCATGCTTAAACTTGTCCAGTGAAGTGTATGAAGAAATAAGTCCTATATTTAATACACGTGTAATAGTTAACAAGCGATTAATATTTATTGTGAAATCTCTTTAAATACTATTCAATACCATTTTATCAGTAAAATCTATTGTGTAAATATTATTACATTTAATTCAAAGTAATTCGCACGTTTTCGATGTCTCATATAATCATTTTATTTATGCCATAACTAATACATTTGAAAACAACAAAAACCAGTTGATAATCGACATCAATGCTTCCAACATGAAATCGACTTTAAAATTTTTCACGACTACTCACGAGATCATCGCTTATATCGCCGTTTAAATGCCAACAACGACCGGCTTATACGACTATTATGCAGATTGTTATTGGTTTTTTAGCTCTTCGGGCGAATGGAAAGCCTTGAATCGTCAAATAGTTTTAATGTCACGATTAGATTTTCTTTTCATGATAAAAAATTGTTTTAGAAAGTAGTTAGTAATTTTATTTCGAAATTCACGATTTTGAAAGGGTTAGTGTACAGAGATTGCTATTTAAATAAATATGGGGCTAAAAACCCTGTTGCTCCCTTACAGAGATATGCAACACGTAGGCAACAGATGATGCCGGAACTTTCTCGCGCGAGTTCGTATGCAGAGATGTCCAAACTCTATCCATATCATTTAATTAGTTATCTACAAATTAATTTCCAGAAAAATGGTATTTACTTGCAGAAATAATACATGATTAGTTAATTTGTTTTCTTTCTTCAAGATCGAAATTTAATTTTAAAGATTGCTGATTGCTTGAGGGTGTATCTATAATTTCCTGGGAAACCCTTTTAAGGTAAACGCCTTAAAAATGGAAAAAATTGTAGATGGGTGTGTAGTTGCATGTTTTGTTCGGATTATATTTTCTTCTAATAATAATGCTCTAATTGGATCGATAAGATTAATTAGGCGTTGTGACCACAACATATACGTTAACACACCGACTTCCTTTAGAGGGTTATTAGCACGACAAGGAAGATAATTTGTTTATCCTTTACCAAGGTTTGTTTACTACCGCACGCGGTGTTCCCCGCATTTACAATACCAAAACTATTTCGCTCGCTCGCGCTTATATTTTATATCACATCAAAGTTGTTGCGGTTAAAAACAAAAAAATTTTATCTTAAACTTTTTGTGTAAACTAAAAATACTTAATTGATTATTAAAATAATAATACCTCATCCCACTTGATGAACTTCTCGCCCTTTTGCAGGGCTTCTGGTACCTCGATCGGCTTGAGAGAGACGGCATTCTTCACGGCCGAGGAGGTGGTACCTCTAGAACCACTCATTATCGCCCCCTCAGTTGGTGATTTCCGAGGTCGCACTGGCTTACACTGACATTGTCAAAGACGTCGCGACGCCCGTTTTCACTGAATCCCCGCAATGGTTTTTACCGCGAGCGACTCGACGAAACCATTTTGCTGGCGACACAGACTGCTTACCGACTGAGGTCTGAGCTCCGGAGCCGAGTTCTGCTACGCTAAATAACCGGCGCACCGCACAGAGGGCACCACAGTATTTCGACCGAGAATTCATTCCTAGAAAAAAAATTACGCGATGACGTTAATGGGGGGTGGTCATGAATAATTTGTTGGAAAAGTTTGAAAAATTCCTATTTATTACGTTAACAACAAGATAACGAATAAATACGTTCTAAGAAACTAATAAAAAATTAAATTACTCCCATTGATTGGCCTAAATCGTCTTCTAAAATTTTTTTATCCCGAATTTTTAATTGGAGCAATAAACATTGAAGCACCCCAATTCGAACATCCATTTCCATTATTTCCGATTTAATTTTTGTAATCGCTCTTTTAATGTTCACTAATGGGGCTAAAATAAATTAATTTTTAATTTTTACAATCAATACATAAACTTCAAAGCTTACTTCCATCTGTCATAGAACTACCTCTATCTTCCATTTCCTGTTTTACAGTCTCCAATCTATCAGTTAATTGTGCCAATTCTCTAGTTCTCTCTGTAACGCCGCCACTTAAACTCCGATAAGTATCCTTTGTTTTCGACAGTTGATCTTGCAAGTTTCTGTATTCCTCGAGCACCCCTTCAAGTTCCCTATTTAAATATTTTTCGCGATTTGAGATTTTTTCAAGCGTTGTTACAACGTCTTTTTGTACTTTTTCCAAATGGTGCTTTGTTGTGGTAAGATTTTGGTTAATAGTGTTTCTGTATTGTTTCATTTGTTCTAAATTGCTCCTCCAATCTCTGTTATCATTACGAATTGTAATTCTTAACCGGGGTAAAACCCTTTCAATCTCTAAATTCCAATTTTCTTGATCGATATTTATCGATTCAATTTGTCTTGGAGTACTTTTATTTTGTTGGGTTGCGTTTAAGTTAAACACATTGTCATCATCAGATTCATCAGAGTAATAAGCCAACATTTCTTCTTCAACTTTATCTAAAACTATTTCAGATTCATCTGTTATTATTTCAGATTCTTCTTGAGGATCAGGTTCGATGATAGGTTTATCAAATGTAAAGTTTGTGTAATTTAAGGCTTTATCAGCTAAATTATTTAAAATATATGTAACATATTCTCCTACTCCTTGTTTAAGTTTATTAGGGGGAAAATCAACGGAAATATTCTAAAAGAATTAATTATTAATCTTAGAAATTAATTTATGGGGAGTATTAATTAAACCTCTTCGCGGACAGCATCTAAAATATTAGCTATTGTGGTGTTCGGATCATCGTATTCTTGAGGTTGATCAAATTTTTTACCACATTTTCGTATTAACCAAGCTGTTAAAGCCGAAAACATATAAAATTGTTCCCCTGGGTTTTTAGGTATCATGAAATAATATCTAAAATTGTATAATTATTATGTAATATTAACTTTTTACCGTTTTGTACCTGTGAATACGTTTCATTTTAAGATCTGTGGTGAATTCTTCATCGAAATTCAATATTTTTAATTTTTCGATTAAATTTTCCATCAAAACAAACGGGGCGAAGGAGTTTTCTTGGTCACCATCGCTGAGTATTTTCGGTTCTGTTCTTAACATATTTTATTACTTACAAAGAAAATGAGAAAAAGTCGTTTAATTTATTAATTTAATTGATGAAACTTTGTTTGTATTCATTTGACAGTTGCGTAGTGATTGAAGTTTGCGTTAATAGATGGCGCGTTAAAATTGATTTCTGTTTTGTATTTAATTAATTTATAATAAATTATCCTTTATAAAATTATCGTATTAATTTAATAAATTAAAAGTTATTTTAGATGGTTTTAACGTATTTCGTGTACAGGAAAATTTATTATCCACCAATTCAAGTGAGGATTTGACATTTAGGTAGATGTCGCTAGTAGTTGAATCAGCTGATTGAGAAAATTGATTTTCCAAAAGCTGTCAACGACGGTTTGGAAAACGGGGGTGTAAAAATTTGCCCCGTTTTTTTTTAACAATGTGAACGAAATCGCTCCGCATCAAGATGAACCAACTGACGGGTTGTGCCAAATTCATGTTTTTCTGGTCAATGGCTATCGCGAGCGCAGTTTGTGTCGCGAAATTCGGCTCCTTTACGGCATGGGCACAACTGATGAACAGCGAAAACGAAGTCGACTTGTGGTTGGAAGAGAACAACCTCGCCAATTATAAACAATTGTTCAAGGATAAAGGTACGTTTTTCAGACGCGATAACGTGTATCACGTGATTTGGCGACGACGTCACCGCCACTGCCCTCTCGCCGGGTACCTTGATTTGTGTATTCGTGTAAAATTCATGAATAACAAATTAGACTTTGACCGCGAATACAGAACGTGCCTTTGAATATTCATATTGCATGCTGCATTACTGAAAACTAAAGTTTCTTAGCGGTAAAATTACGATTAAGATACTGTTTGAATTATTTAATTGTTTATGCATACTTTTTTGACGTTTAAAATGACATTTAAAATGACGTTTAAAACGTCAAAATTTTTTTTGTAGTTTTTATTGATTTTTAAATGATCCTCAACGATAATGGTTCATCATCGACCAGATGGTCGATTCTTCCATCCGTTCCGTTAAATTGAGGGATTTTTGGCAAAGAGGGTCGCATGCGCGAAAGCCTAACCCTCCAGCAATCAACTTTTTTCTGGGTATAGCTTTTAATTCCAGCCCTATTTCAACGATAAGAACAAAAAATCTTTTACTGATCTAGGGTAGTCATCAGACTACAAAATGTTTCATTTCCAGTTAATAATTAAAAAGGTTTTTTGTATTTTTTTAATGGTTTATGTTATATTGATATTGAATAATGGATATTATAAAGTGTTGTCGTCACCTCCATTGGGTTTTTGTTGTAAAACGGTTTCCCCGGCAACGGTCTGCTTTGTACCTGGTATGGAAGCGTTAAAGCAGTCGTTGGCTGACCGTCGGCGGGTACGGTTCGCGTCCTGAAGAGGTCGTGCGACGGCGCGATGTCCCACAATACGTGGCCCTCCTAGGAGCACATCCCTCGGACTTCCAAACTCTCCCCCCCCCATTAAAAGTCCGTCCTGAAATCACCCAGAAAATAGAAAAAAATCTTTTTCCTCCCGAACCATTCCACGTTCCATTACGTCCCCACAAATGTGGGCCGAAGATGTCGAGATCTGCTCCATAGGCATGACCATGCAGCCCTCCTCCAGTGCCTCCTCTGGTAAGAATCTCCAGGAAAAGTGCGATAAATCGCCCCCAGTTTCTCATTTACATAATCTTGTTCCGGGGACGTCCCCAGAATATTAACGCGCGCGGAACTCGTTTATTTTTCGGCGACAATTCAATCTTAAATTTCACTCCTAAGAGTTTTCTCGTTTTCATTGTTTCCTTTTATATCATTTTCATTATAACGTAAAGATTTATTATGAAATCCCATATTTTGTAGTTTAGTTGACAGCTTTTGTTTCCTGTTAACAACGCTAATGACTTTCAAACAATGTTTGGTTGGTTGATTAATAAGCTTCCTCTTATGCACGATCCATCATATTAGTCGGATAAAGGATCGATTCAGAATTAATGATAATTTCATAAATTTATTTTAACAAAATGAACACAAATCTAATCATTTGACAGTTACACAACCAACCAAATCATGCGGAAATTCGAAGATGTCAACGTCAGAGACATAATTGCAGCGTCTCGGCCACAAGTGACCTTTTTGATGTACATAAAACATCGTGACCTTTATATACAAATATCTATTGTATACTAAAACGGCGAAGATATATTTTTGCTTGTCACGAGAGATTTTAGATAACTAAAATCGAAACTATTAAGGATTAAACGCGAAATTGAAAATTAACTTCTGATTTCGTGAAAATCCAAGAAATCGATATACTTGATAATTCCTCATATCATCAGGAAATGCTTGATAATTTTCTGGAAGTTTTGGGACTTACATCACATTTCTCAAAGTCATCTAAAAATACATCCAAGAATTTTTAGATGATCTTGAGAAATGTGATGTAAGTCCCAAAACCTTCTAGGAGTCTCAAAAGCTCAAAAAGTCTTTGAAAATACATAAGAAGTGCTGCAAAATCTAAAACATACTTTAAAATACATAATCCACATACTCTAATAAATCGCTAAAACTTTCGCAAAGTCTTTAAAAGTCTTAGATTTATTTGAACACCCTCAAAAAGTTTTAGAAATTCATGAAATTAGTCTGAAAACTTCTTTGGAATCTAGTTGGAAAGTACCTGTAATGGTTTCAACGCTTTAAAACTTGAAATTTTGCTGTTGAAGACAAAGCTCAAGATCACGGAAAAAGTTCGAAGAGGAAGAATTGGAAACAATATTGGACGAAGATGACATCTAGATGTAAGGGAAGTTAGTCGATAAGCTGAATATTACTCAAAAAGTTATTTTATGCCGTTTACATTAAATGGAGAAGATCTAGAAAAATGGAATATGGGTTCTATATCAACTGAAGAAACGAACACAATATGCGAAAATTTGTTGGGAAGAGAGAAAAAGAAGACTTTTGCATTGCTTTGTGACCACGATAACCAACAAAATCGACCGGAAAGCCAAACAATTCATGGATAGAAAGTTTTATAGTACGTTTGAAATTATTAAAACTCCTTTGGAATCTTGGGATATACCAGAACAGTTCAACGTTTCAAATCTGGAGATTTTGGTGTCGAAGATAAAGCTCATGGAAGATCACACAAAATGTTCGAAAAGAAAGAATGGCAAACAATATTGATAAGCTGAACGTAAGTCAAAAAGCTGGTTTGCATCAAATGGAGAAGACCCAGAAAAAAGGAATAGGAATTTCGTTGGAATGACAGAAAAAGGAAACTTTTTGCATTGCATAGTGACCACGACAAAAAAATTGACCGCAAAGACGAATTCATGGAAAGATGGTTTTGTTATGCATTTAGAAATCATTAAAACTGCTTTGGATCCTTGAATTTTGTCTTCTAGAAATCCAGAAACTCTTTAATATCTTTGGAAATTCTTAAAAATCTTGAATTTCTTTGAAAATAGTCTAGAAAATCTTGGAATTAGTTTGGTTCTCTTTAAAATCGAAATACAACCCAAATAAACCTCACAAACCATTAGGAATCATAAGCAATTCTTGTGAATGATCTAAATATCTTCTGGATTTTTTTGGAAATATTAAGGATATCAAAATTAATCTCCAAAATCTTTAAAAATCATTAAATCCTTTGGAATCCTCAAATATACCAGTTTTTACTTATGAATAGCTCAGAAAGAATTTTTCATCGGCGAAGGAGACATGGCAAGTTAGTATTTATGGAAGAAACGATTGGCAAAATAGTGTGTGTTAATATTATATAAGAAAATATGTAAGAGGGCATACAAAAGGTTAATCTTGGGGACACCTTCTATTTCCATTATGGCAATGATCTATGTGGATCATAAATCTCATTCGTCCACAATCTCTAGACTTGACCCTATTGAGTATCTTGGTACCCAGCATAATCTAGCAAAAAGATGTTCTACAAGAATTTCAAAAAATATATAGATATTAATTAATGCCTGTCTAATTGTATCTACTAATATTTACTAATAATAAAATAAATATTACTGCTAATAAGAATATCTGTTATTTGTATTACCTTTAACAATCTCATCCTTCAAAGATTTTAAAAAGCAGATTGACAGTAGCAATTTGTGTTGCCCACTATTCTGTGTCCTGGATCTAATCTTCTTCTATTCCATAAACCCGCAGTTGTTGGTTTTTCCATCATGTTTTTAAAATCATTCACTAGAAAAACAGAGAATTTTAATAAATCTCCTTTTCGTTTTAAATTCTGTAAAAATGACTCAGTGATGATCACAATATCAATAGTTGATTGTATAATCAATTTTTGATTAACTTTTTTAAAATAAAACGATAAAACTTAGAATAAAATATTTATAAATATGTGAGTTATATTTTAGTGATTTATGGAAATTTTATTTATTTACGGTTGGTATTGATTACAATTTTTAGACAGTTCCGATACTTTCCTGTCATTGTGTTTTTAATCGATGTCTTTTTTAGAAGTGGATTTGAAGGGGTTTGTAAAGTTGACTAACATCGAGGAATGAAAAAAATGTTGGTGATTTTCTTTTTCAAAAAAATGTATGTTATTCAGATCATGCAGAATACAAAACATGTCGGCAGAAAAGAAAATTAAACGGTGAATTATTTAAACCTAAACTCAAGCACTGCGCTCGCTGTTGTTGGAATGTAATTTTTTCGTGTCCACTTTGCGAGCTTATAAATCACATCTATGTGCAACCACCGAGTTACTTTTTTCTCTGTTACAATATGATTTTTCCCGCAACTTTTATGTTATTAATTATTTTAAAATATGCGTTCTAAAAAAAAGTTGTTCTACTCCCATTTTACCAACGTAGGAGTTATTTGTGGGAAACCCTTCAGTAGTTCTGAGAGCTTCGTTCAAAGCCACTAAGTTTAAGTTCATTTGTGTGGAGTGGAGTGACTTTGAGAATACTTGAAACGTACGTGTTAGGATTGCCAATTTGTGAAACACCCATAACAAAAAATTACGTGTACTATATATAATATATAACAATATAACGTTGTCCCTTTTTATCTAATTTAACTGCAATGTTTGTGTATGAAAATCTGTATATGCACACATTCCTCTCGATAACATAAAGAGAGTTATTCAACCCAGTTGGCCCAGTGCCTGAAACGATATCCTCTAGCCTTGAAATTCTAAACCATCTAAACTGCAGCACCGTTTATCTTAAAAATAAAAATAATATGCTAATTAACCGGAAAAGTTTTTCCTCGTCCGGAAAAGGGGTTTATCCGATTAAAATTTAGACTATTAAATCTCGCTGCGGGGGATCTAAAAGTATTAAACGTCGCAAACGTTTGCGTTTCAGATGAATGCGTTCGCGGGCATGTTAATAATTCCGCAAACACGAATTTAATTAGCGAGTCCGAGGATTTTGGAAGAGTAATTCCAACGGCAAGAAATTTGTCACGACGTATATCCAACTTAATCCGACCCTGGATTATGAAACGAGATTCTGAATCTGGGTACAAGATCTTTTTTAAATGCGTCCAAAATAATGCAAATACGAAATTAACGATGGTGATCGTAAATTTTAATCGAATTTAGTAACGTCCGCAGGGGCGCCTTCCAAAACAATCAATTGTAACATGCCTGTTAGTTTGCACATCTCGTTATGTTAATTAAAATTGTTCAAGTACATGCAACTATCGGTCACCTTGGGGACAAATTTATTCCAAACAGGTATAACTGCACGAGATGTATTTTTAGATCGTTTGTGAGTTAAAACTTTTGAACTAAAAAATTAAATCGACCATAAAATAATCTTTCTTTGTGATATAAAAAAATCATAATCTTTATATTTCGCATCAAAAATAGATTTGCAACCGACTCTGCTGGTACCTTATGTTTTATGTATAAACATTCCGACTTTTATGATGCAAATGCAGCGGCACCGTTGAATACGCTATCGACCCTGCGGCCAAATCTTGTATTCTGCGGTAGTTCTTCTCCACCATCACGATTAAAATTGAATTTATCGTTATGTCACGATAAATAATACAAAAATTTTTATAGGAATATCCCAGTTAGCGCAATGTGGTCAACTAGGAGACCTTCCAGAACTCCCAGCCCCGGACGAACAACGACTTCAAAAAGCGGCGGCACTTCTTCAACAACGATTAGTTTTTCGTCAGTGGTTGTCCAAAAACAATCTTCAACATCATTATCCGAGGCTGTTAAGTTTAGAAGTCGCCAGTTTGGAGGATGTTTATTGGTTCGAAGATAACAAAGCGCGAGTTGCTCTTCAAAAAGACTTTACGCAATGGTCTGGAGCTCGGCAATCTTTACCCATCGATAAGCAACGTTTAGAAGCTTTGAAAGCTGATCTTTGGAGTGAAGTGGTTAAATCGAGTAATCATCAAGACGCATGGACATGGGGTTTGTAAAAATAATTAAATAATAAAATAATTCTTTTGTTATTAAAAAATAAAATTAGGTGGAATGCTCGTGGTGTCCGTTTCGGTCGCTGGGTTGGTTACTTTAGCAGCGATGACCCAACCTTCATTAGCACCGGAAGCAAAACATTCCCTACTTCAATACGTCACCGGAAAATATCTCCTTCCTTCAAATTGTAAAGTGGTTTTTCATTGGAACGATCCTTGTCCTGTGGGACACACCGTTTCTTTTACCGTACATTTCTACCAGCGCAACGGACAGCCTTATCCCATCTGTGATACCGATCGGCTGCTGGTAGATGTTTCAGAAGGAACCAGAAAGGTAAAAAAATCTTAAATTTCCGTTGAAAAACATCCGGTATTGTAAAAGTTTTCAGACTATCGAACGGGATGTTCGAGATATAGCAGGCGGCTTTTGTGACCTTTGCAACAGCCGTTGCCAACTTTTAAGATTTGTATTCCCCGGCTGAAGCCAATTTCGTCTCATCTCAAATTAGGGAAAATGTTATGCTGTCAGCAACTAAATATTATAAATATATATTTCATTTTTGTTGAGCCAACCCAACCGGTTTCATCCTATTTAATCATCATCAGCTAAAATGATCTAAAATCTTGTTTTGAAGTATATGAGAGTGATGTTTAAGTTTACAAAATATTTATTAGAATCGTTCGTTTAAAAAATAAATTTTCTCAAGGCAAAATAATAAACAAACGCGCTGCTCTTACTTCCCCAGTCATTGCCGCGTACACAACACACAAATCGAGTGCATGCGACGACGACAAAAGTCCTCCAACGCGTACGGCAACACAATCGCAGTTTCCGTCCTATTGAACGCAACGGTGTGTGTTATGTGCATTTATCTTTTATTAATCTGGATTCACTACAATTCAACGATTAAACGCCGCCGAGAAAATATTTAAATAAAAAAAAATGTTCAAACCAACCGGGTTCGTATTTAAAAATATTCTCTTTGTTTCTTTGAAAGTGAAATATGCCACCTTAACGCGTGAAACATATTTTGAATAAATAAGTATTTGAATAATACTTTCGTCACGCTTACGTAGTTTGCGTGCACCGTTTTCCTAATACAAATAACCGATAATTGATCGATTAATTACAATAAAAAAATACAAATAAAATTAAGTATTAAATAAATTTGTTTTAGATGGCTATTATAACGGAATTGGGATCACCGACAGATCCAAATAGCGCAAATCAAGCAAGAATAAAATTTACAGTTCGACAGGCTGGACAATACTGTGTAACTGTGATGGTTGGAAGTCAACACGTTGCAGGAAGCCCTTTTCATAGATCCTTTACACCGGGTCAAACAGATCCCCAAAGAACCGTCGTCATCAGATATTGCAGTACGATCGTTTGTACGGCAAATATCGGCCACGTTTTATATGTCGAACCTCGAGACGAGTACAGCAATTTATGCACTTTCGGCCCTAAAGATGATCCAACACAGGTTTTTTTATTTAAAACCTCATTGTATCCCATCTTTGATTTGTCTTTGTCGTTTAGGGCTACGAAGTTATAATAAATCAATTAGGTTACGCTAACGAAGATGAAAGATCTGATATTTTAGGAGCAAACTACTCGGTTTTAATTGATTACGATTGGATTACACAGAGAGTTACTGTCCAATTTAAGTTTTTGAATGAGGGATGTTTCCATGCTACCATAAGATATAATGGTTCAGAGTTAAATAATGGGGATTTTGATATTATTGTACTTAACAGTGAGTTTTTTTATTAATAGTTTAAATTTCGTTGTAACAATACAACCCTCAACTTCATCCCCACCATTTAATAACATTACATTATATCACTAATAATAACTATAAGTGCAAATTTTAATTCTATATATGTCTTAAGATCGTCTCAGGCATTTCTAGACTGTAAAATCCCTGTACATAATTTTTGACATTCCCCAAAACAGCTCCTGTCTCTTACAAGATCATATTTGTTATTTATCAACATCGTCTTTGATATCGCTAAACTTCATCCCTGATATCTCTCAACATCTTTCCTAATATCCTCCAACATTCTTTATGGCATCACTATACATTGTCCCTGATATGTCTCAATGTATTATGTGGCATCTCTTAATAATGCTTTGGTCACCTTAAAGTGTTGAAGCATCATTTATTAAAATTAGCCTTGGTATCTCATCCTCTTTAATATTTTCCAACATCATCCCTAGTTTTCCTAAACTACTCTTAACATCGACCATGACAATGTTCAGGATTTCCTCAAAATCTTTATTATCATTTATAAATATCATTCTTGATATCATGAAACATCATCCTCCATATCATTGCCTGATGTTCCTCAACTTCATCATTATCCCTATTATCTCCCAACATCATCTGGTCTTCTTCTATTGTCTATTGCTGTCTCAACATTGCCCTGTAATATCACTGTCCTGAGTTTTGTTAAAATCATGATCATCTATCAACATAGTCCCTGCTATCGGTAAATATTATACCTGCTATCTTTCAACAATTTTGTTGGCTTTCCTCAACATCATCCCTGATACCTCTCAAAATCGTCTGTGATAGCGCTTAACATTTTTGCCCATCAACATCGTCCATCAGCATCCATCATACATGACAACGCAATCCTTAATAACTCTGAAAATCTTCTGACACCGTTTAAAATCTTTGTCCATCTCCCACAACATCGTCCAATGTCATCCCTCAATATTATCACTGACGTCTAACAGTATAATCCCTGACATCTCTAATATCATAACTGCTTTCTCTCAAAGTAGATATCTGATATCGTTTAACATGTTTGGCCATCTCCCACAACATCGCTCAATGTCATCCCTCAATATTATCCCTAACATCTAACAATATAATCCCGACATCTCTTACATTATACTGCTTTCTCTCAAAATAGATCTCTGATATCGTTTAACATCTTTCGCCATCTCGCTCAACATCGTACAACAACATCTGACAACGTAATTCTTGATAACTCTCAAAATAAATCTCAGATATCGTTCAAAATCTTTGTCTATCTTCCTCAATATTACGTTTTTGATATTGTTTCCAGTACCTTCAAGGTCACTGATTACAAATACGTACGTAGTTTTGCCGGATCAAGTTAACTGTTTGAAATATCTTATTTATATAGAGCCTTGGGTGGAGATGCAGGTCGTTTGTCTTCCTGGATTAGTCCGGAAAATATGTATAATAGGCATCTACTCGCTGTCGGCTGGGAGCTCTATCAACGATCACAACCTTTCTGAAGATTCAATCCTGTTTAAATTTGTTCCCAACACTTCTTCATTCCTGCTTATTTCTTAACTGGGATGGTCTAGACTACCGCGTTATGAGCCTCAACCCAGATTTTCCAGGGATTTAAGAGACACAATCGGCACCGTTCACTCAGCCATTTGTAAGGAGTTATTCATTATTTCCAGACATACGTGTGAATTGAATCTGCTTACACACCCTAGACTTGTATAGGAGTTCCAAGGCTGAAATAACCTCCATTTGTGGAAACGTAAGATCTTCCGTACTGAGCTGTTTGGCGGGATAATCCAGAAAAATGAATCCAAACAAATCCCATCGAAGTGAATTTTTGAATTTTCTAAGACTTGTTTAAAAATTGATACGCTAGGCACTCCGCTTCCTAAGGGCTTGCATGACATCCCTCAATATAATGACATCTAACAATATAATCCCTGATATCTCCAACATAATATATCTCTCTCATTGTTTAACATCTTTGCCCATCATCCCTGATACCTCTCATAATCGTCTCTGATATCGTTTAATATCTCTGCCCATTTCGCTCAACAACATCCTTTAATATTATACCTCACGTCTGACATTGCAATTCTTGATAACTGCCAAAATCTTCTGATATCTGGGTTATCTTTTTTTTTTATTTGTTTTGGTTTACTTTATGGTTAGGTTGGATTGGCTTAAACTTTGCTTTGTGATTGGATTCAGTTCTCTAACCAATACAAACCAACAAGTCTTAACTTTGAAGTACAATGTGTTGTGATGGTTTCTGTAAGGCTTGCATTGCTTTGGGGTTGTGTTGCTTTATGGATTTTGTGAGATTATTTCATGATTGATTTGGTTTAGAATAGGATGATTCTATAGTTAAGTTTCTTTGAGGTACGTTTGGGTCGGGTTGGCATGCTTTGGGCTATCTTGGTTTACCATGTGCTTGGGTTGGGTTGGTTTAAAGGTAGGTTTGTGGTTGGATTCAGTACTCTAAGCAACACAACGTGTCTACTTTAATGTACAATGTGTTGTTATAGTTTCTGTTAGGCTTTCATTGCTTTGGGGTTGTGTTCTTTATGGGGTTTGTGGAATAACTTGGTGATTGACTTACTTTGGTGCTTGATTGGCTTGTTTTGACAACAGAGAAAGATAGAAAACATTGTCCAATTCCTTCCTGACATCTTAAAACATAATCCCTGATATCTATCAACATTTCCCTGGCCTGTCTCAATATCTTCCTTTCCATTTATAAACACCATCTTTAATATCGCTAAATATCATATCTAATACCTTTTAACATGTTCGCTGGCCTTCCTCAATATCTTCTATGGCAAGCCTTTATATTGTCCATAGCATTTCTCCACATAATCTCTTATAACTCTACGTTATGCCTGAAATCATTTCTGATATCTTTCAACATCAACTCAATTTTATCTGTCAATACATAATCCCTGACATCTTTTAACATCTTCCCGGTCCCTCAATATCTTTCTCACCATCTATATCTACATCTAATATCACCCTTGACATCGGTAACCGTCACACCAGACATCTCTCAATAAGATCACCTATATCTTTCAAAATATATGTCTTCCAAGTTAGTCATTCTTCCTCTTCATCATCCTTCCACATTGTCTATAGTATCGCTCAACATCGTCCTTGATATCCTTCATCGCCATCAGCGCCCAAAAATGTTTTTTAATGAATAAAATTATTTATTAGGTGCCGATTCAACTCTAGTCCATAAAAATGTCGCGTCCAAAAACCATAACATCTGTTACGAAGCGAAACTGTTAGGTTTGGACGGTGAAAAAATATTAAAACCAAAACGGGTTCTTTGTTACGTATCGCCGAAACAGTTAATAATCAAGGAATTGATACTAAAATTTATACCAAAGAGGCTTTACACATTTAGATTATGTCCGTCGACCAAGATTTATTTCGCAAAAGAAATCGTGCCAGCGAAACAAAACGAAAGTTTGGACAGCGTCTTTTACATCGACGACGGTTGTCAGCCAAAAATTGAGTTAACATCGAAAGAGAGAATTGTGATAGCTGCGACTTTTGCGCAATTTTTATTGAAAAATATGGGTGGGTCGGAAACGTTTAAAGATAAACAAGATTTTTTTTATCACGAGGTTAGAAAATATCACGATAAACATTATCAACATCATGAAAAAGTTAGTTTGAAAGTGAATAGATCGAAACTTTTAGAGTCGAGTATGAAATTGACAAAAAATTTTTCTTCAAACGATTGGTGTAAAAGCTTTGATATTTGTTTCGTTGGTGAACAAGGTCTCGATTGGGGTGGTTTACGACGGGAATGGTTCGAATTAATTTGTGCTGAATTATTCGATTCCCGAAAAGGTTTATTTACAAGTTTCCACGAAGGCCAACAATCTTTAGTCCATCCAAATCCAAGAAGGCCACCTCATTTAAAACTAAGACATTACGAATTTGCTGGAAAAGTTGTCGGGAAATGTTTGTATGAAAGCGCTTTGGGCGGATCTTATCGACAACTTGTAAGGGCAAGATTTACAAGATCTTTTTTGGCCCAAGTTATCGGGTTAAGAGTACATTATAAATATTTCGAACAAGATGACCCAGATTTGTATCTCTCGAAAGTAAAATATTTATTGGATAATGATGTAGATGATCAAATCGACACTGAATTATATTTCGTCGAGGAAGTTTACGATAATAACGGGAGACTTTTAAAAACGGTCGAATTAATACCGAACGGATCAAAAATTAAAGTTAAAAATCAAACCAAACATCAATATTTAGATGCTTTAGCTCAGTTCCGATTAGCAACTACGATTAGGGCCGAATTAGAAGCATTTTTAAAAGGCCTAAATGATTTAATTCCAGATAATTTGTTAAGTATTTTCGACGAAAATGAATTGGAAGTAAGTAATCTTATTGATGATGATTTCATTTAAAACTTTAAAACCCATTTAATTAATAATATTTGTCGTTATTGGCCTTTCAGTTACTTTTATGCGGCACCGGACATTATTCGATAGCCGATTTTAAAGCGAATCACATTGTAAATGGAAATTCGCCGGAATTTCGGAGAGTTATTGGTTGGTTTTGGACCGCTATCAGTAATTTTACGCAAGAAGAAATGGCGAGGTTGCTTCAATTTACAACGGGATGTTCTCAATTACCTCCAGGTGGATTTAAAGAGTTGAGTCCTAGGTTTCAATTAACAGCAGCTCCAACTTTTGGAAATTTACCAACAGCACACACATGGTATATCAAAAAATTAATTTTTAATTTCAAAATTTGATTTATTCCTTTTAGTTTTAATCAATTGTGCTTGCCGGATTATGATAGCTATGAAAAATTTGAAAAAAGTCTTTTGTTGGCGATAAGTGAAGGGACGGAAGGTTTTGGAATGGTTTGAAACGATAAATAAAGAAGAGTGATTGTGATTTTTTTAACGAAGGCATTGATTAATGTCGATTTAACAAATAAAAGGGAGGATTAAAGAAGTAACCGATATATATCATCTTTAATATCATCTTAAGCGGGTCTATTAAGGCCTAAAAGAAAACGCTTAGAATTATTACATTCTTCCCAGTTGTTGAAGGTTCTATTTACAAAGAAAGTGGGCAATAATTTCCTTTTTACAAGCTTTAACCAACTTTATCAAAGAAATAATAATAAATAGTTGTAGGTTTTTAATAATATAGGTACAAAGTGCACATTTTTGGACGAATACTTTGCATTTTCTTATTAAAGAACATTTCAAAACTGATATTATAAATAAAAAACGCAGACTGATAGTTGTGCTGTTAACCATAGATTTTAAAGAACTAGTCATCTTATTTAATTAGGATATTTTATTGTTATTAAAATGTTGTACTTAATTTAGTAATCTATTCGAATTAATATTTATTTTTTTCTATTATTTTTTACATCCACAATTGTGATTAAGTTTAATACTTAATTAGTTGCGTATCATCAAATATGATTGTATCAAGCGCATGTATTAAGAAGGCGCGAAGAGAGTAGCCTTAAATATAGGGTTGCTAAGCAACACACGCCAAGTTAAACTATAACACCTTAGAAAATTTTAACAATCAAATTTTAGAAATCATTTTTGAATTAAATTAACGCTAAATCATAAAACGTGGTTTAAACATCAAATTTTATCTTGAAATTTAGCATTAAAACGATAACAAATAACATTTAACCTTAATTAAAACATCAAAAATATTTAGCATTAAAACGATAACAAATGATAGCTTTTACCTTACCTTAATTAAAACATCAAAAATATTATGCACTGTTTATAATAATAACTAATAAACTAATTATTATTTTAACAAATTCACTTAATCATTTCAAGCGTAAACATAACAATAAAAATAACATAACCTCAACTGTCAAAAGAAAAACGATCATAAATTAAAACAAATAATAAATAAAATTGAGTTTATGGCTCAAATCATAATCGTTTTAATAAAGCGCTTTGAAATTATTAATTATTAAAATCACGGTGTAATAACATCAAAAATTATTAAAATATTAAATAAAATTTATGTTGGTAGATTTGAAAATTAACCATTTTGTTGGCAGAAAATTGTTTAAAATTAATCAATGTTTGTTTTTAATTATAAATAGTTAAAAAAAACATAAGAAATTGTTTATTTTCTTGGAAATAAATGATTAAAACGTTTAGTGTTAACGAAAAATTCGAGCCTATTTGAATCCACGCAACTAATTAAGATATAAAATCGTTTATATTTATTTTTTTTAACGTTATATGTACTTACCAAAACAAGTATGTGGTGGGACCAGAAATATATTTTCATTTACGTTTTTCCTTAATTTTATTATTTTAACATAACGTTAAATCGTTTAAACGTCAATTTTATTTAAATGTCAAATTTTTAACAAAATCTACTTTACCGGCGTTTATTTGGTTGCATACACTATTAAATATGTTTAATTAACAACATTTAAATCCATTTTATTAATAAATTAGAGCAATTATTATTAATCTCTAAACTATAAAACAAATGTATTCTATACTATTTTTAGTTGGCGAATATTTGCAGCTTTTTTTATTGCCACTTCTCGCATCCCAACCGCCAGCGGTTCTTATCATTCCAATCAATTCACCCAGTCCTCTCCTCTTCATCTCCACGTTGATTTCCTGGATTCATTTTTCAATTCTCTTTACTCATCCTGTGTAGATGTTCATACCATTTTAGTTGGTTTTCATTTACAGTGTCTCCTACCCATATTTCCATCGGGTTGCATTTTCTTTTCCAATGTTTTAGGGTTGAGTGGATATAGATCTTGAATGTAGTGAGAGAGAGAGAGGCAGAATCCCTGTTTGACACCTTTTGTAGGAGAGAAAGCATCATTTGTGAGTTTTTCTACCTGAATTTCTGCCGCGTTATCCCTGTATAACGCTTCCACAGCATGAAAAGTTGATGCCTGCAATTTATCAGGGCAACCCATAATTTTTGAAGCGGGACCATATACGCTTTTCTCAGATCTATATATGCAATATGTATTTCCCTTCCTTTTGACAGCTTCTTCTCCACTAGGTGTCTAAGCGTGATTAAATTATCTACTCAAGATCTTTCCAAGTCATGACGTAATACTTAACCCTCTGTAATTCCTCCTTCCTATTTCCTTTCTTAAAAATGTATTAATTAAACGATAAAGATTAAATTAAAACGCACATAGATAAAGAAATAAAAACAATTTTGTTTATTATTTATTAATAATACGTTCTATATTATAAGAAAATATTTATTTCGTCGTTTCAAGATAAATAGATACCTTAAGGTTAACAATAATAAAAGTAAAATGATACAAGTACAAACGTGTTTTCTTTGACTGTTACCCACAATAAATACGTGTATAAAGTGTACATTTAGTAATAAAAGATAATAATGATACTTAATCTCTTCGTTTTTTCGCCGGGATAACTCCTCGAGGTGGTAAATCAGTGGTGGATGTAGTTTTATTTCGATTGCCTTTGGGGAAAGCGGGCAACATAATCGTCGCTGCGTTTTGTAAAGAATCAACAATCGTCGTCGCAGCCTGTTTCCACCATTTTTGCGCCCTTTCATGGGCTAAATCTCGTTCCAAATTCATCAAAGTCGCGCGTAAATTAACATTATCATCAGTCAATTTCGACCTTAATTTAGATAAGTTTTCAACAACGTTTTTTAATTGTTGGAGCTTTTTTTCGATTTCCGTTCGCTTCTCCTTTTCTTCGTTTAAATCTTTACTTAAAATTGTTTTTTCTTCGCTTTCGTTTTGCAGCTTACTGATTAAATCCCGTTTATTTTCTTGTAAAGTTATTATATTCGCGTTGGCTTCTGCTAAATTTTTTTCAACTACCGTTAACTGTTCTTTTAGTTTCTTTATAGCTTGACGGAATTCATCTGCCGCTTTAATATGAGCGTTAAGCTATAAAAATAAAGAAAAAGTATATTAAAAAAAAAACGTTCAAACAACCTCATGAGGTTCACCTTGAAGAAATCAACATACCAAAAATAAAGAATTTCAAAACTTTCTTTATCGTTTAATTTAATACAAACGCACTTTCATTATTTCTTAGGAAAATGTGTCAAATCAAATCGATTCTTTGCGAATTATTTTATTAATTGGATTGAAAAGGTGTTATAATATTAGATGACTCAAGGTTGCGGGTGAGTCATCGTCGTCCGAGCAACCCTTAATTTGAAATTCGCGGAATAAAGATGCTTTATAAAATCAATACATGACTCACGCACTCATCTAACTTGAAGTTCGAAGTTCGTGAAACTCGCTCATTTACGAAACAATAAAGAAATAAAATGGGAGTGATTCCCCTTTACAAAGTCAACAAGAAACAATACGTAATTTAACAATATGTTTGGAGTCTTTGGTGACCCAAGAAAATAATTGTATTTTATCAAATGAAGCGAGAGCAGGGAGTCCCCTCGCGTTTAACTTTTTATTTTACCTTTTCATTTAACTCAGTATTCTCGTCACGTAAACAATTATTTAAAATTATTTCTTTCGCCGCTTTCCTCTCGCAAATAGCGAATTCGCACCGAGCATTGCCCAGTTCGATTTTTAAGCTTTGATTTTTCGCCTCAACGTCGGACAACGTGCGTTCTAAATTGAGGATATCGGCGCGTAATTTTACGTTGTCTTTTTCGATCGTTTCGGCCGTCGAACGAAGATCTTCGCATTCTTTGCGTAACTCGGCGTTTTCACATGCTGAGATCGATCTTCGTCCAGCTTCGGATTCGCGCAACTTTTGTAAAACGTCCACTTGAATTTGGAGTTGGTCTACCTTGATTTAAAAGAAAGAGATTTTTTATAATAAAGAAATATCATGATAAATGAGTCTAGACGAATAAATTTTAAGAAGACGGTGATGCTCTATCACCAGCTCATTTATATTTAGATCGAACCAAATATAAACCGGTGCACTTTTCAAGTCATATACTATAATTAGATTTTAGATCATGGCGCAACAAGTTTCGACAAGAAAATTTTATGCAAATAAAACCAAGAGATAAGGTTCCCTAAAATAAAGATTAAACGTTAGCGTATTTTCCGGACAATTTTTTGCCAACATTAATCTACTTCCTATCTTCCCATTCTTATTATTCCATAACCGCTATTTTCCCAATGATTTAATACAAAAACCGCAATCAAGTTTCGCTCCGTCTCTATAGCCCCAAGCTAGAATCGCTTTTTATGCAAAATAAAGTAAATGCGTCAACGGTAAAATAGATGTGTGCCCTAACGTCACAATATAATCCGTTCAACAATTTTTATTACGTCACATTTGAAGAAATCCGACGATAGACACCTCCCGCAGTCTACACCAACACGAGACAGGTGTATTTATAGCATTTTAATAGCACACATTACGTGTTTTTCACTCCTTTTTTTAGATTTCACATATCAATACGTACAAACACACCTATTTGTTTGCAAATTTATTTCAAACTCGCCAATATGACGCGCGTAATATTTTTTTTTAATTGCTAATGGGGGAAAATACTAACAACAACAATTACAAATGGTTAAACACCATCGTTTAAACTTATTTTTTTGTTTAAATAAATTCTATTTTAAGTTGAAAACTTTTTTTAACCTTCAACACTAAAATTATTCGTTTTTACTAAAAACAATCATACTGATGACGACGTGTCATCGACGCCGAGAACGCCTCGACGCCGCCGAGCGTCGCGACGCCCGGCGTCCTTATTTTTGCATAAGGCGCCGGCGGTAACAAAACCAAACGGCGTCATCGAGGCTACCCGACGGTGAGTTATCCCTTTACATGAGGCGCCACATGCACCCTCACTTCCACCTGTCACGACACCATAAACGCCTTTTTAAAGCAGAGTTTAAATTAACTGCAACAAAAAAAATCATTCAAAAAGAATTAATTTAATAAAAATAAATAAATAAAAGGATTTCGCCATTGAAGAAACTAAACGTCACGTCAGTGTCAAAATTTGATGATATTGAGGTTATGTTTGAAAATAAATGCCAACATAAAAATATTAAGGCCCTATTTTATATTTAAAAATTGATTCATTTAAAATCGATAACTTTAATTTGTTATATAGCAATAAATAAATCGAAAAAACATCATGAAGAAGTAACTATTAAAGGAACAACTATTAAAAATAACGAATATAAAACGTTTTTATAATTGTATCAAATGTCAAAATTGACGTCTCCAACCTAACCTTAAAAAAATCTTATTGTATCCTCCTAAGCCGTAAAATACAGGAAAAGATAGCAAATTTTAGTAAATATCTCAGAGTTAATATCTACAATTGAAGTGATTCAATTGTCGGCTGTGTGAGCTACTTAATTCTGTAGACTTCTGTGTTCTAAGTTATGCAGAGTTTGTAAAAAAACTAAAAACCAAGTTGTTCTTGGGTTGATTTCAGTGAAATGTTGTGAGTAGAGACAATTAAGAGGAGAACCAAGTGTGTATGTCTATGGTGCGGGGAAAAACTGTAATAAACTCAACCCAATTCAATCCAATCCAACCCAATCCAATCCAACCCAACCCAATCCAATCAACTAAACTAACTCAAACTGACCTCGGAATATAAATATATGAGATCATTTGACTTTTTGTTTAGGTCTCTTGGTGAACAGCGAATTAGTTCAGTTATTCTAATACCTTCAAAAATTAGTGGGGAATAAGCAAAAAATGATGAACTGCACAGAAGATGTGACAAAAAAGATTTGATACGATTACTTTGGTTGAGATTTACTCCCCATATATAACTAGCTATAGCTTAAGCTATATACCTAGATTATGGAGGAAACTAAATGTAGTCTTTATGCTCAAAGGTGCAATGCTGATTCCAAGACATACAGCTAATTAGTCTAACTTGGACAAGGTACTCCATTAGGAATAGATCCAACATGCTTAACAGAAAGCAAAATCAACAATTACCGCCCTCCATACTTTGACGAACAATTTAGAGAAGGCAATTGCCGTCAAAGAGATAGCCCTATGTGCATTCATAGATATAAACTGATATAGACTCAGTCTCACACCACTTCACTTGTACATACAAAAAGAGGCAGCCCTTCACTCAATTGATACACGGTAACCTCAGAGGACATTTCGAAATCCTCAGGAACCCATTTAGGCATGGGTTCACTTGATTCAAATTAAAACGGATCTTATACCGGCAAAATATAATTTCAACTAGCCGTATAAAGTCATGTTTAGAAGCAGCGAAGAATGGACGAAGGGTGAGCCTCAACTCAAAAGAGGAGCCCTGATTTGGCACACCAAGGCTTCAAAGAGGCGTTAGCGGGCAAAAAAGACGCATTAAGATCGGATACAACTATTCATTAAAAGTAAGTTGAGATGGACAGAAATGGGCATCACTTTTGGACAAGCTGAGGATGAAGCTTGAACAACAATTCTGTGTGACACGTATTCTGTGTGACTGTATCGTGACACAAAATTTTCGGAAATGTTTACCTGACACCTACTGAGATAAAGGAAGAAGACTTTGGAGTATTCATTAAGGACCTAGATCTGCCCTAAACCTTTGGAGGGCGTAAGTTAAAATGGATCTTACAGGTCGCGGTGACGAGGGGCCGCTTCCATCAGCCCAGCAGCATCAAAAAAAATGTTATTCGGATATATTAGCCATCCGTCTCCGAAGAGGGCTAATCCCGAATGTTCCTAATGCTCTTCCTAGTAACCCAAACATCCAAGAACTGTTTAGTAGCTTCCGTTTCCATAGTAAATTTGATCACGGGGTGTTGCGTGTTTCTTTTGGGTTGCTTTTCCATGCTTTCACATCACAAAGATGTCATCCACTTAACAACGTTGGTGTATACATGGGAAAGATAAATTATAATTAAAGAAACAATGCCGGAGAAACATGAGAACAAACTTATGCAGAATAGAGCGTTGTCGCACAAATCTTAATAAAAGTCCAGAGGAATGGTGACAAGCAATGACAAGAAGAGCAAGTAGGCAAAAAGATGGAAATAATTACGATAAATATTACGATGATGTGGACGTACAAGAATTAGTAGAGTTCTAAATTAGTGCAGAGAATTAAAAATTGGTGCAATGAAAGAAAATGTATAGAGAGTGAGGAATTACCAAGCTAAAGTAGAACGAGTGGAGATTATGAAAGGGTAAATTCATGTAATTTGAGAATTAATGGTGAGGAGAGAATGTTAGTAGACAACTCCCGCGGTTTCTGAAGATGATGAATTAGTATTTGTTTGAGAGTTGTTGAAAAGGGGATAAAATTGGAAAGTGCTAAAAAGATTCATTTAGGAAAGCTACACAGGATGCATGGAAAGATACTTGGAGAAAAGAAGTGGAGGAGGTAAATTCATGTTACCAAATTGATAACAGAGGTCAGTGAAAGAACAGTGAAAGAGTTACAACGACGAACAGATTTTAAAATGTGACGTCATCAGTGTGTTAATCTCATTATATTTATCATCCTAGTGGGAGAAAAGAATGCTCAGCAGAAAAAAGACAAGAATTACAAGGAAGATATATAAGATGAATTAATGGTGCAATAGCGAAAAAGATGGGCTTCCTACACCAATTGGCCAAAAACCATAATCCCAGATCTAGCAGCGTGGGTTAATAGAGAGTAATTTAACCTTTTGACAAATTTGATCTTTCTCAATTAAAGTATTTCTCGAAATTTGACAAAATTCAGCTTAATTCAATAACCTTGTTCATAAATACTATTGGCAAAGTGTAGACTTTGGGGGTTGACTTTTCTGGTTGTAACCTGGGGCTTCTTTATGTTAAGTCTAAAATTGCAATAAATATTTTCTTGTCGTTACAAACTGAAGAATTAGTTGCCTAAAAAGAAATTTCTTACTTGAGTTTGAAGTTTGGCGGACGATTCAGTAAGAGTGTTAACTTGAATCTTCCGCTGGCGCCAAGAGTTTAACAGTAACCGTTGATAAACACGACGCGCCGCTTCTTCCCTCTTCGGAGGTGGTGGTCGCGACGGACCGTCGCCAGACAGGCTGCAATTACAACGAAAAAAAAATGTTCAGGTAAAACGCAATGTACAACCCCAACAGCACGCAATCAATATCACAACGGGGGGAAGTTAATAATATATCAGTGGGGAAGTAGGATAATAAGACTACAGCAACAAGATTTCTAGAAATCTACCTTTCAATTTCTCATTTTCAAAAATAAAATTAAAAAGAAAATTAAGAACTTAAAATTTTATTTCAAAAAAAATTACCAAAAAAATCGAATTAAAAATCAAATTTTTAGACAACCAAAAGGTAGAGTTTCCTTTTTTATTGTTTAGATTACTTGGGGTCGATGGGCTTCCGTTTTGTCGGCGTGATTTCCGACATTGTCTTGGACCGCTTCCGGTGCCGAAATGGTTCAGATGAAGACGATTTTGCTTTCAAAGGGGTCGATGGCGCTGATTTTTGAAGCGTTGAAAGCGCTTCTTCTAGCTTGACCCTCGCTAAGTTGTCCTGTTGCACGTGATTTTGCCGCGTTGCAAATCTTCTGCATGATGGCACCGGATTCCTTTTCGAAGAAGTCTTCTGGAACGCCGTTCGCCGCGCTCCGTCCCCGTCCCCCAAGACGATGTTATCGCCACACTCGAATGTAGACATTACCTCTTTTAATTTTTTTTAAATAGGCTTATGTTTTTTTTTGTACGCGCTATCTTGACAATATTTATTTATTTTTTTTTTGAATTTATCAGGCGATGTTCTACTTGTAGCCCTCTTACTCTCGATTTTGTTCGATAATGATTTATATGTTTGACTTTGACGGTGAAGTTCGTTTCCATAGATAAAACCAATATCCTCCTTTTTTTATTAATAAAAAGACCGATCTTGACCTAGCATCTTTAGTGGGTTTTCTAACCAATATCTATTCCATAACTTGTAGCTTCCGGTAAATTAGTCAACGCGGAAAACACGTCCCGTTAAATAGGAAATCTAAATTCTAACGAGAAGGAGATAGTGGAAGAAAATGAATCGTCTCGTCTCATTCTTGTTGTACTATTTGAAAGCGTTAAAATGGAAGTGTGTGTTTGCGAAGCGAGTTGCGCGGCTTTTGATGACGACACGTCAATCGCGAGCCAATCCTCGCCCGTTCTGCTCGTTTTCCTGGAACGTTTTGTGGTCATCGGTTCTTAAAATACACTTGGACAGTGTCTGGCAACAGTTCGTCGCGAACGTTTCACTCGCAAACACGGTGAGCTCGCGATACAAAAACTCGCTACTCATTTAGAAAGTTGTTTAAAACTCGGGGCTCAAATAGAAATCTAAATAACTTGTCGAAATAAAATCAAAACTAATCTCGTGATTGTTTTGTGTTGATTTTGTGAGGATTTCTGTTTAAATAACGAGTTAAAAGTGCTGTTGTTAATATAAAATCTTTTTGATGTGACTTTTCTCTTGCTATCTGTGCGGAGCGAGATTCTCTGTGCGTTTTTTTATTCAACAACCGATGGCCTTGACAGTTTGTTATTCCTAGAACGCACGGTTTAATTCGACCATCAATCAAGGTACAAAAATGATGAAGTCTCTTCGTCGAGGAAGACGAAATTAAATCACAATTTACCTATAAATTTAGTTTCATCCACAAAAAGTTAAAACCACGAGAGAAACTTGTCATGGACAAGATAGGTCAGAATTAAATCAAAATGTTTCCTGATGCTGCATGTTTTGCGTATTTGGTAGATAGCTTCTGCTCGTGGAGATTGGAGATGTTGCTTTATAAAAATACTTTTTATCTATACACACACACAGTTTTATACATTCGTAGAAATTAGCGCTATAAAACATAATAATTCTTAGAGAAATTGATTTAAAATTATAATCGTTACCGGTATTGTTTTATCTCCATATAGCCGCTCGTTTTTTGATATTACGTAAGATTTCTTGGAAGTCGTGTGATGTGGGGAAGCGATATCACCGGATAACGATATTTTTTAAATCTGAAATAGAAAATTGTTTCAAATAAAAAAAAAATATTTGAAAATTACTTTTAAAGTTTGACGTTTAATTTTTAACCTATAATAAACGTCAAAAATGACATTGTCATTTTTGAATGTGAATACATTCAAAAACGCGGGAAACATTCTGTTATTGTGGAAATTCTTATTTTTTTACCTTTTTAATCAAAATGGTTATTTAATAAGTAATAAAAAATAAACAAAGATGATTCAAAATCGTAACCCGGTCAGAATCTAAATATAGAATCGGCGTAAAATTGATATACGTACCCACTACGTGTTTAAAAGCACGATCTAAAAAGAACCAATTGAAAGGTGCCCAGGTTTGATGGGAAGCCGCGCTTTTCCTAAATCGCATTTGGTAACACGTGTTTAGTATCAAGGTCAATAACCGCGGAAAAACTTGGGCCATCCTCTATGTCCTACGCGGTTTGCATGCAAATTTATAAAGAAAGTGTTTGTATATTTGTTGTTGCAATCGATTGCTGTGGTTTGTGGCAACGAGCCATCTAAAAGTTACATTTGAAATATGTAAACGGAAATGCCTCTCGGTTTTTAACGGAGATTTATGTATAAGTTAAATTCTTTTTATTAAAAAATTAACATTTAATGACATTAGAAACGCCATTATAAACGTCATAAACTGAATTCGAATAATCTAATATATGAATAAATCTAATTATTTTTGCTTCGATTGGGGTGATTAAAAAATGTTTTACTTACATATTTCGTAAAAACTATTTATTTTTAAGTATTTATCAAAGAATTATTTCAATTATTTTTAAAAATTTCACTAAAATTGTTCTCTACATTATCGGCATTAATATATTTAATAATTAATATAACTAATTTGAAGTTTATTTTATTAATTATTAAATGTTTTTAAAATATTTTTTTAATTTACATTTCTTTAAAAAAAAAATATAAACTAAAATTTGAATTGAAAAGTAATAATTTTTTCGAGATAGGCAACCAATTACACCTAGAATGCTACAAAAATTATTTAAACAAATAAAAAGAATTATTATATCAAATAGGTTTTTGTAAATACAGGTGTTTATACATAGAGAAATGTAGAGTATTTTGTTGATCGGGTATATTTAAAACTTCAAAGGAGACGAAAAATTTAACAACAAAATTTTTTCTTAAAATTTCATAACAAAATTGCAATCATTTTGTTTATTAATAAATGAGTCAAAAAGTATCAATTAGGGATTTCTTATCTAATACGCTCGATTGATTAATTCCAACAAAACGATTAACATCTTCAAGTTTGTCGGTTTTCCCAAACAGTTAAATAACATTGACAAGATTCCAAGAAATAGAGACAACGCCAACATCTAAACTCATATAGATTTCATTCATTCAGACACGTTATGAGACAATTTTTTTATTTTCAAGTCGTTGTTTTCGATCTTTTATTACTTAAATTTCCATTCATCATTGACGTTTATTTTATTAAAAACGTATAAAACGCGGAAGTTTCGTAACTTATAGTAGGTTTTCGTGTCGTTACCGCACGCGATCGCTGGGTAAACCCCATTCTAGGTTTTTCTAACTCTAAAATAAATTTAAACGTTTATTTTTAGCCAGATATTGGTCATCATCGTCTTAAAACTTTTACACCTACTTAAATATGCATGTGTGGGTTGTGTTTTTATACAGATCTACTTTTGTATTTTAAAGTAGTTTTGATTATTTTGTTATTTAAAGCTTTGATTAATTAGTTTTTGGTGTTTTCCTATTTGCATTAGATTTTTGCATGTTATTCCTTAAATTTTAGTAAATTTATTTTGTTAATTTAAATTTTTTTTAATTAGATTCCCAAGGTATGCCAGATGACACCATTAACATCGGCGATGTCAGTAAGTATTATTTTTTGTTATAATCTTATTTAATTTACATGATAAACACGTACTAAAATACTAAAGAATACAAACTCGGATGATTCACAGCTGTAACTCCCCCTGCAATGAACGTTATTATTCACTTTTATTTAATTCTTTTTATTAAATAATTCAAGAAAAGTTTTTTATCGTTTTCAGTGGAGGTTATAGAAACCGATCCAGATTACACAAATAATAAAGGAAAAATGAAGAAAATGGGATCCTACAACTGTTTGGAAACTACAAGAACAACGCCGAGATGTGTCATCGTTGAAGAACCCGCTCAAAAACAACTCAGATTTCGTTATGAATGCGAAGGGAGATCTGCGGGATCTATTCCAGGTGCTAATAGCACCCCAGATAATAAAACTTACCCCACTATTAAAGTTGAAGGCTATAAAGGAAAAGCGGTTGTTGTTGTTTCATGTGTCACCAAGGATGAACCTTTTAGGTGAGGAAAATATAATAAAGAATGTTATGTTTATTGTGGTATGGATGAAATGTTATTAAAAGAACCGATACCGACACTTTGTCGGAGTTTTCAACAATTTTTTCTTTATAAAATGGAAATTTATTGGTTTCATGACAAGACTTTGTTTTTAAAGTAATTATTTAACAATAAAATCGTGCGGTCAACCATCATAGTATTAATGTGATGCTTATTATTGAGAAATGAGTTGTGATTTATAATTTGTTTACACCACGCAATTTTTGTTTAACCAAAATATGCCAATCGCATTATCTTCTACGAACATTGCAGCGTTGTTTTCATGTTTCGACATATTTCGGAGTTAAAGATTTTTCTGTATTTGGTAAAAGAAATCTTTACAATTCTTATGACCCCTTTATGATTTTTAAGATTTCTTTAATATTCTATTGGTGTTGGAGTTGGGTTGTCTTGCTGTTTAAATAGGTTGGTTTGCTTAGAATTTGGTTGGAATGTTTTAAAATTGGGACTTTTCTATAGCGTTCTGTAATCATAAAAAAAATTGGTTATGTTCATAGTTTATCATAAAAATTATACAAGAACTCTAAAACTGCAAATACACAGCAAATTAATAAAATTAAACTCACTCTTCAACATTTTCAATACTACATGTAGAAAAATAATGTAAAAATAATCAATAAATTAATATTTAATAATAAATTCATCTATCAAATTTGACATTACGTTGACATATCATAATAAACATAACCTCAACATTTTTAAATTCGTCTAATCTGTTTAATAACTAAGTTTTAATCATTTTAATCGTTAAATACGCTTATACCCAAGGTTCCTTTTCAGTTTGAGATAATGCTGATGTAAAAAGTATTATTAATTTGTTTACATCACTCAATTTTTGTTTAACCATACAAGATTATGCCAATCGCATTTGGTTCTACGAACTTTGCAGCGCTGTTTTCATCTTTCGGAGCTACAGATTTTTCTGTGTTTGATAAAAGAAGCCTTTACAATTCTTATAACCCCCACAGATGGTGTTTCATATTATATTTCAGGTTTAAATGTTTAGGATTTCCTTAGTGTTCTATTGGTGTTGGAGTTGGATTGTCTTGCTGTTTAAATAGGTTGGTTTCCTTATAATTTGAATGGAACGTTTTAAAATTGGAGCTTTTCTATAACGTTCTGTATTCATGGAAAAAATTGGTTATGTTAATACATTGTCATAAAAATTATACAAGAACTCTAAAACTGCAAATACACCGCAAATTAATAAAATTAAACTCGCTCTTCAACATTTTCAATGCCACATGTAGAAAAATAATGTAAAAATTATCAATAAATTAATATTTAATAATAAATTTATCTGTCAAATTTGACATTTGGCACATCGTGGTAAACATAACCTTAAAATTTTAAAATCCGTCCAATCTGCTTAATAGCTAAGTTTTAATCATTTTAATCGTTAAATATGTTAATATACAAAGTTACTTTTTAGTTTGAGATAATGCTTATGTAAAAAAGATTAATTTAATATTATATTTAATAATTAATTATTCTGTCAAATTTGACACTTCCTAATAAACATAACCTCAAAATTTTAAAATCGTCCAATTTGTTTAATAACTAAGCTTTAATCATTTTAATCGTTAAATATGGAAATATACAAGGTCAAGGTAATACACAGATTATAATCAATATTATATTTAATAATTTAAACCAAAAATCATTTAAATTTATACAAAATTAATTTCAATTTAAAACATTTTAAACTGAAACCGTGGTTTTCCTTTCTGTCCAGGAGGTTTTTGGCTCAGTTCCAACTGTGTGTACTATTTTGAAAGACACATGTTGTTCGCTAAGCCTAGTTTATCTCGACCAAGAACCTTTGTTAAAAAGATTTCACGTTTTAATAACCAAATTAGCAAATCGCATCTTTAAATAAATCTACTAAATATTTCCAAGAAATAATCAACTTGTCTTGTTAATGATACTTATTACATTATATTTTCCTTAATATTGATAAATAGCGTTATTCTCGATTTGTGTTTCTAAGAATCTCATCGTGACGACGATTTCATTTTGGATCAATGCCCAAAAAGTTGCACAATTCTAGCAAATAAATGTTTTGTATTTGCCAAAATGCTGTAGATTTCTATCAGAGCGTATCATTTCTGTTTTTAGACCGCACCCTCATAAATTGGTTGGAAGAGAGGGTTGTAAGCAAGGAGTTTGCACGGTTCCAATTCCTGAAGATACGATGACCGTGAGTTTTCAAAATTTGGGGGTACAATGCGTGAAAAAGAAGGAGATTGAAGATGCGTTGAAGGCGCGAGAAGATATTAGAGTTGATCCATTTATGAGTAAGTTTAATTTAAATTAATAAATAAAAATTAATTATTTGAATTGTGTTTAGCTGGGTTTTCGCATAGATCATCCCCGACATCTATAGATTTAAATGCCGTCCGATTATGTTTCCAAGTATTCCTTCACACTCAAAATAAAGGAAAATACACAAACCTCCCCCCAATTGTAAGCAATCCAATTTACGACAAAAAAGCAATGTCGGATTTATTAATAGTGAAACTTTCGGATTGTGTTTGCCCCGTCGATGGAGGAAGCAAAGACATCATCCTTTTATGCGAAAAAGTAATAACAAAAATTTCATTTATAACAAAAATAATCAAAAAATAACTTTTTTAAGGTTGCAAAAGAAGACATTCAAGTACGTTTCTTTGAAGAACAAAATGGGCGTGTGGTTTGGGAAGGCTTTGGTGAATTCCAACCGGCTCAAGTTCATAAACAAACCGCAATATGGTTTCGACCTCCTCGATATAGAACATTAGAGGTGATCGATCCTGTGAAAATGTTTGTTCAATTACGAAGACCGTCAGATGGGGCAACAAGCGCCCCGGTACCATTTCAAATGGTGTCTTTAGGTAGGCCCGTATCTTGGTCTTTACGCCCATCGATAACCAAAAAAAGAAATTACTCAATATTTAGTGAGATTTTAGCACAAGATGCTCAATCTCAAGCAAACAAACGATCAAATCTATTCAAAGATTTAACGAATTTAAATAGTTCAGTTTCAGTCGAAACTCAAACCATTTTAATCGAAAATAATAATAATAACGTTTTTATTAACTTGGAAGATGAAAATAAAAACATGGAGGTTGAAAAAGTCGACGTAGAAATCGATAAAAATGAAAATGTTTTAGTTGAAAAAAATGAAATCCAAGAAAAAGATCCGGTTGTAGTTGTAGAAAAAGAAATTTTCGATGATACAAAAAGTTATACAAGTTTGCAATTAGCGTTTAAAAATCCTTATGATATCACAATTGAAGATAAATATGAGGATGTTATTATTATCCCTGAAAGTCCGGTTATTAATTTAACTAAAGAAGTAGAAGAAAAATTACCCCCTTTACCACCTAAGCGATTAAAAAAGGGCGATATACGAACGTATTCATCAAAAATTACCGAAATAAATGACCCAGGCTCAAACATTTTAGAAATATCATCCACTCCTGAGATACCAATACGTTCGCGAAGTCTTTCCAGACAAGAATTAAACCCCATCTCAAAAGATTTACCACCCACACCATGCTCAACTTTACCTAAATCAAAAAAACGCAAATTCTTGTCAGGATTTTTTTCTCATTTTAATAAAAGCGCCACAACTTCACGAGAAACAACACCGTGCAATTTTTCTAGTTCACATTCTTTACAAACGACTAATTGTAATCAAAATGAAAAGACTCAATCTCAAGATATTTCTAATGAATCTCCCAAAACTAATTTAAACGACGATTTAAATAAAAATGTTAATGACAATATTAAATTAAATGAAAATCTAATTGAGAATGTAACTGAAAATTTAAAATTAAATGAAAATGTAAATGATAATTTAAATTTGTTTAATGATTTAGATCTGACTGAAGCTGAAAATTATGCTTTATATATGACAATGCCCCCATTTGCTACGCAAAGTGAATTTGATGAAGCTTCTTGTTATTACGCCCCAGTTGAAGGTGGAAAAATTTTGAATGAAACTGAAGTTCAATTGAAATTAAATAAAACTTGATAAAAAATTTTTGTTTGCACACGATTCAACATGATTTTGTTTGATTTTTCTTCAAACGTGAACAAAAAATGTTATAAAAAAACGTTATAATTTGTTGAATAGTGTTATTTATATAAATATTAAATTGTTTTTTAAAGCTGCTTAAACAGCATTGATCTACAAGTCGTTGCACATCATTGAGTTGCGATTTTCTTGATAATTACAAAATCATAATATAAAGAAAATCTTTATAAACACAATTTTTAAAGATATCTTTTTTTGTTATACTTAGGTAAACGTAGAGCTGAAAGCTCGGATCAACCTCCTAATAAAAAGATTTTTACCGAGTTACATAACCGGGTTAAAAATTGTAAGTTTAACTTTTTTTATGTTCCACATTTTTTTGGTGATGGAGACTCAATTGCAAAAACTCAAATTCTTATTGTTAAATGCATTTTCGTACATTTTCTTGATACATTTATGCAAAAATGCGTGTTTTTACCATAAACGATTATGTAAAAAAATAAAAAAATTTATTATTAACGTACTTATTAATTCATTCATTTTGTGGTGCTATTTTTTTTAAACCTTTATTATATTTAAAAAAACAAAACATGTTCTTTTTTAACTTATTTTGTTATATTTTTGTGTGTTGAATTTGTTAGTTATAAACTTTATGATGTAGTTTTTAAAATATTTCACAAAAAAAAAGTGTATTTATGTAAAATGTAAAGATGGAAAGTTGTTTATATCCAGGATTAAAATCTGAATCGTTTTTTGTATAGAGCCTATTATACATTATACACGTTTATATTACACAATTCGAGCTTTATCGAAATATATTTGACATTTTCTTAAAAATGTGCTTTTTTATGTGTTGATTTATAAAAGGTGTTAATCTGCGCCACAAGAAGGAAACAAATTAAGGTATTATTAGTTTTTGAGTGTGTTTTGTAGCTTTTTTTCCACTTTTATTTTATAATTTATTCAACTAAATTGTTTTTGGTAACAGCATGTGCTTTTATAGTAGTTTTTTGAGTTTTTATGATTTCCATCACTTTCCTTTTATCATGTAACAATTTTTAAATTATTTTCTTAATTTTTAGCCCCACTTCCTGAAATGGATTTCACTCAACAACTTAATATCCCTCTTCAAACCACCGTAAAAGACGAACCAAGAGGTATCATTAAGCTTTAATAATTAATTTTTTTTAATTTTATTATACAACCTTAATTTTATTTCAGATCTTTTGCGATCACCGTATCAATATATGGATCAATTATCTCGATCGCCTCAACATTACCCTCAAACGTGTTATATTCAACAACAACCGATGCCATCAACCAGTTCAATTAATCATCAAATAGTTCAACCCCTCGAATCTATACATTATAATCTTTCTCCTCCTGCGTATAATCCAATGGAGGTTATTCCGAGTGATCCTCAAAGAAATGTTCAATATATAAGAAATGAATTGAATCCAATCACAATAGAACCCGGAGATTTGGGTTTAAATGAAATCGCCCAAAATTTATCCAGTAGTTTATCTCTAACGGATTTTGGAGCTGATGGAATGACCGATAGTTTAGATCGGCTAGCTAACAATGAATTTGATAGACATTTAGCGTTAAATCAAGTAAATAATCAACATTAATTAGATTTATTTTTCTGTGTTGTACACTATCTTTTATATAGAACTTTATAATTTTTTTTTTAATAACAATCGATTTATATCTTGTAAAGATTTAAGCATAAAATGTTTATAGTGAGAAATATTTTCTTTTTTTATTAAAGTGTACATAGTTATTTTTATGTTGGTTTCTTTGTTATCTCAAAACAATGATCATTAAATTATAGTAACTTTAAATACATGTATAAATCGTTTTAAATCGAATTTTATTTAAGAAGTTGCCCCCAATTTTCTCACATTTACAATAATAATAAAATAAAAAATAGTTTAAATTTATTAATAAAAGTTGATAAAGTAGAAACCAATTTAATTTGAGATGTCACGTATTAAAATAAAAAGATTGAGGTTATGTATCTGTCAAACATTTTTCTTTATTATTATTAACATGTAAATCCATCATTTCCTACTAAAAATGGATGTTCCACCAACAAATTTTACAGTAGATTACCAATCCGTAAATAATCCATCATTTTAAAGAAAAAAATCTAACAAAATTTTTTTTTAGATTTTACCAATTCAACAAAAACGGACAATAGCCTTTGTAAATAATTTCGTTATGAACACAGTTTCTTTTCTAAATCATTTCGCGCAATCTTGCGAATCAAGATTAATGGAGTTTGAGTATAAAGTCCAAAAAGTTGAGGCGGGGTTAATGATTTTAGAATCTCAAGTAAACTAACTTATTTCTAATAAGCATAAACATGTTGGGCAAATCGTTTTCGGCGTTATAATAAGTATATTTTAGTTAGCATCGATACAAGGAATCAACGAGAATGATGAAACTCCAATAAAAGAATCAAATAATTCCGTAGAGTTGCCTTCGATAGTTACTAATCAAGAAGAAAGTGATAAAATAGACTCAGTTAACGAACCAAAAGGAATTATTGCTTGTCAAGATGAGAGATTTGCCCACTTTTTTAAAATGGTTCAAGTTGGAGTTCCTGCGCAAGCTGTTAAAAATAAGATGATTATCGAAGGGGTCGATCCAAATATCTTAGAGTAAGAAATTTAATTAATTTTTTAATTCATCGATTAATTTTCCTCGTTATAGTACACCAAATGCTGTGATTGATTAAAAGATAATCGAAACAAGAAAAATCAACTCAGTATTATTGTTATACTTTAACGGTTATTTTTATAGAAAGAATTTATTAAAATAAAAACTATTTTTAAGAAACACTTGTTATTTACTTTATAAGTCCGGTAGGTGACTTGTAACATGCGAATCAGGAATATCTAGACGAGTACTGTTACAAGACCTACCGGACGTGTATCGTATAACATTTTATTTCAAACTGTCGAGTCTGGTTACACAGCAATTACTAATTCCAAAAGTTAAAAATGGACTTTAAAGAAACGCAAATATAATAGTTTAAATTTATATTTAATAACAATTTAATAAAAGTTGATAAAGTAGAAATCAATTTAATTTGAAATGTGACATATAAAATAAAAAGTTGAGGTTATGTATCTGTCAAAAATTAAAAGACGCCATTAAAGTGGAGAATTTCCGACGCAATTTTAGCGAAATCGGCTGAAATGATTGTAAAATTGGTTCCTACGAAGTCAGCAAATAAGTATGAAAGGGAACACCAAGTTTTGCCAGTGAAAAAAAAGTAAAAAAAGACGCTGTATATGTATGTACAGTCGGTCCCAAAAGTCATCGTACACCAACGGTTTTTGCACGATTTCTCTAAATAGAATTATAAATAAAAGTTTTTTTTATTTAATAATTACATACTGAAATATTGACAAAGACTAGACCTTTCAACTAAAAAAAATCTTGTTCAAATGGAGCAATACATTCAAAAGTTAAAATTATTCATTTTAAACAGATTACAACAAAACAAATTTATAATTCTTCAAAATTGTTCGATTGCAACCTCCCAAAAGTAATCGTACAGTTCCAAATGTTGCAATGAACATAGTACTAGTACTTCATAGGTCCTCCATTCGCTTTTAGTATAGCTTTCAATCTTCTTGGCATTGATTGCACAAGCTTTTCAGTATAAGAAATCGGAATTTTTCCCCATTCTGCTTACAATGCAACTTTTAACGATTCCTTACTACCAATGTTATGTTTTCTAATTGCTTTTTATAAATACTCCCACACGTGATCTATGGGGTGAATATCTGGTGACATATGTGGTGAGGAGCTGCTACATACAAATGACGCTGTATTGAAAGATAGAGGTACAAACGGTTCTTAGCCGCTCGTTTTGCCAACCTGTCCTCATGATCGTGTCCCTTATTTCCGGTATGTCCTGTCCACTACTTTATCGTGACGTTGTTATAAAAGTTAGTCTCCTCAAGAGATTGCCGACAGTACTTCATTAACGATGATGTAGTTTGATGCCTACTAACCGCCAGTATAGCTTGTCTGCTATCAGCCTATCAGTTCAGATTACGACGTTTCTGCCATTTTTTTTGGAACGATGATCACGTTAGTTGCTATATTTATAACAGTTATTTTGAAATGGAAGATGCAGCTGGAGATCGTGCGAGAAAATTCCCGCTCCGGAGCCTCCAGCGTAATCTGACAGTACCAATATGCTGGGTTTCAACATTTTAAAATGGCTATAACTTATAAATCTTATAATAGAAAAATCGTACAGCACCATTCGAGAGCCTATTTTGAAGGGTAAGGATAGTACTATATGATGAAATAGATAGAATAGAACAAACTAATATTGTGCGTCTCACACATAACTTCAAAAGTAGCCAAAAAAGCCAGTTTTCTTGTACATAACCTCAAATATCTCAACATCCTGAGGTATGGTTCCATTCTGATTCCACGCAGAAAATTACTTCGGAATTGATCGTCAGCCATCTAACGACAATCAACGCGGCTTTTTTTGCAGACCTGTGTTATTATTTTCTGCTGCTTCAGAAGTATGTAAATATACTGCTTGGTATCTGATCTCGAAGATGGTACTTAGAGTGGCTCTTAGCAGCAATCAGATTGCCGTAAATGTAATTGTAACAAAATTTGCTCAAAACGCTCTGTTTAGAAGCTACTACAAAATCATCTGGAATGAATACATCTATTTCATAGCACCTAATTCTGCATACCCAGCACGCAACTATATCTTAATATGTCTTTTGTATTATGATTTTTAAATGAATTTGATTTGTAGTTGAAAAACATTAGTAGTGGGTTATTATGGGCCAAATATTCCATTGTAAAATCGATGCTACTTGTTATAGAGGCAATAAAGAAAGAAATATAGGTAAATTTAATTAACTGGCGGCGCTTTTGAAGAAAAGTAAAATCAAAACGGTCAAAGGAACCCATCAGAGGAAAAATGATACGTTTTATATGTAAATATTAGTTTCAAAGATTTAGGAAATATTTATTTAAAATTTACTTTCCTAGTATCTTAAGGTTGCCATATCATTTGCTTATTTATTAATCTTTGACGACAGAATTTAATTCATTATATTCCTAGGAAAATAATAAAGATGAACAAAATTAGCAAAAATCATTCTTTTTATAAATATTGAATACAATGGAGTAATTTGAAAAAGATGAATTGCCTAGGACCAAATTCTCATTTCAAAATCTTTTTCTCTTATTATATTCATTAAATGAAGCTAAATTTGATGCAGTTGCAACTGGAAAACATAATGAAATCTTCTAAAAAATGCTTCCCTTTTGGCTATTTATTATTTTATTTATTTATTTCTCCTCAATATAAACTTTGCCTATATAAAAAAACTTGATTTGATACTTCCAATTTATTATTAAGTGATTCTCCCACCTAAAAACAGTATTGTAGTGTTGTTTACAGGCCTTCTAATGTTAGAGCTCACTTATTGGTCTCAAATTAATGATGTAAACATCAATATAAAGGACAGTATGAAATTAAAAAAAGGATTGATTTTTTTATATTTTATTTTAAATATAAACGTCCTAAAATATACAGATTAGAACTGAATCATCTGTCCCTTGCGTTTCTTGTCACCACCAAGTTCAAAATGTTTGCACCTCTTCAATGGGATTTGTTTACGATACTTGCAATCGGCACATTCCATACGCAATACAATTTTCTTCGTGGTTTTAGCCTAAAATTTATAACAAAAATAATATAAACATTGCAAAGAATAGATTTATTTATTAATTACCTTTTTACGGAAAATAGGCTTAGTTTGTCCACCGAAACCTTGTTGTTTACGATCGTAACGTCTTCTACCTTGAGCGGCATGTCGTTCTTTCGATTTTTTATATTGGGTTACTTTATGTAACTTATGCACTTTGCATTTCTTGCAAAACGTGCGCCTTTGCTTCGGTACGTTTACCTATAACACAAAAAAATTGATAATTAACATAACCTCAACGACAACATAACCTCAATCACGAAAAAAAAAATTTGGGGTATATTAACGAAATTTTTTAAAGGATGGTTAAATCGTGATATTAATATAAAAAGGGGTGCAAATTTTTGGGATAAATTGAAGGATGATTGAGAAAATTAGCGATAAAAATGTTAAACTCAACTCACCATGATTGCAATTCCGAATAGAAAGAGATGGAATGCGGTTGTCTTTCAAGTTATTGCATAGAGGGCGCTAACTCATGATAGCTGAGGTTATGAATTTTATTGGTTGGTTTATTTTTAAAATTACATTTTAATAATTCGTCAATTAAGAACTACGTAACACGATAACGATAATTAATTAGAAAAAATTAAATATGCTAAAATTATCGGTGTAATCTGAATCCGTAATTACAAAATAACTTACATTGCATTTATAGGTTAAAGTTAAATAATAATAATTATTTAAGTTAGAATTAAGTTATACAACATCATTAAGCACGATTTCGAGCTTTTAAATGATATAACTTTTAAAACAAACCCATTTTAACCGTTTAATTAAATTCAAAGAGCGCCCCCTGTCGATGGCATATGAGTATTAACCTAATAATCTCGTACCCAAAGCGCTTTCCTCAACCGTGTACTCTCGAACCCCTCATTTTCGATTTGACAGAAATATTTTTCTTGACAATTATAATTAGAATTAGAATAATTCGTTAATGAAAAATCTTAAATTAATTTGTCGATTAATCCGAAACGATCGAAAATCTTAAATTTCAATCTAGAAAGAATCCCGCTTAATCGTAAATTTACGTCAGGTTTCGGTTTGAGCGGCGCCATCTTAATTTTTGAACGAAGCTTGCTTGGAGCCGGTCAGTAGTGTGCTAAGCGGTCGTGGACGACAGTTGTTATTAAGAAAAGTAAATTTTCTAATTTAACCGTATCATAAACAAAAATGAGTTCAAAAGAGAACAGCGAGGTCGCAGTCGAGAAAATAGAGAACGACAAGGCATCGGGGGACGTGAAATGCGAAATTAAGGGGACGAAAAGGGCGGCAGAGGTAAGTTTAATAATCAAAAATTTTTAGAGCGTCTAAGCATCATTTTTCATTACGTTACTTTTTCTGGAAGTTTTCGCATCAACAACGTACGTAGCGTCGGTTTTTCGGTGTAAACGCGTGTAACACGGAGGGATAAACAATTGTATTAATATTATTCTTTTAATTGTTGTACAAACACTGTTACCATGTGGGTAAAGCAAATGGTAGCGGTTTTTATTGTGAAAGGGCACGCTTCGGATGACGGCCTTGCTTATACGCGTTGATTTTAAAATCACTCATTTTTATTTTTGTAGTTTTTTTTTGTTGATTTTACGAATAATTACGATTATGGAATTTTATTTTTCGGGGGGAACCCGTTTATTATAGTTTAAGTATACGTAAACATCACGGTTGCATCCCGCCATAGCTTCAAATGGTACCCATCGAGGAGGCTACGGTCTCATTTCAAGATGGCGAAATCAATAGTTGTACTTGAAAAGACCCGTTTTGAGATTAACCGGTCACTTTTTAAAGTTTTTTTTATGATTTTATTAATTTTTTTTATGTTTTTGTGAATTATTTTTAGTTAAAATTAAAACGTGTTCATTTTTTTTTTTTGTAAAAAATTTTTTTTCCGATCGTATTTGCTTAGATTTTATCTCTTATCTCGTCCAAACGTTACCTTTTAACCGTTTCTCCTCCCGAAATCTCCCGATTACTCTGTTAAGTTCGTTAAGATTCGTATTTTCTTATATCATCATTTTTGTCTTACTCATGTTGATGATGATGATGAGGAGAAGAACGAGTAGCGTCCCCATCTCTTTTCTTTCGACCGTAACTACTTAAAACAGTTGACTTCCGCCAAACAGGTGCCGAACGGATCGTGCTTCGCTTGTTTTTAATGCGGCGTCGTGATGGCGGGAAAGCGGGGGGGGAAGAAGTAGGCGAATCTCGCGCGCTTTTCCCTTTACCTAACCCTCTCCCTCCACAATTTCTTTATCTTTTTGTTGATTAATGTGCTTGATGTGTAAATAGCGTGTCTAATTTTTGTTATTTAACAACAATTTTACGCGATTCGATTCAATTTAAAGAATGGTAAAACATCTTTATTTTATAAACAAATAAATATTGTTTTAATGAATAGTGGTATGTGTTATTAATACTTTATGCGTGTTTAGGATAAAACCGACGACGCTAAAAAACAAAGAAAAGAGGAGAATGGTGCGAATTCGGATGGTGATGATATAGAAGAGGAGGAAGAAGAAGGAGCGGAAGGGGAGGAGGAAGATGAGGAGGAGGATATTCCGGAGGGGGATGAAGAGGAAATTGAGGGAGAAGGTTAGTTGTTCATAGGAGAGAGTGAGATATACACCCCATGAGTCCTGTGTATGAGATTAAGTAATTTTTTTTTGCAGAGGATGATGAGGAGGATGTGGAAGGTGAAGAGGAGGGTGTGGACGAAGAGGAGGATGATGCATAATACACAGAGTTTTAACAGTGTACGGACTAGCAGTGAAAAGCCTGGACCAGGTGGATCCGTTTTCTCTAATTATTTTTTTTTATTATTTAATTCACAATGATGTAAACTTGCCACTGGTCCAGGAGAAAAAGACTCTAACTTATTACTGCAACCACCCCTTCAATTGTAAAAATGTCCATTTTGTGTAAAGATATAGCTATAAATTTAGACTTAAGTTGATGTCTCACCTCCCCATTTTTTTTCTTAATAATTAATAAGTATCTATTGTGTACAAAAAAATCAACCAGAGAAAGAAAAATTTAGGAAAATGAGAACACGACTTATTTTTACTTATAATATAATTTTTTTACTGTTACGTAGAAAAAAATAAAACGGAACATAATAGTGACTTTGCGTGCGCAGATAAAGGCTTATTTTTTAATTATTAAAATAGTTATAACATTTATTGTTTCAGATATATTTCAGATACACTTTTTTTATTTTTATTTTAATACTAAACTTGTAGGTATATACGACATTGATACGTCTAAATAATAATGATTTAAATTGGATTATTCTCATTTTACGTTTCAATGTTGTATGTGTCCCAAACGAAAAGAAACGAGCTCTGCCGGCAACGGACGGACAAACGACCGAAAAGAGATTAATAAATTTTCAACATTTTCTTCGTCGGTTGCCGTTCGACCCCTCAACCCCCACAACCCATTCCATCATTTATATACAATAAATAAAATGAGAGAACACATTATAGGAGATAAAGTCTGCGCGGGCCCCGTCACCGACAAAACAATAATGATATAATTTTTTCAATAAAATTTTAAGAAAATTACGAAAAAATAATCGACGAAAAGAATTTGTCTACTTAAAATATAAGAGTTGTTTTTTAGATTAAATTGTAGGTGTGTATAATTTCCCAATTTTCTTCGATATAATTTTTGTCTAAAATGATACAGTTGTTTCTTAATTCCAAGTGTTTTATTTGACACACACCACCCGTTCGAGTCAACACAGCGCCTGCACGGACGGGATGAAATGCATCGGACGGAGCCAAAGTTGATCATCACCCATGATAAAAAAGAGAACCGATGGTTGTACTGTGTGTGTATCACACTACAGTTTTATTACTAGTAATGTTTAATAAAACGATATTTTGTAAGTACAAAACTGTGTATTTATGATTATTTTTTTAATTCTAAACGAGAAAAAAATTAAAATTAGGACAATAAACTTTTTACAAATGCCGTTTTTTCTACGTCATCCAAATAATTTCTAGAACATTCTCAATCAAACACCAAGGTAAGTCACAAAAATAAAATAGTCTTTAATTTTTTTTTTTTATTTTTTTTAATTTTGATGAATATTTAAAATAACTAAAATAAAATTAATACGAAAGAATTTAAAGTACATGGGTATATTTATATCCGTTTTTTGGGATCATCACAACAATTTTAGATTAGTTGACCTACTAATAATGACGCGTCATAATGGGTATTTATCTCTACCAGTTTACAAATAAACCAATAATAAAAATAGCTACCGTTCCCAGAGATACCGAAAAATGATATCGCATTACATATAATAAATATTTTAAGTATATAGTGTTGAATGTAGTGGTAAGCTTAAATTTAACTTTACGCAAACGAAAATAAAACGGCTTGACTTTTAAAAATAACCCAATTCCGTTTGCCCCCCTACGATACAAACGATCAATCTATAACTTTCTTTAAAAGTAATCGACATCCCCAGAAAAAAAAAAAAAGATTAAAATATTAAAACTTAGTTCCTCTTGCTATGATGACCATCCTTTCTGGTATTATTAGGTTGATTTATATATCGGCCCAAAGCGTTCGCGGGAGTCATGCGCTGTTTACCGGTTGGAGCCGGATAAAGTCTTTGATTAGCACGAGGAGGCCCAGCTGCTGTCGCTGCCCCAGTTTGTTCGTGAGATTGAGATTGCTCTTGACCCTCCGCCGAAGTTCTTCTGATGTTGGATGATCCTCCAGCTCTTCCCCTATTAAACTCGATGTTATGGACCGGCAAAGACATCGACTGACGATTTGTTCTTCCAGAGCCGGCCGCTCCGGCGCGGTTGTCTTCGTGTACGGCGGCTGTGGCCCAGTCGCAATCGGAACCTCTGGGGACCTGCGAAATACAGAGCACGCCGATTTTCATCAGTCAGGCAAACGTTTTGCTACCGCCGCAATAAATCGATAGACCCGACCCCCACCACTACTAAGAAGAACGGGGCACAAAGAGCCAGGTATGTTGGGGGCCGGCTGTGGCAGAAATTTTGGTACAGCCTTCTCTACCCGAGCCCGGCTCAATTCGCATTCTCGGAAAGCCCCGTTCATGCACAGTACTGACCAAAAGAAATAATATCTTATTCAAGGATTTTCTTATAAAAGAAAATTATTTCATATTTTATTATTTCTTTTTTATCTAATTCTTACTAAACACTATATGAAGTTATAATATTATAACAATGTTAATAAAAAAACTATTGACTATAATCCTAGTTTATATAAGAAAGTATCAGGTAATAAGGATACATATTTTTAGATGTATTATAATCTTTATAGTTGATGTACTATTTTTCTATATTTTGTTGTAGGATATAGATAATTATGTATTCTTACAATGATATCTATTCTTGCTGAATGTTATTGGATTTTGCTAAAGTTTTTCGTAACGCATCTACGTTTATTTATTTCCGTTAATAATATTTTTCTCATTATAGGTCCCATACATCTGCAACCAAATTGCACAACAATCATCCGCACAATCACATCAATGTGTACTGTATGGTGTTGGTTGATGCGCTGCGCAACTGGTTGCAGAAATTCAAAACACATTGTGCAGTAATTCTTTTCATGTGTGTTAGTAGAAGGTGGTGATATTGGTTCTTTCAATAATGTGTCTTATTTTTGTATAAGTGGTGTTACCATGGTCAAAAATTCACGAAAAGGATCCATTCGCAAATAATTTTTATAGTCTAATGGCGAACTTAACGTAACTTCTTTGGAATGATTTGCGTGGCTAGAAAGTGATCTTTTCTTTAATCACTCTTTCATCCATACTCTCTGCTTTTTCTTTTTCTAACACCATCTTCCGACGCAACAGCAATTCTTATAGGCGTACACAACACAAGTAACACCTTGTTTGCACAATAACCTGTTGTGTAACGCAATTTATTTGCAGGTGTATGGGGCCTATTATGATATTTATTCTTCATCACTACTCATATTTCCTTTATTCATTTTGGATTTCTATCTGCGTTCTTTCTATATTTAGTGGTTATTCATCATATCTTTAGTTTCAAGTATTCCAAGTAGTTGAAATAGAGCTACTTGGATTACAGATTATGTTATCTTAAAAAAGTCTTGCAAAATGACATTGTGTAAGTAACCAATTGGGTGAACCAAAGAAGACCTGTTAAGGTAGGTACATAATATAAGTATTTGTTCTGTATCAGTATATACAGTGAAACGTTTCTTAGTTTTGTGTCAAAATATGATACAAAGATTTGCAACGAGCTTAATCATCGTTTAGTTTCCAGGTTATTGTCATATCAAGAAAATAATTTCCGTATATCACCCAGGTCTCGACGCTGTGTTGTAAAAATGGAGTGGAATTAAGAAGAAATCATAAAATTATGAGATCATTTGAGATGAAAGAAGGTTACTTGGACCAAAGCATCGTAGCACTTAACGTACAGCTGCCTTGGGATTGTTTACTGAAGAATTAAGTAAAAATTGTTTTGCTTTCGTCTGATGAGGTCATCAAATACAGTAAATACATAAAATTTCCGTTGTTGTGCAATAGAAAACTACAAACTGGACACCAATCACTTCACAACCCTATAGTGATATTTTGGTACATCTTCACCCAAGTTAAATCAGTTTGAAACCATAACGATAAAGAAGTCTGGTTCCAACAAGATGGAGCTCATACCTCACGATATTCTGTAGTAACTTTAAGAGAGTTATGGTCTTGGAAGTTTTCTCTCTTTGCAAGGACACGTCATCTAGCCCCCAAGTTCACCTGATTCAATACATTGTAATTTTTTTCTTATCACAAATGTGCAACCACCTCCAACCCAGAAAATGGCTGCTATTTCACTGGAAATGGCACGAAAAACTATAAATGACGTCCTGGAATGGTTTCCTCAAAAATTTCTTTTTTACAAATATAAGTAAGTATATTTGCTGTATCTTACTTTGTCTATTTCAAACTTTGTTTTGAAATAGGGGGATCTTTTTGCCGTACCCTCTAAACATTATTATGGCTCTAACAATTAAATGCAAGTTTTTGAGTGAATATCTTAAGAAGAGTACCCTATGAATATTTCTTTTGAGTTACTAGACACGGTCTTTACAATGACTCCCATTAGAACAAAGATGCTACCACGATTGAGTTCAAGGATGATTCAAATTTTGACTGTAAAGATATCAATAAACTTCTTTGAATGTCTCGATCTTAGAGAAATAGCCATTGCTTATACACTCTTTAACTTTGCAGGGAGATTTTACAACCACTAATAAGAGCTGAGATTCTTTGTATTGATTGCAGCACTTGGAAAACAGCTCGACTATCTGAAAATAATTTTATTGCTGTGTTTTTGACCTCTGTATCTAGAACGGTACTGACACCCATGACAATAACAAATCCTTTTGTCGAATAGTAAATGCGTTACCAGCTCTTGAAAAACAATTTATTAAATTTTCTTACCTTTGTATCCAAATTCCCTATAAAAAAAAATAAATCAAATAAACATTTTTTACCATCATATCCTGTTTCCACATTTTCATCATATCTAATACATTAGCACTCAATGTATTTTCGCTGAGTAATTTTCCATGAAGCCACGGATGCATACAAATTTCTCCGGCAGTTATCCTTAAAGCAGGATCTTTTTCGAGCATCTTCTTGAGGAGATGTTTCGCTTCAACGCTAGCACCAAGGCTGGTGAATTGGGGTTCCGCGTGACAGATCATCCGAGTCAACTCGGACTCGGCCATTGAGAAGAATGGAAATTCGCCGGTTAATAGTAAATACATGATGACTCCCAATGCCCAAATGTCGCACTGTTGGCTGTAAGTGCCCTTCATAATGATTTCGGGTGCTGAAAACTGTTTTTGTGAGCTAACAAAAAAAATGTTGAGATCATTTGTATACAGATATAGGTTAGGGTTCCGCAACGATCGTGCATCCTTTCATAGTGGGCTCCTTTTACGAATCCAAGTCCGAAATCGGAGACTTTTATGTAAAGGTCATCTTGAGGGTTTTTTGGATTTTGCGCCAGAAGGATGTTCTCGAGTTTTAAGTCTCTGTGGACGATTTCTGTAAAGGGACCAAGTCCTCTGTAAATATTTTACTTTTTGGATTTTTGTTTTCAGCTAATTATTAATTTTTTTACCATTTTTGTGTAAATAATCTACTGCGTTCGATAATTGCGTGATGACGTTTCTTGTGTCGCCTTCGGTGAAAGGTTTTCTTGATTGAAATTTCTGCCTAAGTTCGCCAATACATTTTTCCATAACCAAATAAATTTTTTCAGTAGATTCAAATATTTTGTGCAGATAAATAATGTGAGGGTGTTTAACTAGTTTCAAAATTAATATTTCCCGGTTTATTGAGGTCATTTTTTTCGGAGCCTATTAAATTTAATAGAATTTGTTATGATTCTTAATTCAAATCGAATGCATTTACAGTTTTTGGTATGATTTTCATTGCCCATGTGGTTCCATTTTGCTTCTCGCTGACACTTATGACTTTTCCGAAACTTCCTTGCCCCAAAACTTGTCCAAAGTTGTAAGATGTTTGAAGTACCGATGAATCGGTGATATGAATGTGTTTCACATCATTCTGTTTCTTTAATTTAGAAGCGTGCGAATGCTAAATATAACGTTTTCAATAATTATGTACATTAATTTGTTTTTAAATTAATTACTTACGCTTTGACTGTCAACTTCGAATTCATCCCAATTTAACGGATCTGTATTTATACCGGTGTTAACAAATTTTGGGGTTTTATCTGGCATTTTACCCATACATCTTGCTAAACTGTCAAATTTGGATAACCCGCCAAAAAAAACAAGTTTTTTTAATCTCGAAAATTATCTACTTTCATTTGAGTTTTACAAATAACTTACATGGACATTTTTGAATTCGATTCTATTGAAATCGATTTCATATCTAATAAAAAACTTGGAAACGACATTTTTTTTTACTATTTTTTCCTTTTTCGATTCTGATTATCTAAATTGTGTTGGTAGTATTAGAAACCATTAATTGTTATTTCGCAGTTGGCTACCACGCTTTTAAAATCGTTTTCGTTTGACAGCATGTCAACTACGATTCTAGATTATATTACAATAATGTACAATTATAATTATTAAGTGGTACTTTAAGGTAATTTGTTATTTTATTAAAATGTAAGATTTAGGAAGAAAATAATTAAAATTTTGTAGCGATATCTGTGTTGTAATGCCGTAACATCCTGAACTGTCATTTAATTACAGAAATCTGTATTTTTAATTAATTGGATAAAATATTTTTCACTTCTTATTTTAAATAATTAACATCAATATAAATGTTTATATTAATTAGTAGGTAATAATTAACGTAAAATATCTAAAAAGACTTATTTAACTTTGTCCAGGTAATATGAAAACTGATACAAAAACTATTGATAAAAATATTTCAAGAAATACATTAAATTGTTGATTTATTAAAGTAGAACGTGCCGCAATAACCGTGACACATAAAAAACCAAAATTAGATATGTAATTGTTAATTGCTATCGTTTCTACGTAAAAAACAACAATTAAGGTTATCATGTAGGTACTCGTGAGAATGAACGTAGATTTCAATACAAAAATGATTAGTACTCGAAAATTCGTTGATTTTATCTTTTAAACATCCTAATCGAATTAAAATGAGCCCGAATAAAGGGAAATTGTAAAAAAATACCGAAAGATAAGTGTTAAGTGCTCAATGTCGCCGCCGCATCGGTAGCGGCGCTGTAGTCGCTGGCCACGTAAGATTGACAATGACAGTTAACGAGTTGCAGAACGAAATCGTTCAAAAAAAGTTTAAATAGACAATAGGGAGATAAAAGTGTCGTTAGGATTTCTAATTTAAGACTTAATAAGGTATGTGGTGCCTATAAATTTAATTTAAACCCTTTTTGTTGCTTCTAAACCGACGCATAAACTGTTTACTGATTTCGAGGTCCAAAGGTTTCGTTATTTTCTTTTATTTAAACAATACATCTTACATTTAATCGATTTCCAGAATAACAATGAACGAGAACCTTCCGAACGGGATACCGGGACAACACGACCCGATGAAATCGTCACCTAGAGATCGTTTTGTGCCATTCAATGGGGTGGAATCATCACACTCTTCTAGAGACTCATCTCCAAGCCTTCGTACACAAATACCACTGTCGCAACTACCCACTGGTAAAATGGAAATTCCCCCTGGACAATTACCACCAAAAGTATCCAATTTAACAGGACAAATGGGCCGAATTTCTTTATCAAAACCGTCTGAATTACACACACCATTCTCAAGTCCTAACGTTTTTACATCAACGCCCGTTTTAGAAGCAACAAAACCTAATTTAGTATCACCCATCGGTACCCCAAAGCCCAAAGAAGGCAGTGCTTTTACACATTCTTCAACGAGCCAATTTGCGTCTGTCAAAAATATCGAAAGAAATGAAATTGGGAAAGAAGAAATCGAAAAAAATGTGAGTTCGTTTTTTAATAAGAGCGGAATAAACGGTTCGCTTAAAGATTTGCGGAATATGGACGATTTTAGACAAGGCGAACAAAAATTAACGCCAAGTAACGTTGTTCCTCAACCAATTAAAATGGCTTCTCAACCAAATTTGATGGGAAATCAATTTACGCAACAGCCGAGAATTAGTCAACCCAATTTACAAGGGAATATTCTACAGAATACTCAACAAAACGTTCCACAACCAATTAAAATGGGTTCTCAACCGAATTTAATGAGTAATCAAGGATTTCAACATCAAAATATTCCACAACAAATTAAAATGAATCAATTTCAAACAAATTTGCCTACTCAAAATGTACCAAATCAACAATTTGGTTTGCAACAACCTCAAAATCAACAAAGATTTCAATTAAATCAGCAACAAAAGCAGCAAAGTTTTAGTGGACCACAAATTAATCCTCAAATTCAACCTCACTTACAACATCCACAACAAATAAATCAAGGGGGTATTCCCCAAGCGAATTTTCCACAAGGAAATGTTCAACAGATGAGAATGCCACCACCAAAATCGAATAGTTTTCCACAATTAGGTCAAAACGTTCCTGCAATTAATTCTGATCAAAATAAAGCTCATTTACACACTAATAGATATCCACAAAATAATTTTAATCAGAATCAACCAAGTGGATATCAAAATCAACCTCAAACTAGTTTTCATAATCAACCAACAAGTCAAGGATTTCAAAATCAACCACAAAGTGGATTTCCAAATCAATCACAAAGTGGATTTCCGAATCAACCACAAAGTGGATTTCCAAATCAACCACAAAGTGGATTTCCAAATCAACCACAAAGTGGATTTCCAAATCAACCACAAAGTAATTTTCAAAATAAATCAGTAAGTGGATTTCAAAATCAACCTCAACAAAGTTTTCAAAACCAACAGCAAGGGGGGTATCAAAATCAACCTCAAAGTGCATTTCAAAATCAACCTCAAAGTGGATTTCAAAATCAACCTCAAAGTGGATTTCAAGTTCAATCACAAGCTCCTTATCAAAATCGTGTGACTCAATCTGGTTTTAATAAATTATGGGGTAACGAAAATTTTGATCTACTCCAATGTCCAAATATATTGCCTCCGACGAAAGTGGAAGCGCCGAAAATCAATTTAGGACAAGAATTTTTAAATGCCGCGAATTGTAGTGCGGATATTTTCCGTTGTACAATGACAAAAATACCGGAAAGTACGACGTTACTACAAAAATCTCGTTTACCACTCGGCGTATTAATTCATCCGTTTAAAGATTTAAGTAATTTGCCGGTGATTCAATGTAACACGATTGTGCGTTGTCGTACTTGTCGTACTTACATAAATCCTTTCGTATTTTTCGTCGATTCGAAACGTTGGAAATGTAATTTGTGCTATCGAGTAAATGAACTCCCCGAAGAATTTCAATATGATCCGGTTAGTAAGACTTACGGAGATCCCGCACGCCGACCGGAAGTACGTTCAAGTACAATTGAGTATATAGCCCCGGCTGAGTATATGTTGAGACCCCCACAACCAGCGATTTATCTTTATTTATTCGACGTATCAAGACTTGCTGTTGAAACTGGGTATTTACACACAGTTTGTAACGTACTCAGCGCGGAAATACAAAATATTCCTGGCGATGCAAGAACGCAAATTGGATTTTTATGTTATGATTCGTGTTTACATTTTTACTCTTTAGCCGAAGGTCAAAATCAACCCCACGAGATGACCGTATTGGATATCGACGACGTGTTTATACCATGTCCGGATAATTTATTAGTAAATTTAAAAGATCGTATTGATTTAATTACGGATTTATTAAGTCAATTGCCTATGAGATTTTCAAATACAAATGATACAAACTCAGCTTTAGGCGCTGCTTTGCAAGCGGCTCATAAAATGACTTCACCGACGGGTGGAAGGGTAACCGTTTTTCAAACTATTTTGCCGAACAAAGGTCCTGGGGCGGTTGTTTCTCGAGAAGATCCCAATCAGAGATCGTCAAACGACGTACATCACTTAAACCCGGCTAACGATTTTTATAAACGTCTCGCTTTAGAATGTAGCGGCCAACAAATCGCCGTTGATTTATTCATTTTAAATTCTCAATACGTTGATCTTGCGACTATTTCTGGAATAAGTCGTTTTAGTGGAGGATGTATTTATCATTTTCCGTTATTTAAAGCCAGTAGAATTGTTCAAAACGATCATTTTGAGCGATCTTTTCGACGGTATGTTACGAGAAAGATTGGATTTGAAGCTGTTATGCGTGTGAGATGCACGCGAGGACTTTCTATACACACTTTCCATGGGAATTTGTTTGTTAGATCGACAGATTTACTTTCTTTACCAAATATTAACCCTGATGCTGGTTTTGGTATGCAAGTTTCTATCGAAGAAAATTTATCGGATGTTCAAACGATATGTTTTCAAGCTGCTTTATTGTACACGTCAAGTAAAGGTGAGCGTAGAATACGCGTTCATACTTTGTGTTTACCAATTGGTAATACTTTACATGATATTATGAACTCGGCCGATCAACAATGCATCGTCGGATTGTTAGCGAAAATGGCTGTTGATCGTTCGATGCAATCGAGTCTTTTGGATGCGCGCGAAGCTTTCTTAAATGTAGCAATCGATATTTTAACTAGTTATAAAATTCAATTAAATTTGGGTTCTAGTACCAACGGATTAATGGCTCCTAATAATCTTAGATTACTTCCTTTGTACATTTCGGCGTTATTAAAAAGTGTAGCGTTTCGTGTAGGTACTTCAACGAGATTAGACGATCGAGTTCGCGCAATGTGTGATATGAAAACAAAACCGTTGCCTTATTTAATACAACAAATTTATCCGGATTTATATCCGGTTCATAACCTCGAAGAGCATAGCACGGTTTTAAACGACGAAGAGGAACAAATCCATCTTCCGCCTCATTTACAATTGACGGCGCGAAATTTAGATTCGAACGGTGCCTATTTAATGGATATGGGCGAACATATTTTATTATTTATTTGTGCAAGCGTATCGCAAGGTTTTCTTAAGGACGTTTTGGATTGTAACGATTTCAATAGTATCCCGGAAGATTTCTACGAATTCCCCACGTTGGATAACGCGGCTAATCGAAGGATGCAAATGTTTTTGAATTATTTGAACGATGAGAAACCGTTCCTTGCTACGTTTCAAGTAATTAAAGATAACAGTCCGCAACGCGTTATCTTTTTAGAACGACTGATCGAAGATCGACTGGAAAACTCGTTGTCCTACCACGAGTTCTTACAGCACATCAAGACCCAAGTGAAATAGCTAATAATTAAGTGAACCGTGTCTTATTAATATTAAAAAAAAATAAAAGGAAGAAAAATGAACATTAATCATGGTATATGATACATACTATTAATAAAATATAAATACATAAAGACGATAAAGTTTCGGTGCAAATTTATTGCTCGCATAGACTTTTCAATTATTATCTTTTAAGTGCATTTTTTTATTATATTAATTATATCCTATTTATTCTTGGGTCAATCAGGAACTTTTTTATTTAGTTTCATCGAAGAGGATCGAGCAAAAGCAATAACTTTGCATTATTTAGGAAGTAACGTGGAACAAGAGTGATTTCGTTTCTTAATATTTAGTGTACATACGAGTTTGGATAAAATAAAGAAATATTACAAAAAAAAATAATAATAATAATGTTACAGTGTTGTTTTCGCAGTTCTTACTTTCAAATTATTTCAAATGATAGTATTTATGTCCTGTTTATATCCTTTAGTAATAATAAAACTGTATATTATTCTTTAAATGCTTTTTGCGTTATTGCGCCAATAATGTTATTCATCGCTTTTCCTGTCAGATGGTTCTAGTATGTGCAGCATTTTATAATGTTTGGAAGTTCTGTATAATTTTTTTAGGAATTTTTCTAATCCAGGAAGAACTCAACCCACACGGAACCGAACCCAAACGCAGCCCAACCTTTCTTCTCTCTCCTTGTTACTGATTATGGTTCTGATAAAGGTTTCCGTCCTTCCTCAATCGCAAGCATGACTTCCATACAGGTCGTTGGTTCTTACCCTCTGTCCCACTTCTATATTTAATACCTCCTTCTATCTAACATCTTTATCTGCACAATATATGTATACAGTTTCCGCTCTGTACTCTTTTGAATCTGTACAGGTACGCTCTGAAGCAGCCATATCCTGCGATAAATTGGCTGATGTGATAATTAGTATTTCCCTATTTCTGTTTATCCAGCGATCTATATCCGGCAGGTTTCTCTTCATCCATTGTTCTTTTTCCGTGCCTTCTCTCCATCTATCCGTCCACTTTTCCATGCATCGCTTCTTCGATGTCCTTTCTCCTTGATGTTTTTAATTATGATGTCCATAAGCGGTGTATCTCCCATGACCTGGAGTACTTGTGGAAACGGTTCTGTACGAGCTTGTTATCCTAACTCTTTGTACCCTTTCCATCGTTATCAAATTTCTCCTAATGTTAATGGTGTCTTTTTACGCTTCACAAGCATATAGTATTTAGGAAAATATAATTGTACAAATAATTTATTTGTTTTCTGTGTTCGAACCGCACTTCCGCAATCTAACCTGAAACCCGAAAACAACCCAATCCAAAAGCAATTCATCCCAAAAGTCGCAACATCTATACATTGGCGGTGTTGATACCAACCTAACCGAGAAAGAAATCAACCTGAAAGCAATCCGCTTCAGAACCAACCTAACTCGGAAGGAACCCAACTTAAAAGAGATCCAACCCAAAAGCGCAGCAACATTTATGCATTGACGGTTTGAGAGGAATTATTTAGCAAGACATTTTTTGGTAGCGCTTTTTCATTTGCCAAATTATCATTACTTATGGGCTACTTTCTCAACACGGGAGGAACTTGCACGGATTATTTCCAAGAATTTCTTCAATTTTGATAAGTTTTGTGCCAGAAGAGATAGTTCTAGGGATCTTACTTGTTGTGACATTGTGGCTTCAGCAACTCCTCTCATTAAATATCTTCAAATCACTCAATATGAAACTTGAAATATATAAAGTATAAAAGTATGACTTCACTTCTTAATATGTTGGTCTGGTCTGTCGTTGTTGAAGAAGCTAATTGTATTTTTTCTCCATATTTGTAACAGTTCTTCGGTTTTTATCACTATTTCATTGTGCTCATTCTTAATGAAATTTGGCGATGAGATTAATTTGAATTGATTAAAATCTGACGGCTTCAATTAACTCCATCTATGAGGATTTTATACCAACTAAATCATGAATCGGCTTTAAAAATAGAAATATTTGTTTAATAATATATTAAGTGCGTTATAAAAGAATAAATAAAAACATATTTGATAAAGTTTAACTTTATATAAAGTTTTTATATACAAATAAAAATTAATGAAGTATTATTTTTATACAACTCCATCTATGAATAAATATCCGAATTATTCAACCAAAAAACTAAAATAATTATTAAAAAAGAAATTGATTCAATTAGAATATGTTTTATTAAAATAATTTATAATATACCAAAAAAACATTTATTAATATAATAAGACAATAAGAAAAAGACAATAAATAAATAAAATTTAATTTTGACGTTTAGTAAACGTTCAAATGTTCGTTACCACGTGACATAACGGACCAATCACAATTGAAATTTCGACAGTTAAATCGGTGCAACTTCGAAAATCAATGTCATTCGGTGTCTTGTCGCTAACCGTTATTTTGTGTTTTATCATTACTTGTGCGCGAATTTAGGCTAAAGCTAAAGGAAAACCATCCGGAGGATCTCAACAAATTAATCGGCTCCCGGCGACGAACGGCGCTGTATCGAAACATTCCTGTTAGTAAGCGGATGTGTCGTTTTTTATCCGACATTTTGATTCAGTTGATGTCACAAAAAGGGGTAGAATTTTTCTAAAAAAGTAAACCCTTGCGAGAAAATCGTTTGTACGCCACAACAAATTGAGGTTCCACTCTGCAAAGTTCAATGCATGTTTTAAATCGACATTCGTAAGGTAAGTAGGTCGAAAGAAAACTTGTTCTAGTCTTATTTGGTGTTGAGAAGGTTCTTTTCTTATTATATTTCTTATTTTTTCTTGTAGGTTTATACCACTTTTTTTTTTATTAATACAGGTTGTGAAATATGTATTAAATGTATCCATATTAACATTTAAAACATTTTTTTTCAGATTATTGTAAAGAAAAATGGACGAAGAAGAATATAAAAAACTCCCTGTAGAGGACCGTTGCGTTCATAAATTATGGAAAGCACGTGTAAGCGGATACGAGGATGTAACTCGTCTTTTCCGTCAAATAGATGACGAAAAGTCACCCGAATTCGGAAAATATCTAGGATTAGTAAAAAAATTTGTGGTGGATAGCAATGCGATGGGTCAAGAAAAAGGTTTAGAAGCGACATTAGCTTTTGTTGAGAATTACGCCCATGCTGGAAAAACAGTTGGAGAAGTAATGTCGGGGATCATCACCAAATGTATGGCCGCCCCAAAATCAAAAACTAGAGATTTAGCATTGCAAGTAACATTAATGTATGTAGAAATTGAAAAGCAAGATGTTGTTCAAGAGGAATTATTAAAAGGGATGGATTTGAAAAACCCCAAAATTGTTGCCGCCTGCGTAACAGCTTGCACCACCGCATTAAAAGAGTTTGGATCGAAAGTATTTCCAGTAAAACCTTTGGCAAAGAAAATTTCAACTCTTTTCGCAGATCGTGATAAAACAGTTCGAGATGAAGCCCGTTTGTTAGTTATTGAGATGTACAAATGGGTTGGACCAGCAATAAAGTAATTTAATTCCCCATTTAATCAAAAAAAATAAATTATAATAATCTTTTAACATTTTTATCTTATAGACCCCAATTAACCAATCTTCAACCAGTTCAAGTAACAGAATTAGAAGCTGAATTTGCAAAAATTGAAGGACAAAAACCTGTTCCAAGTCGATATTTACGATCACAACAAGAAAAAGCAGCTGCTCAAATGGTTGAAGAAGCCGTCATTGGGGATTGTAATGACGAAGATAACGAGGAGGAAGTTAACACAAATATGGATCCTTATGATTTAGCTGATCCCCAAGAAATTTTATCAAAACTACCAAAAGATTTCTACGAAAAATTAGAGGCCAAAAAATGGCAGGAAAGAAAAGAAGCCCTGGAGGCTTTAGAAAGACTTGTTCAAACCCCAAAATTAGAAACTGGTGATTATGGAGATTTAGTTCGTGCTTTAAAAAAGGTTTATCCAAAAATATAAATTGCATCAAATCAAATTTTAATTAATTATTTATTTCTTATTTTCAGATCATTCAAAAAGATAGTAACGTTGTTGTTGTAGCTTTAGCAGCTAAATGTCTTACTGGGTTAGCAAATGGTCTTAAAAAACGTTTTCAAACGTACTCAGGTGTTTGTATACCTGCTTTATTAGAAAAATTCAAGGAGAAAAAGCAAAATGTTGTTGTTGCTATAAGAGACGCTGTCGATGCAGTTTTCTTATCAGTAAGTTAAATCATTTGCATTAAAAATTTAATTCAAATTTATGGTTGAATAAATTTGGGAGTGTTTAAGAAATTAGTCGACATTGAAAGTGATGACTAAATTGTGTAGGTATTAAAATTTCTATGATATCATGTTTATGTCATTTTATAATTGGCCATTACAATGTTTTGGGAGTTGGTCATATTCAACAATATAATATCTTATTGTCACTTTCTGTGTACAATTAAAACACAATAGCTATAATATACAGGTGGCTGATAGGTATGGAAACTGTTAGATATCTCCTAAAGTAAGATAGCTACCAAAAAATGTTAAGATACAAAAGTTTTAGTGTTTTTTTAAATTCTATTACAATAAAGACAAATTAAGTATACAGGGTCAGTTAAAAAGTTATGACGAAACAAAGTTGGTTATAGTTTTTTTTTAATGGAACATCCTGTATATTACTCCATATTTCAGTTCATCTCAAAATTCTAAACAAAATTCATGTAGCACATCATAGACCTAAACTTAACCGTCTTCCAGATAACCAGCCTTTTAAAAATTTACAAATTTATCTAATTAGTGACGTAATAGACTGCCTAAGTCTGACGTCACAGAGATGGGCGGAGCTTATACCAACTCCAAACAATTTCGTTGCTAACTCGTCATAAAAAAGTCATTTAGTTTATTTAATTCCCGTCCACCCTGTATTTATATGATTTATAAATGTATACAAAATCATTCATTAATGACACCTATTAATAAACGATTTTAAGGTTTCAAAAGTCAAAACTTATTATTGTAGTCTTACCAAATAGATATAGTGGTCGGTTGGGTCGATATTACAGATTTCATTCGAGAATATTTACTAAATTGACTACTATATTATACTCTGTTTTTAAACCAGGAGGAGTAAACGCGAAAGTCAGATTTACACTAGGAAAAATCACCAGAAAATATCACTAGATATTTTGGCGGTAAATTTAAATTAATAATTATTATTTATTTATTTACTTATTATTGTATTTATTTTCGTTTGTTATCGTCAACACTATACATACAAATTAACATTGAAATTATGAGTGTATTTATTTCAAAATATAATAAAAAAGGGTTTAAGAACACAAAATATACAATAATGACACGAAACTGTCGAATTATCAATTACCTAACCTTCAAATTCAAAATCAAAATTTAAAATTGCCTGTGTATGAACCTTTCTCGCATTCAACCAATCACGTGCAAGGTCAATCTGGTGACAAATTTAAAATACTCCTCCTGGTTTAAAAACAGAGTATAGTTCGGTCGGACTTTTTTAAAGTTTGCCAGTGGCCAGTGATAGAAGTCGACGGAAAAATATTGTAACTAACTCGTATATTAAAATGCGATTAATTATCTCAATAATTAACAATTATAAATCTTAAAAATAAGTTAAAATATCTCGATAATTATAATTAATCGCCTTCATTAATACACTTGTTGGTTAAATAACTATTTAACACTAATTGAAAAAGTGCATAATATGAATAGAAATGAATAGATTATTGCTCAGCTCAGATCCATTATTGTCTAGCATTAGACAAAAACCACGAAATAAATCTATACCACAGAGTAAAGAAGTCTTAGAAATGCTGATTTCTGCTGAGCCCCACATGGCTGACAACAATTTCTCTGATGAGGAATCTACTGCAGAACATTCTGATCGCGAATGAGCCAATGGAGCTCTGATGACCGTACTTTTCATGTTAGATTAGGGTTGAAATATGTTTTAAATAATTTTTTTAATGTAAAATTGTTTTTTACTTTTATATATGTTTACCAAAAGCCTAAAACAACAGAAATAAATCAAAATAAACGTTTATGAAATCCTTATTAGAGAAGTGTACAAAAGAAATATCTGGAAATTAGTAACTGCCATAAAAAAATAAGAAAATTCCTGCTATCTTGGAAAGTTAGATGATGAGATATAACTTTTACAACATCATTTGATAATACTGCATTGATACATAGCGTATAATACTGATGAAAATATTTACATTTAAATCATAAAATTTATTTATTCATTAATTTATTTATTTTTATGAAATTACAGACTTCAATAGAAGCAATTTTAGAAGACGTTATCGAAGCATTAAACAATAAAAATCCCTCTGTAAAATCAGAAACGGCTCTTTTTCTATCAAGATCATTCGCAAAAACCCTCCCAGTTACGTTAAATAAAAAACTTTTAAAAGCTTTAACCGGCGGCCTAATCACCTTAGTTAATCAGCCAGGTAAGAATAATCTCCGTAAATTATAACCAAAATTTATTTTATTCCAAAAATATAGATCCTACCGTTCGAGATAGTGCTTGTGAAGCCTTAGGAACATTATTGAAATTAGTAGGTGAAAAAGCTGTGGGTCCATTCCTTGTTGAACTCGAAAAAGATAATTTAAAAATGACAAAAATCCGGGAATGTTGTGAAAAGGCGGTGATATTGGTGAAAGTTCCAGTGGCGAAAAAAGATAGGCAACCAACGAATAAGGCTCCTGCTAAACCTCAAAGTACGGCTGTTAAGCGTCCAAATACGGCTTCATCGGCTAGTAGTAATGCTAGTACAAAGAAAAAACCTGAAATCTCATCTGGAACAGCAACTATTGTAAAATCGAAAGGGAATAAAACAACTAAGGCTGCTCCAGCGAAGAAACCACCGGTTGAAAGGGAATTAAGCGACGAGGAGGTTGATGGAATAGTTAATGACATTCTACCTTCCGAAATTATTGTGGGATTGACAGATTCGAATTGGAAAACTAGATTATCCGCTGCCGAACAAATGTTAACGAAACTACAAGGGATGGATGCTAATATTGTTCCTACACAAGCTATGGTTAAATTAATTGCGAAAAAACCTGGGTTAAAAGATATTAATTTTCAAGTTTTAAAAGTCAGATTGGATGTTGTAAAATATTTGGCTGGAAATTGTTCGTTTTCAATGTAAGTCTTTAATTAATTAATTACTTAATTTAAATTTTTTAATAAAAAAATTTAGTACAACAGCTTACGCATGTTTAAATGATACAATTGAAAAACTCGCCGACGCTAAAAATGGTGCAGCAGCCGGGGAAGTTTTAACAGCAATTTCGGAAGCAACAAGTCTAGGTTACGTTTCCGCCCAAGTTATGGAATTTGCTGTAACTCAAAAAAGTCCAAAAGTACTTCAAGAAGCCCTAAATTGGTTATCAAGTGCAATTAAAGAATTTGGATTTGGGTAATTAATCATTTCCTTTATAATTTCTTCAACTAATTTTTTTATTTTTTTAGAAATCTTAACGCAAAAGTCCTCATAGAAACTGGAAGAAAAGGTTTGGGTTCATCAAACCCGGCTGTTCGCGCAAGCGCGATAACATTCATGGGCGTTCTCTATTTATATATGGGATCGGTCATTTATACATTTTTCGAGAATGAAAAGGCCGCATTAAGAGATCAATTACACGTAGAATTTGAAAAATACGCCAACGAGAAACCTCCATCCCCAATAAGAGGCATAACACGTAGTGAGAGTTCAGTGAGTGTTAATAAGGAAGTCGAAGATGAAGATTCCAATTCGGGAACAACAAACGTAGCCGATTTATTACCTCGAGTTGATATTAGCCCACTAATTACCGAAACTTTAATTAACGAACTGTCGGATAAAAATTGGAAAATTCGTAATGAAGCTTTAACAAAAATCAATTCGATTATAAAAGAAGCGAAATTAATCAAACCGAATATAGGGGATTTACCTCAAGCTTTAGAACCGAGACTTTTGGATACAAATAGTAAAATAGCTCAAGCGACAATTAATCTTTGTGAAACGATTGCTCTTTCTATGGGACCTGCTTGCAAAAATTTAATTCGAGTGCTATTTCCGGGATTATTACATGGTTAGATTTAATTATAGTAAAACCTCAATGTAACGGAATGTTTTTAATGGCACAAAATATTTTTAAGTCGAACCTGGATAAGTGGGAACAACTTTAAAATCCTTCTTATTGAGGTGTCCCAGTAATCCAAAATCCCAGTTATAAAAATCTTAATCCCACATACAGAGATCAATCAATTTCATTTAAACTAAAGCAAACATTTTATTAATTAGAAAAAATCGTTTTTTTTCTCTAAATCATTTAATAAATAACATGATCATTTGTTTCGTCTCAACCTTCAAAAAAAGATTGTAAAACATTCATAGCTTTTCGTGCTTCCGCTCTGGTTATTACAGGATTTTGTACTTCTGGTTCATCAACATCTTGTTTATCTTGGTCCAAGTTTTCATTAAAAAAGTTCCTCAATGTCATTATTTTGATCTCCACAAATACTTAAACCACTGTCCACGTTTATGAAATCCCATGCAGTGATTTACTCTTCGCATCTTTTAGTAACAGTGAGTTCGCATTCTATCGCTGGTTGTTCTTTATCTTCATGAAATTCATCAACATCCATTTCTTCATATAACCGATGTTTTTTTGGAACAATTAACAATTGTTTTCTCGGTTTTCTATACATTTTAGTATGTGTTTCACAACAATTTGACGATAAAGAACTTTAAAATTTTGTATAATACCTTGATCCAATGGTTGTAATTTACTGGTTGTGTTAGCAGGAAGAAACGAAATTTTGATGCTGTTTAATGTAAAAATGTCCTTTATAAAAACAATAATTTTTCTTTTTTGCTGACTCATCCCGAAAGATAATGGCCGTCATCCACTAGTTTTTGTAGTTTATCGGTAGTGTCTTAATATTTTGGAAACATCTTGGTTTCTTTGATTTTCCCATCAAAAGTAATGGTATTTTTTAGTGGTGGAATATCTGGTTTAGTGGTGGAATATCTGGTTTAGTGGTGGAATATCTGGTTTAGTGGTGGAATATCTGGTTTAGTGGTGGAATTACCTGATATCCAGGCAACTATCCGGCCATTATTTAAAATTTTTTCAAATTTTGCAATTTTCGCCGATTAAGTTTTGAAAATTCGTATAAAATCCAGTTCTTGGAATATGAGTATGAAAATTTCCCAAAGTCTAAATAAGAGTGTCCTCTTTTCAATGAACTAACCCGTTTTGAAAAATAACTTTTACTTTTTGAGAAAATATTTGAAGTTTTGATAAAATTTTCGGTGTTGCAATTTTCATCGATGATTTTCAAAATTCGCTATAAAATTAATTTCTTGAAGGATCCTTGTGGAAATATCACCAATTATTAATTAAAGTATCCTCTTTTTAATGCAAAATTTTTCGAATTTTGCAATTTTCGCTGATTAAATTTTAATAATTCATATAAAATCGATTTCTTGGAATATCAGTTTGAAAATTTTCCAAAGTGTTAATAAAAGTGTTAATTCATTTCTTGAAGGGTACTTGTGGAAATATCGGCAATTATTAATTAAAGTATCCTCTTTTTAGAGTTGCTTCGTTAGTTAAATCAGCATCAAAAAAGTTCATTTTGTATCTTGGATCCAAATAAGTTAACATATCTTATCAGGTTTCTTATTAATTTCATTTTTATTCAAATATCGCAATAATGTGGCAATGTAGGGTATCACTTCAGAAATGCACCAGAAATTATAACCATAATGGCCGGATAGGCTTTTCGCAAAATCACTATTCGTTCCATCACTACTATTTTTTCTGTCCCGTCCATATTAATGCATAACAATGTTACTCGTTCTTTGCTGTGTTTGCCAGCATGACAATCGTAGTTTTTGAAACAAATAGTGAACGAATTGGTTCTCGCACGGCATAACCATTGTAAACAAACCTACACTTACAATAGTAGACAATAGTTGTTGCTAAGCTATGACGTGGTGATGCCGCACGAGAGCCAATTCGTTCAACGTGTGACCTTCTATTCATCTACTTTGGTTTTGTTAGGAAAACATTTAAAAAATAATCCAGTCTCGTCGGCATTAAAAATGTTTTTCCGTTCATATTCCCTTAGAATTTCAGGTAAATCATTAATCCAAGCATTACAAACCTTGTTATCAACAGATTTGCTCTCACCACAGATCTTTTTTAATGTTAAATCATTCCTCTTTTTATAACCTTCCATCTAACCATTACTGGCAACAAATACTTGAAGATTTAATTTTTTTTGCAAAATCTAAGTCCTTTTGTAAAGCAATCTTCCAAAATTGAAACTTTAATTGCCGCAGCGTTTTAAGTTTTCCGCGTCCTTTGGATGATTCGTCTAAAAGTTTAATGCATCTGCTAAAATTCGTCCAAGAGTTGACCGTAGAACCCCAAATTCTTTTGTTAATTCACTCCTACACATTCCCGACATATATGCATTAATTATTTTTATTTTATCGCTAATGTTTAACCTTCTTAAAGTACGTTTATTTGACATGATCACACAATCGAAGTCTTTGTAGAGTAACAACAACCCGTTTAAACCTACACATATATGTTGGCGCCTTTGTGCTGTTTACAGTGGTGCAAAAGTTATTAAAGTGGAACAATTCCTATATACAGGTGTCCGGAAATTGCGTTCATATATTTAAAGGTGTGATTCTACATAAAAAATCATGAAGAAAAGTTCATATAATGGTGTGTCCTAAAATGCTAGTATATTAGAGAGGCTAGAATGGGTTATAGAGGTTAAAATTAGCCCAGATAAAGAGGTTGTTGGTTTGATTTTCTTTGCTGACCATTGTGTTGTAATTTGGAATAATGATATACTAATGTGCACTTAAATAATGGTACAACGTAGGTACAATGTGTTTTCACCACCACTGACCATCACACATCATTCCATAATACTGCATAATGCTGTCATAATTTGGTGATAATTTCTTGTTATTTAGTATAATTATTGATTGTAATATGTTCTCTATGAAACAATACAACTAGTTCTCAAATATTCGATAATTTTGACGAAGCCTTCTGAAGATACCTTAAAAAAGGCGAAACCGGTCAAGGCACAATTAGTATTAAATAAAGTCCATTGTTTAAGCTTAAGTTATAAGTGGTTCTAGTTTTATACTATCACTAGAACTAACACAAGACCTAGAACTAGAAACGGTCGGGTTTAGCCGCACGTCTCTCAAGACGGCTAAACCCGAATGATTCTAGTTCTAGGTCTTGTGTTAGTTCTAGTGATAGTGTTGGTGTAAAACTAGAACTAATTCTAGATCTAGTGTTAATTCTAGTTTTAATTGTCACTCATCGCTAGATGGTTTTATATTTTTATTTAACTAAAATTAAAACTAACACTAAAGCTAGAACTAGAAACATTCGGGTTTAGCCGTCTTAAGAGACGATCGGCTAAACCCGAATGATTCTAGGTGTAGTGTTAGTTTTGGTTGTTAATCAGTGTTAGATTATTGTACGTTTTTATTACATTAGAACTAACACTAGACCTAGAACTAGAAAAATCCGCGTCTAGCTGTCTTAAGAGACGATCGGCTAAACTCAGACTAGATTTCTAGATTAGTTTTAATTATTATTCAGCCTTGAAGTCTCGAACGGGCCTTTAAGCTATGCACCTATTCCCAGGATGTAGCAGTTCTCTTAAATTCTATCGTCCTTGGTGTAAATATAACGATACATAGACTGAACGCAAAGTGTGGATAGCTGCCCGATTTTGTGTGCATTAAAATTATTAATATAACGGACTTTTGGTTATAACAGACACTCCCTTCCCTTGATTAATCCGTTATATCGAGGTTTTACTGTACTTTATGATTCAATATCTTTATTATTTTATATTAATAAAATAGGTTTGGGTGATTCTAAATCGTACGTGAGAGAAGCAGCTTTAACTACAATCAACGCTTTCGGAGATCAATGCGGTTACAAAGAATTTTTCGAATCGGAAATGATTGCAGACGCTCTTAAAACGGGTTCGCCGCTTTTAAAAAGTGAATTATGGGCTTGGATTGCGGAAAAATTACCCAACAGTAAGTAAAATAAAAAAAAATTTCAATAATTAAGAGAATTGATTTTAGTTCCGGTTAAACAAATTCCTAAACCCGAGCTCATCTGCTGCATCCCTCACTTATATGCCAACTTGGAAGATCGCAATGCCGATGTAAGAAAAAATGCCCAAGAAGCTGTTTTAGGCGTGATGATTCATCTTGGTTACGAATCGATGGTAAAACAGTGCGAGAAAATAAAGCCCGCTTCTAAGACTGTTGTTATGGGAGTGTTGGAAAAAGTTAAACCTAATTTACCGGCGCGGGCTGAACCTGCAAAAAAAATTGTTCCACCTAAAGAAGATAAAGAAGTTAAAGTAAAAGGTGGAGCTGCAACGAATAAAACCGGAGCGAAACCAAAGGTACATTTAATAACAAACATTTGATTAATATTTAAAATTTTATCTTGTAGTTATCTAGACTTAAAACAATGTACTGCATGCTTTAACTTATTTAAGAAAAATGAAAAAGCTTCGGTGTTTGCAACGCTCAATGTCTAACTAAATATTTTAGTCCTTTAAAAAATTATAAAATCAAAATCCATCCTTTTTTCTTTTCCAAAACCCTTTTTATTTCCTCTATTTCTTTTTTTTTCTTAATTTCATTACAATTAAAATTTATTGTTATAGAGTGGTGCTATGAACAAACAACCCTCAGTTTCGTCAAGGAAAAAGGATGACGACGTAGACACATCTCCATTGCTCGTTGTAAACAACATGAAGCACCAGAGAACGTTGGACGAATCAAAACTAAAGGTGCTGAAGTGGAATTTTACAACGCCACGAGAAGAATTTTTTGAATTACTCAAAGATCAGATGACCCAAGCGAATGTTAATAGAACGTTAATCACGAATATGTTTCATGCAGATTTTCGGTAAAAACAAAATAATTTAAAATTTTCTTATTACATACAATTTTTTTTTCCTTTTTAGTTTTCATATAAAAGCAATAGAAGCGCTACAAGAAGACTTAAAAGAAAACAGCGCAGCTTTAATTTCAAATTTAGATCTTGTTTTAAAATGGTTAACATTGCGATTTTTTGATACAAACCCTTCGGTGCTTTTAAAAAGTCTTGAGTATCTCAACAACGTTTTTAAAATGCTATTCGAACACAAATACCGCATGTTAGAAAACGAAGCGTTATCCTTCATCCCTTACTTAGTTTTAAAAACGGGCGATCCAAAAGATTCGGTTCGGAGCGGAGTTCGATTACTTTTAGATCAAATTTGTTACGTGTACCCGGTTAGTAATTTATTTTCGTGCGTTATGGACGGAATGAAATCAAAAAACGCTCGGCAACGCGCTGAATGTTTGGAAATAATGGGTTCGATCATAAACGGGTTTGGTATCACAGTTTGTTTCCCATCTACAGCCGCTTGTTTAAAAGAAGTTGCTAAACAAATTTCCGATCGTGATAACGCCGTAAGAAGTGCCGCGTTAAATTGTTTGGTTGAAGCGCATTGCTTGATAGGCGAAAAAGTTTATAAAATGGTCGGACAAATTTCTGAGAAGGATATGTCGTTGCTTGAGGAAAGAATAAAAAGAGCGGCAAAAAAACCGAATCGCGAACGACCCAAATCGAAATTGGAACCCTTACAATTGGGTAAAGTCGGTCCTAGTAAAGAATTAAATCAAAGCGATAAAGATAGTAGTACTGAAATTGTTGCTGAAAATGGAGATTCCGAAAAAATGGTTGATGACGAAGATGTGGATGATGTTGAAGATGATCTACCACAAGTTACGTAAGTTAAAACATAAATTCTAACATTAATTAATTAATTAAAAAAAAATTATTTTTAAGATTACCTTCACAAGTTCCTTTACGCGAAGGGCTCCCACCGCAAATTGATGGCCCTTTTAAACTCGATCCAGAACTAATGAGAATGTTAGATAGTTTCAAACCAACTCCTGTAATCCCAGTATTACAACAAATCGACTGTGAATTTCTAAAAGAAGAAATTGTAATTCCCCCAACTTTAGAAGAATACAAAAAGCAAAGAGCGGCAGCTCCGAACGCTATACCCGCGGTACTCCGCAACCACCCTCTATTCAAAGATTACAAAGCGCCTGTACAACAAAATATACCTAGAGATTCAAAAATTGAGAAAATCATCAATGACATTGATCATCACGATATTGTAGTCGCCGTTAGAGCCATCCAAGACATACAAGACATTTTGAATAATGACAGAGGAAATACTTTGCTACCTTATGAAGATCAGCTGATGGAAGCTATTGCAAAACATTTGGGTATTTTGAGTTGCATTAATCCTGATGTTGATATTATTCCAGAAGCTTATAAAGTTGTTTTATCATTTATAGACTCAGTAAGTAACTTGTAAGCCAACAATTCTTACATCAAATATGATATTAAACGTCATTTAGAATACCAAAATGATCGCGTTCATCATGAAATTCAGTTTATCTTGACTTTTTAAATGTCAAAATGACATTTTTCTTCAGAAGAACATATCTTATTTGACAAGTGACATTTGAAACGTGATAATAATATTTCATTCATTAAAAATCACATTTCTAACAAGATAAAGACTTTGGGATCGCTCAAATTACTTTATTAACTAGACCTCACCTGACATATTTTATGTCAATGTGGTACTTTCATCTCGATAGGAGACGGTTTATAATTCATGATGACATTTCCTACATCAAATACGGTATTAACCTTTATAAATGATATTAAAATTACAAGACAATTTTTTACAATAATTTAAACGTCAAAATGACTTTTTCCACTAAAATTCTTCTAATTTTATATTTGTAATGTAAAATTAAAGTAATTTTCTTCATAAAAAATGACATTTCTAACTTGAAAAGTGACATTTCAAAATTGGGCGCGTTCATTAATTGTTATTTTAATTAACTTGACTGGCTACATATTTAAATGTCAAAATGATTTCTACTCAAGAATAACATGTTTATTTGACAAGTGGCATTTGAAACGTAATAATGAACGTAATAATTCATTAAAAATCGCATTTCTAACAAGACAGAAGTCTTTGGGGCCGCCCAAATGACTTTATTAACTAGATAAGTAATATTTAAAACCTCACCTGACATTTTTTATATCAACCATAACATTTTAAATGTCAATGTGATAGTTTCATCTCGATAGGTGGCGTTTTATAATTCACCATGACATTTCTTACATCAAATACGGTTTTAAACGTCTTTATATACCTTTATAAATGATATTTACAATACAAGACAAGTTTTTATAATAATTTAAACGTCATAATGACTTCTTCCACTAAAAAACTTCTAATTTAACATTTGTAATGTAAAATGAAAATAGTTTCCTTCATAAGAAATGACATTTCTAACTTGACAAGTAACATTTCAAACAGTGGGTGCGTTCATTAATCGTTATTTTAATTTTTAACTTGACTGGTGACATTTAAACGTCAAAATGACTTTTTATAGATGAATTTTAAAAATTTTTTTTTTTAGTTTTACAATCACAAACCATTAGGAAAAAATATAAGTGCTGCTGTATTAAGAGATGTTCTCCATCAGTTTATTTTGTTACTAGCAGAACCAAGATTTTCAAAAATACCAACAGCTGATAATTATATTCGTGTGGTTAATGTAAATTGTGTTAAAGTTATTGAAATGTCGAATAAAACAAATGTTCTTTGGTAAGAATAAATTAAAAATAATTATTAATTTTTTTAAAATTCTTGTTATTTTTAGTGCTCTTGTATCTTTATTACAACAAGGAGTAGCAACGGAACAGCATAGAATGGTTGAATTGATAATGAAATGTCTTTGGCGCGTGTTAAAGATAATGAGTGCTTGGGTTGATGAAATAGATTATGATAAAGTACTTTTAGAAGTTCACGCTTTTATGAAACAATTTCCCAACAGTTGGTGGAAATCGAGAGAATCTGATACTCCAATGAGAACAATAAAAACTCTTTTACACACAATGACGAAAATGAAAGGAGATGTTTTATTATTAAGTGTTTATGGAATACCAAACAGAAACGATTCCGAACTCGAAGCTTACGTTGTGAGATATTTAAAAAGTTTAAAAATAGAAGATTCGATGAAAGTACCATTAAAATCGGAAGGTCGTCAGCCGCTATCGAGATCAACACACACTCTTTTAACCGATATTTTTCAAAAAATTGGCAATAAAGCAGAAACAAAACAAGGATTGAACATGTTGTACGATTTCTTGCAACAACATCCAGAAGCTAATATCGAGCCATTTTTGAAAAAATCTAGCTCTTTTTTCCAAGAGTATATCCAAAAAAATTTAAAAGAAATCGAAATTGAACGAAAAGCCATCCAAGATGGCCAAAATAGAGGTAATCAAAATGACGCTGGTTCACCCGAGTCAGAAAACACGAATGAGGTCGTACAATACTGGAAGCATCGATTAGAAATGTGGAAAGATTTATGGCAACAAATCTCTAAGAGTTAAGAGAATTTACTTACTAAATGGGGTTTTTCTGTTTAGCAATAGCATGTAAGTGAGAGTTGTTTTTACCTATTGTTAGTGTTTTTTTTTGTAATAAAGGAAGTATCGAGAGAATGTAAACGTTTTTGATGAATCGACTTTTTAATATTGCGAATTGATTAATTTAGATAAGACATATGTAATGTGATATCCGAAAAGTATAGATAACAACTCATGAAAAATAATAGTGTGAAAGTAGATTCGGTTATCATTAACAATTAAATAATAATACAAAAAAAGTTTTAATTATTTCTTGCTTTAGTTAGTTATCTTTTCACACTTATTTAATTTCACTGTATTATTAAGATTTACGTGAAATATTTACAACTGTTCTCATTTATTCTTAATTCTTATTTATTCTCTCATTATTCGCTCGTTTTTTTACAATTGTTAAGAGAATATATTTTGTACCGTTATTGTAGACTTTTCCTTAACAAAAAATAAATTAATTAACTGCATTTATAGTTGTTTTAATTAGAGATAGGTCAACTCATCTCATACAGCTGAAAATATAGCAAAGGTTATTCAACAAATATTGGACGAGTGGCAAATAAGTTCTAAAATAGTAACTATAGTCGCAGACAATGCAGCTTCAATCAAAAAAGGAGTTAGCGAAGTTTTAACCATTTCTGTGTAGCCCACACTCTTAATCTTGCTGTGAAAGACTGTATAGAAGAAGATAGAAGCAAAATCTTCATATGCCTTGGTCATATCTTCATATGCAGAAGCAAATGAATTTGGATGTAATCAAATTAAAACAAGATGTTCGCACTCGCTTTCTGCTACTTTACAGACGCTGGTATCACTTCCACCGAATCTGGATTCTGAAGAGTGGTTATTTGAAAGCTGCTTTTCTTGATCCGCTATATAAAAAATCAGCATTTAGTTCAGAAAGCAACGCTTACAATGCGCAAATGTGGATAATAAATGAACTAAACGACTACTTATCAATGGAAACCTTGAATTCAACCGAGCAAACTTCTACATCTACTGTGTTTGGCGCTGCCTTTACTTCTACTATTGAAGCTGATATTAGGGGTCAAACTCCACTACAACTTGTTCAGTAGCCACGATGATAAAACTATATATTGAATACCCATACATAGACAGAAAACAAGATCTAATGTCTATTTCCGAAGCTAGCTAAAATGGCGCATAAATTCCTCTGAATACCAGCGACTTCGGTGCCACTCCAAAGACTGTTTTCTAAAGCAGGTATTTTATGTAATAATCGAAGAAATCGACTAGCACCCAAAAAACTTAACTAAATACTGTTTCTCAATACACCGTATTAAAAATTATTCTTGTAATTCAACTTTGAATTCGTTAAAATATTCTTTTCTGAATTGTAGTAAGTATTTTATTTATTGCCTACGGTACAATTTTAATAACAATGTCCGACACTACTTAAAAAAATACCATAATGTGAGTCAAAGAATACAATATTGACTTGGATATCCATCAATTCAAACCAATGCGCGGTTTGAGAATTTACAAATTTTAGATTTTTGCTACCAACTGGGTTTGGGTAACTCGGTTTACGCAAACTAAAATAATTCACGAGCACACCCTGTATAATTTGAACGCGTGAAGATAAATCCATAATATTTGCGGAGCATTAAGCAACTCCTTCTTCGACTCGATTCTGTGGACCCATATCTATAGAGTTTGCAAAAGAAGCTGTGGAAAGAACTAGATGGCTAGCTTCAAATATAAAATCCCAAATTGATAAGTTAGCGCCAACACTTATAATAGTAGGTGTTAAGCAACTTCGTGTACCAATTATTTTTTACAATGTTCGATGGAAAAGTATGCAGCACTTTAACAAACACTCCTTCTAGCTCTCCTTGTATGGTATGCCTTGCCAAACCAACGGAAATGAATAATCTGGAGAAGGTGTAACAACAAGACCATCTCGGGAAGATACATATAAATTTGGTCTCTCATCTTTACACGCTTGGATCAGAGTTATGGAGTTGGTTCTTCATATTTAGAAGAAGAGACTAAGCAAAAGACCGATTTAGAGATGAAGCAGGTATAATTATTGATAAGCCTTGACAAGGTATTGAAAACTCCAACGATGGTAACACTGCTAGAACATTCTTTTCTAATCCTTCTTGCACAGCAGATATTACAAGAGTAGATGAGGATTTAATTAAAATGTTTTCCATAATTCTTCAAACATTAGCCATAGATGCCAAAAAGTTTGGGGAATACGCATATAAAACAGCAGAACTGTATGTAGAGCTATATAAATAGTACTACATGCCTGTTTCAGTACACAAAATACTTATTCACGGTGAAAGCATCATACAATATGATGTATTACCAATAGGACAACTTTCAGAAGATGCACAAGAAGCTAGAAATAAAGATTATAAAAAATACCGGTTACATAACGCTCGGAAATGTTCAAGGATTGCCACCAATCAAGATGTTTTCAATACGTTACTATACACCTCTGATCCTTATATATCATCAATAAGACATGTTGGGGAAAAAAGCAAGTTAGACTTAGATTCAGCAGCTATAGATATGCTAAAATAATTATTTATTAACTTTCCATTATAAGTGTAAGCATTATTACGTGTAGTTTAACAATTAAGCAAGCATTATTTTTTTCTTAACAATAAATCTATATTTAAATATCATTTGTGTCTTATTTTATTATTCTAGGATAATGATTATACCGGTTATATTATTTATTGGAACTTCACAGGGTTGCATTAGGCGAATGGGACAACATCAATGTCGTTAGAATCGATAAGGTAATTTTTAAATAAAAGCAAAAAAGGGGTAGTTTACCCCATGCAACCCTCTGGCACATGTGTAATACATCAATGGGAACCTCTTTAAAAATGAATATCAGTTTATACCAGACTATATCAGACTTTCGACAGAAAAAATGTATTTAAAAGTTATTGAGTTTTAGCCAGCAAAACAGCGTTTCGCCCCACTGTGCGCCCCTCCAAGTGGAACATTCCGTCGGTATGAAGATTGAAGTGGGTGAGAGATACCAGTCGTTTTTAGACATTGGTAGCATGTGAGGGTAAGTTACACTACTTTAGTACTACTTCCATACCAAATTTCATTGCGCTAGACACACGCGTTTAAATTATACAGGGGGTGTGCTCGTGAATTATTTCCAGCAGTATAAATAACACAAATTACTTAGTCAATCTCTGTATATTTTTCTATCATCTAAAAACATAAGAAAAATCTTATTTTAACATATTCATACTAAATTAATTCCTTATAATAAATTAAAAAAGAAAAATTAATTTTCTCCATGTAATTGAGTAGCTCCTAATCTTGCTGGATCTTGACTGGGATAATGCACAATTGGTTTACTGGTCACATTATCGCTACTAACGACTGTTGATGCCGCCGTAGAAGTAGAAGCGACATTTCTATTACCAACGTCCGCTGTAAACTGCGGTAATTGCGGTGGGTTAAAGAAGAAAGGTGGCATTGGGGGTGGTGGAAACATAGGTGGAACTAATAAAGAAGACGGTGGTGGCATATTTGGTAATGGAATATCCAAATTGAAGAAATTGTTGCTTAATTCAGGTAAAGCACCAGGTAAACCAGGAACTGGTTCGTAAGCTTCTAAATTTCCAGCAACAACTCCACCCCCAATCCTTCCCTGGGAACGCCCCCACTTTATTGTTAATCTTCGCCCACCCAAAATTAATTTATTAAACGTTTTTTCTGCAGCAGTTTCAGCAGCAACTCTAGTTGTGTATTGCACAAATGCGCATTGTTGTTTTGGGACTAAACTTAACGAGCGAATTTCTCCGTATTGATAAAAATGATCTCTTAAATCTTGCTCGGTTAAAGTTCCAATATTACCAATATATAAAGTAGTGATTGTACGATCATCCGGCGGTGGTAAAGCCGGCATAGCCGCAGCTCTTTTCAATAACTTATCAGCAACAGGATCATTAACTCCATAATAACGATCTCTAATATTTTGATCCGCCAAGGGATCATCAGGATCGGTTGGTTTTTCGTGACGATACGGACACTCTTCACCTCTTCTACATTCGCCTTTAACCCAAAATGAACAAACATGGGGGCGATTTCTTTTATAATACGGCGCTGTACGTGCTAAACGCATTAATAACTCGTTTGGTTCATTTACTTTATTTCCAACTAAACTTCCAGAATCCGATTTTGTTAACTATAATTAAAAAATTCTTATTAAAAAGTTCAATGAAAAAGATTTGATTTACTTCATTTTCCATATTTTGTATATAATATTCCTTGTTAACATCACTTTTTGGTAATTCATCCTTCATTTTTAACGCAGCGTCTCTTACTTGAATTGGAAGCCCATATTCCAAATCCAACAAACACGTTTGGCATACGTTCTTTAATTTACTGCATGTTTGACAAACCTCCGTCTTCTTAAATCTCATCCTAGCACCAGGACACCACCGGAACACCGTGAACGGTCTCGAACAAATTTTACATTCTTTTCCGTATTTTTCTTTTGTCTAAAAATTTATATTAAAAAACGAAACGACGAGTGAAATCGATACTCACCATTCGAATAAAAGGATTATCCCCCAAACATGTTTGGCATAAAATTGGGAAATCCTAAAATTATTATTTTTTTTTTTTGAGGTTAGGTTTGATTTATTAATTCGAATTTTATAATTACCGAATCTTCCCAATTTTGTCTGTTGTACGTATTTGTCGTTTTCGAGGTAGCCATAATTATTGATTTTAAGAGGTTTTTATTGGTTTTTTAGGACTTAAATGTAAAATAAATTCGTTAAAAAACGAGCGTTGACGTTTGACAGATGCTAAAGATGACATTAATCATGATTACCAACTATTCCAACTAACGAGTAAAAATTGTTACTTAAGATTTTAAATAATATTTTTTTTAATTATAAAATATTTAAATAAACGTAGTTGTATATTATTTATTTATATATTATAAAATATTATAGGATATTATATTGAAATTAATTGTGATTATAAAAAAAAACATTGTAAAAAAAAATCACTGATACCAAAAGGAAATTACTAAAATTGTTTAAATAATCTTGATAAGGTTTATTTAGCACATATTCACAGTATTATTATATAAATATTTCTTTAAAATGACGATAATTGTAAGTATAGTAATAAACGTCAACGATAATAATGAAAAAAAAAAACAAAAACAAATTATTATAAATCATAAATTTGTCATGTTTTTAGAAGCACTCAACACCTTTAAAAGGGCCCCAATATGTATCCATTGAAAATGAAGAACTAAATAATATGGCTACGACTCTTAGAAGGCCAATTTTGGCTGGTGGACAAACAGAGTGTAAATTATTAAAACGATATAGAAAGAATAAAGTCTACATACACCCCAGAAAATGATAAAATCTCAGCTTCCAAAAGCTATTACATGCAGCTTTCAATGAAATTTGTTAACAAAAGATGTAAGAAGTCTGTATTATTTCCATATTTTATATAAAAATTATGTAAGTTCTAAGTCTAACTCAGAAAAGTCTCATATAATTTACTTTTATACATACTATACCATTAATAATCAAAACAAGTCGAAATTTACATACTAAAATTAACATTCGGTAGGTGCTCTCTTGGCAGCAAGAACTGCTGTTAATCGTCGAGGCATGGAATCAATTAAATTAGCTGTAAGTTCTGTTAAAATACTCCCCATTCCCATAATAGTGCAGTTTTCAAGTCGTTTTTATTTCTAATATGTAGCATCAGAATTTTGCAGTCAAGAAGCTCCCATACCTACTCTATGGGGTTGAGGTCAGGTGACTGTGATGGTGAGTGTAGCTGTTTAGGGATATTATATAATAATAATACATGTCATAATGTCACCTAATTAGAATGTACAAAACAAAAACAAGAAAAAAGAAAATAGAATAATTCATTCTATACATCTTTCAAGAAATTCATTTATCCCCTGTATATTGGGTTTTGCACTAGGTAATTCTTAAAGTACGAGTTCATTCTTCTAGAAGGCTTCTTTAGTTGCTTTAATCGTCTAACTGACTGTGGTAAGTGATTGTAGAATTTTGTGCCCCAATATTCTGTGTTATTTTGAGTCTTTACTAGACAGTGGCGTGGAACTCACAATTCATCTTGTCAGATAATTGTGGATATCTGAATTCTTTGTGAGGTTGATCCATTTCTTCTTAGTTGCTTTAATGCAGCTGAATATGTACACAGACGGCATGGTGAGAAATTTGTGTATTGCAAAATGTTCTCTACAACTATCTCTCCTCTTTAAATTGAGAAGTGCACGAATTGCCCTCTTTTACAATAGAAAAATTCGCTCTGCTGCTGAAGACATGCCCCAGAACAGAATGCCATACGTTGCTACGCTGTGGAAACTGGCATAATATGTGAGTTTAACCACTTCTATGGTACTGATATCTCTCATTCTCCGTACATAGTAAATTGCGCCATTTAGCTTCTTGGCAGTATTATCTATATGGGTGTACCATTTGAATTCCTCGTTTAGATACGGTCCTAAACATTTTAGGGATTTATTTTCGGTTATTTGGGTGTTATTATATCCTATCTCAGAAACTATAAGAGATACGAAAAAAGTAGATGCCATGTCCCGATCTCTTTTTTCGAGACTAATCCAATCCCGCAAACAACAAACCTCTATTTTCTTTTGTTTTTAAGTTATAGCCAAAAAGTGATCAAATTTTCGTGATTTCAAAAAATGCTCATATTTCGTTTATTTTTGAAATTAGAAAAATGTGGTTGATACGTTCTTAAGACACTTTTTTAAGTAGAATATACTGCCGTTGAAAAATTTTAAACCTGAAAACCTGATGATTTTTGAGATACAACACAAAGTTGTGTTTTTTTAAATACAAACTATACTTGATTAGGATGTTACTGAAAAGAGCATACTTTTAGCTTTCCAATGATGTATCGCGTGTATGGTGTATTTGCAGAAAATAAGCGTTAATTTTCAATTCCAAAATAGTAAGCGCTATGGTAATAGTTATAATTTATAATATACAGAATATGACAGAATAAGTTGGTTTTATACCATTATTCAGGATGAAGTTTGTACCAACAAATAAAAACTTTGAATAGTTAATTTAAATTTCTCAACATCTTATCCCTGACTTTGTTCGCCTATAGAAAATGGTTAGCAAGTAAAGTTTGTTTATTAAAAATACAAAAAATGTATTAATTAATGAATAATTAAATATGGACAACTTCAGGAACTAAACAGTCACAAACTGTCATCTTCATGCCAGTCCATAATTTCCTCAATAAACTCTAAATTTCCTACACTAGTCCCTGACATACAACCTCATACCATAACTTTTCCTCCGCCACGCTTCTCTGTGGCTTTCAAGTTTTTCTTTCTCCATACTTTTGTTGTGTCATCATCATCATAACCGAAAATATTGAATTTACTTTTGCTCATGGAATTTTAAAAAATCGCATTTGTTTCCGATATTCCTTTTAAAAATTTTATTGAATTACATTTCAGGAGCTGAGATAATATCATTTTCTGGAGTGTATAATATATAGACTTTATTGTGTCACTGTATTTATAATTTTCTAATTTCTTATTATTTTAGTTCAAAAATGTAAAAAATTTGTGACTATGACTTTGGGCTTTGTCATAGGTTTTAGTATTTGCGCGTGGTTAACAATGAATGTTTATCCATTAAGAAAAACTGTCCACGTTTTGTATTTACAAAGTAACGAACCCGCTACGTACATAACAAATTCGAAATTTTTAAGTATCGGATTAGATTCGTCGTTAATCGCGGATGGTTTTAAAAATTTCGATATGCAAAACATTCGTTTAAAAAATATGATTGGAAATTTAGGTCCGGGTTATTTAAGGGTTGGTGGAACATTAGCGGATCGGTTAAGATTCGATCCCAAGAATAAAGCACGCACAAAATTAAAATATCCTTTAATGCAAGACGGTGGACTTTGTTCGTTTGAGGATTTCCAATGTGGTCCTGCAATACAACCAAATTTCACATTGTCAGGCGAAGAATGGTTGGAGTTATACAACTTGGCGTCCGGTACTGCCTTTGAAATAGTTTTCGATTTAAACGTTTTGATACGTTTCGACAATGGGACGTGGAATTATACAAACGCTAAGGAATTGATTGATTTTTCATTTAAAAATAAAATGAAGCTCTCTTGGGAATTGGGAAATGAACCTAACTCGTTTAAACATGTTTTTAATTACACCGTGGATGCTAATCAATTAGCGGAAGATTATGGAATACTTAAAGAGTTACTTCAAAACGCTGGGTATTTAGTTCCTTTTTTGGTAGGACCATCCATAACTCACCCTCGCCCTGAGAATAAAGAAAGCATGGAATATTTAAGAAATTTTTTGAATAATGGAGGCAAAAATATTGTTAATGCTATTACTTGGCATCAGTAAGAATTTTATTTTGTGTTAATTTTGTTTTATGATTTTTTTTGTAGATATTATTTTAATGGTCGAACTGCAACAATCGATCAATTCGTAGATCCGGATATTTTTAATTTGCTGATAGCGGAAACTAATTTACTTGAAGGAATCGTTAGTAGAGTTAGTTCTGGAATTCCGATATGGCTTGGTATAAACTTAATTTGATTTGATAAAAAAATTAATTCTTTTATTAATTAAGGTGAAACTGCCGCCGCTTACGGAGGTGGAGCCCCAGGTTATAATAATCGATACATTGGCACGTTTATTTGGTTAGATAAACTTGGAGTTGCCGCTAAAATGGGGTTGGACGTCGTTGTGAGGCAATCAATTTTTAAAGGATTTTATGCTTTAATAAACGGAAAAGATTATCAACCCACTCCAGTAAGAAAATTGACATAAAATTGAAGTGATGATTTTTTTGATTTTATTTAGGATTATTGGATTTCTGTTTTATATAAACTCCTCGTTGGTCCTCAAGTTTTGCCATATCATGCGACGATTCCACCTCAAGTTCGTTTATATTGTCATTGTACCAATAAAGCTTTTCAAATCTACCCATCAGTTACTGGTAAAAATAATTATAGATTATTAATGTTAAACTAGAACTAATATTAGACCTAGAACTAGAAACATAATAATAATAATAAATAAAATCTACAATAGACTACATAGCAATAAAACAATCCAGAAATAAAAGTACATGACTTAAAATAAAAGTCTGGAGAGGATCGATGTGTGGGTCGGATCACTTTCTGGTTAAATCGCGAATGGACATAAAATTTGGAAAACAGGGAGAGAAAAGTACAGAGAAGGCAAAACTGGAAACGATAACGAGAAAATACTGCAATATACACAGCTTGAAAACTGACTCCACTAGCTTCCTCTATAAACTGCGATTAGCAGAGAAGTTGGAGCGAGAAATTGCTGGCAGTGCAGACGAGAAACTAACATAACAGACAAAATGCATGAAGCTGCCACAGAAGCATTAAGTATGAAGAGGAAAGGATAGATGAAAGTCCACTACATTGTAAGAATTACCCTAATCCATTTCAATTGAGAGAAAAGGTAGATTCAGAAATAGAGAAACTTATGGTACAAGAAATTTGCCAGGATGCTAGAGAATTAAACAAGGGACTTAAACCTGGTTTTGAGATGCCTCAACTCAAATTTATACTAAAATTGATTTAAAAGCAGCATTTTGGCTTATTAGAGTAACAGACAAATCTAAGAAATTTTGTGCTTTCAGCATAAATGGCAATATTTATCAGTTTAATCGGCTCTGATAAGATTTTTACACAGAATTTTAAACAAGGTTAAGGATTGATCATATCATAAATTTATTAAAAACTTTATTAAAAAAGAACGTTATATGGAATTGGACTGAAAATCAAGAAGAAGCTTTTCAAACATATAAAGGAAAGTTTTATTAAAGAATTGTTTTTGTATAGAGCAGATTTTGAGTTACTTTTTGTTTTACGATGGGATGCTTCAAATCATGCAATAGCAGGAGAATTAGTACAATTTCAAGGAAATATGGAAGTTCCAATTCAATACCTATTAGCAGAGCAGCGTGAGGAATATACAGGGTCGCTGATATGTATGAAAACGGTGTATCTCCTAAAGTAAGATAGCTAGCAAAAAATGTTAAGACACAAATGTTTTAGTGTTTTTTTAAAATTTATTACAATAAAGATAAATTAAGTATACAGGGTTAGTCAAAAAGTTATGACGAAACCAAGTTATGTTTTCTTTAATGGAACATCCTGTATATTATTCCGTATTTCGGTTCATCTCGAAATTCTAAACAAAATTCATGTAACACATTGTAAACCTAAACTTAAGCGTTTTCAAGATATTGAACTTTGAAAATCACTCTTATAAATTACATAAAAATATACAGGTGTACCTGAATGACTGCAACAAACTTCAAGGGGTGATTCTTTAGTGAATTTTAAGGGTACTTTGATTATGAACCATGGGCGACTTCGGCTCCCTTAAGGAGCTACACCCATCCAAAAATGGCGGAAAATTTTGGTTTATTTTTTTTTTCTCAAAAACCATAAACGCTAGGAAAAAAAATAGTTTAAATAATTTGCGCCCAAAGATAAATTAGGTTACTATTTAGATAAATTCGTAAATTTTTAAAAGCTCGATATCTGCAAAACGGTTAATGTCTATGATGTGTTACATGAATTTTGTTTAGAATTTCGAGATGAACTGAAATATGGAATAATATACAGGGTGTTCCATTAAACAAAGAGTAATTTTGTTTTGTCATAACTTTTTGACTTACCCTGTATACTTAATTTGTCTTTATTGTAATAGATTTGAAAAAACACTAAAACTTTTGTATTAGGAGATAACTGATCGTTTCCATACATACCAGCGACCTGTATAGATACACGTTTAGCGGTGGAAGAAACCGATGAAATCGACGATGAAGAAAGTCAAGCAAGCGCAGCAAAAAATTAAAAATAACAGGGCCTGGAGATCTGTCTATAGAGCTAATCAAACAAACTACCATGAAAGTCCTGGAAATAATATGCACGATTTTTAACAAATGTCTTAGAGGAGATGACATTCCACTGGATTGGAAGAAGTTGCAAATAATCCCCATATACAAGAAAGGAAATAGGAAGGAGTGCGTGAATTGCAGAGGGTTAAGTATAATGTCATCACTTGGAAGGTTATATCGAAGAGTGCTGAAAACTAGGATAGAAAAGGAAATTAAAGAGAAAGAGGTTTCAGACTTGGACGATCTTGCGTAGATAATTTGTCGACGCTTAAACACCTAGTTGAGAAGAAGCCCTCAAAAGGAAGGGAAATACATATTACATATACAGGTGTCTCTGTAACTCGTGGCATAATTTTAATCACAAATACAAGAGTCTATATTCTGAAAGAATATATAGAGAGAGAAAGAGATACTCTGAAATGTCTGATGATCTGCCACAAAATCGAAAATGTTTTCTTCTAGTTGGGGTGTATGAACTGACCTCTGATTCCCCTTGTTTATATACTTCTGTCTTAAATTTTCTATCTCACGTATATGTCTTTCGATATTTCGAAATGTTTTTCTATCATGTTGTCTTTACTTACAATTTGTTTTCATAGGCACCTACGATTAATGAAAACATTCCAAAATCGAGGTTGTATCTTTTTGCAAATGTAACTTTTTGCAAAAGCGGCAATAAAAAAATGATTCTAGTTCTAGTGACAGTGCTAGGTAACACTAGTTAGCATAAGGTATCACTATGTTGCATATTTTTATTGCACTAAAACTAGAACTAACACTAGACCTTGAACTAGAAACATTCAGGTTTAGCCCAGATACTTTCCGTCTTGAGACACGTGCGGCTAAACCCGAATTATTCTAGTTCTAGCGATTGTGCTAGATAGCGCTAGGATGTATATTTTTATTAATCTAAACCTAGATCTAGAATCATTCGGGTTTAGCCGTCCTTAAAGACATGTGGCCAATTACTATGTCTAGTGTTAGGTCTAGTACTTATAATTATAGATTAATTCATAATTAAAAAATGCTTTTTAGTTTATGGAATGAACATGAAAAGTACTGAAGCTGTGATACGTTTAGAAGGATTTGCAAGTCCATATTACACAACATATAACATTTACGCATTTATCTTAACATCGCATGGTACATTATTATCCAAAGACATCGATTTAAACGATAAAAAATTAGAATTAAACGAAGAAGGAACATTACCAATGCTAAAACCTCAATTATTAAGACACGAAGACCACGTGGTTATGCCACCATTTTCCACGGCCTTTTTTGTAATTCCAACCCAAGAAGTTTTAACTGGTTGTAAAAGTTGGAGGGATTAAAAAAATTAATAATTTTGTCATTTTTTGTTGGTATTATGTGACGATTATGTATTTGTTTTAGAGTTATTTTCTAAAATAAAACGAAACGATATTTATAAAGCTATAAATTATTATTAATTATCGTAATTATTCCGTACAATCTACAAAGCGATGACGAAAAATGGGGTCACGTACACAATACCAAATACACACACATCGATTTACCCATTCTTAACACAAGTGAATTAATAAAATACAAAAATTCAATAAAAAGGAAAAAAAAACTTAATTTCATTAACGTCCAATGGATTTTCGTAAACAAGTCGAATTATTGATATAAAAAAATATGAGTAATTAAATTTCATATTTACAGCCAGGTGAAGATATATACAAGTATAACAAACAGCGTAATATAAATTAAATGAAGTAACAGATTCAATTTTATGATAAAGGATCCGACAGGTGATGATCTTGAATTGTGGGCTGAAAACAAAAAAATTATTAAGAAAAGAAATTTGATTTAAATTCAATTATACCTCAATTATAGTGATTGTATTTTCCAGGTTATTGTATATTGTCCCTCGTACCGTTTGGGTTTGTTGTACGTGCTGCTGTTGTTGTCGTTCTTCTTCTTGTTTTTGTTTTTTTACCGAACCGGAATGAAATCGTCCACCTTCTCCTCTTATTCTATTCATTGCGTGTCTATGTCTTGATTCGTGTAAATATTTCTGATATAAACAAAGAGATTAAAAAAAAATTTTATTTTATTACGTTATAAGGGTAAACCATACAATTATTGGATAGTTATTGGACGGCCCAGATTTAGTAGTCAAATTAGATTTCTTTGGCAATTATCTCACAATAAAACACCAAAAGGCTACAATTTGCAATATAATCGCAAAAATTTCAGGAAATTTATGAAAAGAAGAGAGTATTACAGATAGAAACAGAACGACAGAAAGAAGAAAGCTTAATGAGAAAAGGAAAAGGACAATCACAAAAAAAGATACTAAACTGAAATGTTTTGTTTACGGAAAAACGTGTCAAAATAAGACAAACTTGAAGTGGGATTAAGGTAAACATAGTTTCCATAAGTAATGCGTTCCAAAATCTCTAATCTATGCCATAATTGTTACAGCGAAGAAACGATGAGCTCAGGAAATGAACTTTATAAGAACTGCTGTGATGAAGACTTATTAAATACAGTCGAGTTTGAACAACTTGAAACTAGCCAGTAAGACAAGAAACAACAGGGAGGCGACATAACACAACTTGAAGGATTGGATGAAGATGAAAAAATAGATACTTTATAAGATGAGTACATACAGTGTCGTACTTAATTATTAAGCCATACAGTGTCAAGAAAGCCAACCGCTGTGTACTTTTTATCTTCAAATCCTTTTTCTATTATGTTGGTGATCCATGTTGGTGGTCAATTGATGGATAGTTGAGTGCGATTTACGAAATCCACATTGTTTGTTTGAAATAAGCCCCATCGCTTCAATTTCTTCTGACAACCTGTTTTTAAGCTAGGTGTCCACTTGAGAAAAACAAGTGCAATAGTGTGGTACAAAAATAAAAAAATAAAAAGAAGCTGTTGGGTGAAACCATGGATCGGGCGTAGATTAGTGCTGGGTGTCAACATATATCAAATTGTTAGTTATTTGGCATACTGGATTCACAAAAGTGAACTCGATTTAATGGCACTTATAAATGGAAACTATAAGTTTATTGTCGTGCAAGTGATAGCTTAATAAAATATAAACTTAAACGTCTCAATTACTGAAAGAGACTAGATATAGCTGGCAGAACACTAAGTATTACTAATGAACGGCTAGATGTTGCAAATGAAGCAGATTCTTCTTACTGAAGACTTCAAACTACTATCAGAAGACGAAATACTGTTGGTAGAAGATTAGATATTGCTGGCAGAAGACTAAGTTTTGCTAGTGAAAGACTAGATATTGCAAATGAAGCTCATCCTTCTTACAGAAGACTACACACTACTACTAAAAACCAAATTCTGTTAGCAGAAAATGTAATTTTACAATCAGAAGACCAAATTATGTTGTCAGAAGACTAGATATTACCAATGGTACAAATCCCGTTTAAATTTCTGTCCAATACTTGTTAAAATTGCATCCCTCTCTCATTTCTTGGTTAGTATCATTTTTATTATAGCACGTATTTCTTCGACGGTATCAAGATCTTTGCATAAACTAAGCGTCGGAAGATGATTTTCGTTGTACTGCTGTACTGCGATGGAAAAATCTTGATTAGTGCTGTTGATGTTTGGAGTAAGATTTCTTTCTAAATAATCTGCAAACAGTTCAGTTTTGCATTTATTATCTGTCAACATACCTGCACCATCCGTTTGTAATGGGGGTATATCCTCGTATTTTTTTATCTTTCTTGTGGTTTTCCACATACTTGGGTCGTTAACTGCGATTCTTTTCTATTTTCCTATGAATAGCATGAGTAATATGATTCAGATTTTGTTTCAGTAGGGGTTGGCGAGTTCGTTGTCATTGTCTTTTAATATCTCTCTCTTCTTTTATCATATAAATCATAAATGCCTTGGAAGTTTATAGAATATCCTATGTTATTAACCAGCGAGTTACTTATCATAGATGTATGTACTGCTTTTGAGTCGGTATAAGCTTAGTAGTTCGTTGAGGTAGATGCCATTTGGATTATCTGCTCTGCAGCCCCAGAATTTCTTTTTACTGTTTAAGTCTGATCGGTGACTTAAACAATTTTGCAAGCATTTTTGCGTCATCATTGTCAAATAAGTTTCTAATGTCGTTTTCTGTGAGGTTTACGTTAGGTTGGCGGTAACGGCAAATAATTGCAATCTTTCTATTGGTATCTAAGTGCGTGTTTCTGATGATGTGCTATTCCTCTTGCTACTCCTCCTGCTGCTGTTCGAGAGTGTCTATCCGATCTACAGGGTAATTCAAATTCGACCCCCATTATTGGGATCTCAGAAACCGTAAGAGATACAGAAATGGTTAAATGGGGGCAAAATTGCGTATCTTAGAGCTCATCATTTTTCAACTAAGTTTTTGGATCTAGCCGTTTTAGTTTTTAAAGTATGACCGAAAAACAAAAAATTACTTAGCTCTAAGATATGCAACTTTGCCCCCATTTAACTATTTCTATTTCTATTTCTAGGAAGGAAGGGTTATGTGTTTGAGTATTATCATTACTTGAGTTTTGGACAGGCGAGTTATTAAGCGTGGCTTTAGCATACGACGTGTTTGGGATGACATAAAGTGATGATGTGGGTTGCTGTTGACTATGAATATTTCTTCTAGTATGTCTTGGGTGTTGTTGTTGTATATCGACATGTACTCTGCATTCTCCGCAGTTCGCACATTTTGGTGGATCGCTCTTTTTCTTCTTGCATAAGAGATGATTATGTTGGTAGTTATGACATTTGTGATTTTTTTCTCGGTTCAACAGTGATGAGATGATAGCATCACTTATTTTTTTCATGTTAAATACTTCTTTAGATTTTTCTATTGGTGTTAATTCAACCGCGCAAAATGGCATTGGATTTTTAGTTCTATTCAACAGTCTTGTAACTGTTATTATTGGTAACCCATGGGCCAGTAATTCTTTAACTTCGTTTTCGGTTATCAAAGGAGGAACGTTACGCATTATTACAGATAGGGTTCTTTTTGTTGCATCTTGATATGTGTGGAATCCTATTTTATTATCGGTATAATATTTAGTGAGAGTTCTAAAGACTTCTACTGATGTTAAGTTTATTTTTAAGAATTGTTGTAAAACTGGATGTGGTTAAAGCTTTAATATCATTTGTGCATGACTACCTTATAATATATACCTTATAAATGAGTTTTCTAAAACAAAAAGGTAGTCATTTTTCACAGAATGAATAATAGCGGTGAATAATCATTATTAACTTGTAATCACCTTGACAAACTAATAATAATTATTTGAAACGTCAAAATTTCAAAAAACGTCAATTTAATTTAATTTTTTTTAAGACTTTCTCAATGTTTGACAATAAAAAACGTAAACAAATTCCTTTTTTCGTATGATTTAAGGATAAATTAATTAATTTTCGTAAAAAAAACATGACGTTTCATAAAATTGACATTTAATTTTGACAAATTGTTGTGAAGTTGGTTACAGTTGGTAACATTGAATTTGTGTCACATTGACGTTTAAGCTTTATTCAAAAATTTATTTAAAAAAATAAATTTATGGAATCAATTTCAATAGTATTCATGCAAAGTATAGTTTTAGTAAGTAAGTATATAGGGGGAATTTTGTGGACTTGGATTATCTATATTTTCAGATTTGTCGTTATTTGTATTTATGTCATTGCAGTTGCTTAAAACTTGTACCTGTTTTGTGTTAATATTTCATCTTTTTTCCAAGACTAACGTTTTTGAATATCTTTGATTATAGGTAGGTAGATAGATGGCGCGTTTTTTAACTGTGCCAATAGTTTTGTGCCTTGAAAACAAGTACTTTTTTATTAATTTAATTTAAAACGGATTATTCAAAATAAATGTTTACACAAAAATAACTGCACATGACTGTACTTTTTTGCAATAAATAATTAAAAATGTAATTGGTGCTTTCAGTATTATCTACGAAATCAGATAAGTAACTACACTGTGTTAATTAATTTTCTTACCAGACGTCATCATTGCAAGTATGCAACCAATATCGCGTATTGTGGTATTGGTTGCATACTTGCAATGATAACGTCGGGTACTATAATTAAATTAATTAACACACTGTACATTCATGCAAAATATACGGAGGAATTATGTAAAAAACGCAAATTTGCGTTTACATCACTATTTTTTAAGAAAGAATCATTTAAGAAAATCCCTTAACTATCCAAAAACCGTATGATTCACCCCATATAAAATTACCGGTCTTTCTTTAGGAATTTTCCCATCAGCCTCAAGTTTTGCTCTTGCCTGTCTTCGTTTTAATATTCTCCTATATTGTTTTGCATTAACATAAAGGGGTTCTTCTTCTAAAAACTCAGTTCCTGTTATGGGTACCCTTTGGATTTGTGTTACATTACTCGTACTAGGAACCATCTAATTAAATTTTATTATTTTATCATTAATTTATGTAATAATTAAAGATTGTTACGTACATCGTTAGTGTTTCTCACCATTACAATGTTTCCGTTAGACATTGCTAATTGGTTAGGTGCTGTAGCGGCTGCTACAGTCGCTTGGGGGACCACTGTTGGAGGTGGGGATGTCACTGTGGGTTGAGTTACTGTTGTCGCTGTTGTTGGCACTTGAGGAGTACCGGTTATTTGTACTAAACTACCGCTCAAATTAAAAACTGCAATTAAATTAATTAATTAAATTAAAAAAAATTAAATTATTTTAAATTTATTTACCTGTTGGTTGCACCGCAGGTTGAATTGTGGTGTTATCCACGACGGGGTGATAAATAAAAGTTTGTCCATCAGGCATTTGAAGAATTTGAGCTTGTTGGGGTTGTTGCAATAAAATTTGTCCCTGTGTACCTTGGATGCTTGACACAGGTAAAACTTGGATTTGTTGAAGACCTTGCCCACCCGGTGTGACTTGAATCTGTCCATTCTGCGGCATTGTATGTACCATAATTTGTTGTCCGTTGGCACCTTGGATGACCTGCCCCGTATTCATCTGCATGACTTGAACTTGTTGGGGACCAACCCCCTGAACTGCTTGCATCACAACTTGCCCATCCGAAGCGGTTAATTGCTCCATGATTCGATTTCTAAGAGAGAAATAAACATAACCTAAAAGTGTAAATTCCAAATACGATTGTTTTGTGGGTTTAAATGTTGTTTAAACAGGAAAAATAAGTTTTTTAACGATTGTTTAAAAGAAATCGAGTTGAATTGATTGTGATGATGGTGAAAATTGGGGTTGGGATGGTTTAAAAGTGTTAGGTAAAATAAAATGTGACAGTGGTGAGGAGTTATGTTCGCCATTATGCTTTTTTCACTCGGATCGTAAGGAAAAATCACGGGAAATTGTTTAAAAAGACGCGGAAAACGCGAACTCGTGTTGTATTTTGCCGGTTCAACCCCCTGAGAGTGTCGGTCGAATATGTTTGATAATTTGTGGACTTACATTGGATATTTTAGTTGGCCGTATCCCAATGATTGGCCGAGGAGCGGCGGGACCAATGGTCGAATCGGGAACGACGCTCTCCGCCTGTGTATTGGTGAAGTTGGCCTACCACTCCCTGTCGTTGGACGGTTTGGACGGAGGCCGCGTCGGCGGTCGATGCACCGTTAGTGCGCGCGGGAAAACGGACGACCAATTACAAAAGTAGAAAAGGAAAAGTTACACTAATCAGAGAATCTCGAATGATATCTCCGCAAGGTACTAAGAGTTAGTCCATCAAATTAATCACTTCAGCTTCCTCAAAATCCATCTCAACCACATCAACGAAACACCATTTATATTTTCTCTAATTTAAAAGAGATTACTTTAATCTATCTCGATTAGATTAAGGTAATATCACTATGATATCACGTATTATTATAAAATTACCTTGAAAAAATAACCAAAATTATAAATTTAGATATGAGTGATATAGTTTTTTAGTTACGCCATCTATGGACTAGTTATTAAAATTTTACAATCTTAAGTTTTAAAAAGAATTTAAATTTCTTTATTAAATATAAATACCTATAATTAGAAAAATTATAATTTAATTTACTGAAATATGCATAAGAGATATAATATTTTAGTTTAATTAAAAAAAAAATTTTTTTTTTTCATTGACAGTTATTGATGTTTTTTTTGAGGTTAAGTAAGTGTCAAAATTTATTTATTATGATTTATATTTAAAATATTTAATTTTTTATCACAACAAAGTAAGTTATTAATTAATTTTTAATTTATTTAAAATTGATTAAATTATTATAGTGGTTTTTGTAATTGTGGAGATTTTCAATTACTCCATCTATAGACTAGTTATTAAAATTACGACTATATTAAACATTAAACTTTTTTATATATAACATAATATATATACATAATTAGAATAAATTAAAAGAAAATTACATTAAAATTAAGTTAATTTTCTTAAATATACATAAAAGATATAATATTTTAGTTTAATTTAAAAAAAAATATTTTGTTGTCATTGCCAGTTATTGATATTTTTTTGAGGTAAATATCAAAATAAATTGTATTTATTATGATTTTCTCTAATATTAAACAGATTATTTTAATCTATCTCGATTGGATCAAGATAATATCACAGTATATCACGTATTACTATAAAATTATCTCGAAAAGATAGCCAGAATTATAAATTAAGATATGAGTGATAAGGTTTTTAGTTACGCCATCTATTGACTAAGACAATTCCACCTCCTCGAATAATATAGACTTCTTTGAATGACTAAAACTTCTTGAAACCTCTAGATATAAATAAGTATATGATACATCTTATGAGGAATAGACGTAATCATTGTTTTATAAGCACTTCTTCATCATTTTATGAAGTACCAACCTAAACTAATTTTTTTCTGTTTTTGCTTTGTTTCAATCATTTAATTTAAATCAAATATTGTATTAATATTACTTAAGTGTATTCTTATTTAGTTGAGTGGTTACGTTGATAAATTAATTAAAAATCATCAGTTTTTACCGAAATTTAACCATTACCTGCTACCATCTATTATCACAAGTACGAATTAAACTTTTAATGACATCTGTTATTTTTTAGGTGCCAAAATGACATTTTCGAAAATTAGAAATAAAAAAAAAATTTTATGTAATTAGTAATTACTTAATAAAAATATTTATTGATTAATAAAAATAATCTATTTCTTAACTTCCCGCCATTGAATTTGTACTGCTTTCTGTTTCAAAGCCACTAAAACCTCTAAATCGGACGTTTCGATATCTTTTCTTGACGAGGCCCATTTCAGAATCTTTTCGATACTCTCAAGAGCTATAGAAGTCGGGACGGACGAAACATTTTCCGAAGCCTTAGACTTTGGTCTTGTATTCGCGTTATTTGCAATTTTAACATTTTTAACGTTTTTCTTATTTTGCATTTTCAAAAAGATACAATCTCAGTTAACGTTTTATTTAAATTGCTCTGTAAAAACATGTTTGTTATTATACATAATTAAATAATTAATTTTCTTTTACATTACTTACTTGTAAACGTGATAATCAAGATGATTTAGACAAATTGGAATACATATTAGATCTTCTTGAATATTAAGTTGCAGGAATTCGATTTTTATTAAGGCATTTTTGATGGTTGATGTCAAATTTTGATGTATTTTGTTAATAATTCGCAGCACGGCCTTCTAAAGTAAAGGAAAATTATACATAGCTTACTTAAAATAAATTGTTATTGTTTATTATTGGGAAAATCTTTTATTTTTGGATATTTGGACTAAATGGTTAAATACACAAAGAATTTTTAGCTTATTAATAAAGGTGTTGTTTATATAATTATAAGTCAATTTCTAGCCATTGCTGTTCTATTGCGTATCGTTTTAATTTTAATAAAGTTTCTATATCAGATGTATCTACATCTTCTCTCGATGAAGCCCATTTAACAAGCTTAATTAAACTTTGAATAGCAGTTGTAGTGGGAACTGATATATTTTCAGTTGCAATTTGTGTATTTCGGTTATTTTTATTTTTAAGGTCCTTTTTATTTTTTATCTCCTTTTCATTTTTAAGTTCCTTTTCTTGTTTAATTTCCTTTTTGTTTTTATATTTGTTTTCATTATTCATATTCAACTTGAAAATATTTTATTTGGGTTTTTTAAGTTTTTTAAAAAATATGTTTCTACAATTTTGATTAATGTCAAAAAAACTTCATCTTTTTTACATTTTATTCCACAGCTATCTTCATTAAAGACGTTGAGCGGATAGATGACAACAGATTGCCAAAAATTGGTATCACAAGATTCACAAGGAGGTATAAAATCAATCAAGTGCAATCAAACTCATCATCAAAGGCCTTAAAAAGAACTAATTAACAAACAACTAAGTAGTCATTAGTCTTCAGAGGTGTTTATTTGAATCCCATTATCAAATCTGTATAAATAAAATAAAAAATGCTTTTAAATTTAAACATATTTATTAGAACAATATATATGAAGACGGAGTCACGTTGTTTTATTTATTTTTTTTTGTAAATTTTAATCGTTATAACCACTTCTTTCTATATATTACAATAAAGAATATCTAATACTATTTATGTATAATAAGATTATTTACAATATAATACAAGTAAAAAAATCACTAATAACACGTACGCTAAAATTATTTATAATATATATATTTGTTTTTCATTGTAAAATATATATAACTGTATAGATTAAATATTTATAATATAATAATAATAAAATAACAAAGTCATTTTGACTAATATAGTCAGTCAATGACGGTTGAATATCCCTTTCGTTCTTATTCATGTGTTTAACATTAACATTTCTAATATGATACAAAATATTAAAAAATAAACAACAAAGTCGTTTTCTTTTTCGTTTCGCTTCTCTTTTTTCCAGTAAAAATTAAATGTTTAAACGTTATAATATTATCAATAGTAATATTTATAATAAAGCACGATTAAACTTGATACAAGTTTATTTTGTTTGTTTTTAAGGCCCTTTTCATCTTTTCTTTTGCGATAAATATAAAAATAATAATAATCGATCACTATAAAAAAGGTTTTTGCCTCTGACTTTTTATTTTACAAGCATTTCACAAATAACAAATAAAACTCCGCGTAGAAAAAATCGTCTAAAAATTTAATACGAGACTTTCTACACGTCACTTTTATTTAGTATAATTTATATGAAACACCCTGCATTCAGAACAAAAAAAAATGAAAATTTGTTGGTAACAAAAACAAATTAAATAAGATTGTACTAAAAAAAAAATGTACATTATGTATATAAATTAAATAAGGTTATAAAAAGAACAAATAATGAACTAAAAAGGAAAAAATGATTTGTAAAAAATTAAAAAAGTTTTTTTAGTTTAAATAAAATTGGGTTTAAAACATCTAAATTTTAACTATATTTACAAAAAAAAAATCATTAAATATTTTACACCCAATATCTGTTTATCTATTTTGTTTTATTTCTCTAATTAAAAAAATAATATTAATAAAACGTATTGAGTATTTCTTTGTATAAACCACCGGAAGAAATAGACACATCTATAAATATTTACAAATACACTTCTTTTCTATCAGATCTGAAGGCACAAAATCACAAAGAGTACAAATCGAATCGAAAAATAGTTTATATCTTTTTCATTTTATCTTAAAATCTATTTCTTTTTTTAAAAAGTTACACTTCGACACCCAAAGCGCGATCAACAACGTATTCATATCTTGTCGAAGACGATATTTCCACACTTTTTTCATCCGATTTACCTTCAGACTTCGAATACTGATTGTTAATTTCTTCAGGCGGTTTCGAATTATCTTCGGATTGTTCAGGTGGCAAAATTGGTACAGTTGTATTTATTCTTGTAAAAAATGCCATTTTCTCTCTATAAAAAGTAATAAATAATCATTAATTTTTAAAATTAGTTAGGTTATGTTATGTGTCAAATGTCAAAATAATTTTTTTAACATTTTAAATTATATTTTTTTACATTTTCTTATCGTTTAGCAACAATTTAAATATTGTTAAATTTAATCCAATCTTCATTAATATCAAATAAATTAAAAAAAAATTTGTTGATTAATATAAAATTGACATCCATAAAAAAAAAATGATACCAATTATGAAATTAAATCCCCTAGTTTTATTTTAAATAAATTTTACTTCAAGCAATTAAATAAAAGCAATTCAATTATTAATTAATTAATTATGTTTTAAAGGTAATAATAATTTAAAAATATAACTAATTTTAAATCAATTAATATACGCCATCTATCGTTATAAATCGTAACTATTAAAACTGTCAAATAATTTGAATTTAAATAAGATTTTACTTACTTGAAAGAGATAAGATCAGGTTTTCCATTTCCAGCTTTACTTTTTCTTAATTTATAAATTTCCTTTGAAACCCTCCTTAACATTTTATCAACTTTCTTTTCTTCAGCGGTCCTCATTAACTTTTCATTTTCAGCTTGGGCGACCAAATTTTGAAATTGTCTATCTTCAAGAACCCAAGCGGCGATTTCGGTGTCGCCTTGTTCTTTTGCTGCTTCAAGTCGATTTTTTAACTCCCTCAATCGTACCAATTCCGCGTTCAAAATGTGTAATCGGGTCTGTTGCGCTTGCAGATCCAATTCTAAATCTAACGAAGTTCTCGATGTTGGTGGCATGTGACTTCTTCCACTTTCTGAAGATTTCGTTTGGGTGGAAAGTGTTGCTAAAGAACCCGATTGTTTCCTAAATCTTAATGATCGTCTTTCCACGGCGTTTCTTTGGAAAGGATTTGTTCCTTTTCTATACAAAGGCATTGCGCTGTCGCTGTCGCTTCGATTTAATTTACATATGTAGGGATTTTTTGAAACAGCTGGCGAAAACGTTTGTGATCTTTTGATATGTCTTTCATCTATCCCGGATGCGTTAATTTTCATCTGTTTTGCGTGTTCGGGATAAAAAGCGCACTCGGTGTTAGTTTGTTTATCTAAATATTTTTCTTTTTCTTCGTCACAATCTTCAACAACAACTTCTAAAGGATCATTTGGGCGAAATTCAACCGTTATTCCTTCTTCCTCCTCTTCATTTTCATCTTCTTCTTCCTCCTCATCAGAATCATCATCTTCGTAATCGAAAAGGTTTGGATTTAAATCTGGGAGGAGAAGATCTTTTTGGAAACCTGCACAATCTTGATTTCTCGTTAACGTTGACGTTTGAGATGAAATTATAGTTGAGTCATCTGAACTTTCTTCTTTGGTGCCGAATTGTTGATGATGCGTTGAATGGTATTTATAAGTTAAGTCAGGTTCTGGTCGCGAAAGATCTTCCGATTCAGGTTTTATATCTTCGTTTGGCGTTTCCATGAAATGGAGACCGAGAATGTTGTACCACTTCGATGATGGACTTTGCGGGTTGAAATCTGCTAAACTAACTTGGGCACAACCAATACATTTTTCTTGTTGACCACCGATTCGGCCCCAAACGTTCATTTGCAAAGTTTTTGTGTAAATTTTATTCGCTGCTATTGTAAAATTAAAAACATCCCCGAAAATGGGTTTTCTTAAATCTCGCACTGATCTCGTACAACAAACCGATGTCGAACAAGGTGCTGAAGGCAACAAAGCTATTTTAATATACACTTCTGAATCGTCAGCGATCAGTAACGCTGCTAGATTTCTTCCTCTTTCTATACAAATACTCAATGTTGATTCAGCGGTTGTATACTTAACTTTAATTTGAACTTGTGCTGTATCGGAATCATCTCCGCCGAATAATCCGGATAATCTTTTACGATTCGAAGCTTCAAAAACACCTGAATCACCAGCAACCGATTCATCGCTAACAGCGGCGGAAACTGATCGGGTGTTTGTTCCGGATGACGATGTTCTTGAAAGAGTTGCTCCTTGAAGTCCTTCATCTTGATCGAGAGTTGGCGGGGGTGTTTCAGAAATTGGGGAAAGTTGAGGATCACCAGAACTTTCGTACGATAATCTAGACGGCCTTCCTAAGCCACTACCTTGAGACATATTACTGATATTACCACCTTCTAAAAGGTCTGTAAATGGGGTTAATGACGAAATAATTGGAAGTCGCGATGGGAATAAATTTTGATGGAATTCCGATTCTTTACGATCTCTTTCGATTTGTTCGTAGGATGGTGGCGGTATCATACACGGTAAATTTTCGTACATGGGTGAGACGGGTGGTGAAACTGATGATAAAGAACTTCTCGGCGATAAAGATGGTTGTGATCGACCTGGAGATGGTGTGTTAACTTGCGACGAGTCGTTTCCTTTTAATAAACGTTCGACTCTTCGATGTAAATCGGCCATATCAACCGGTTTATCCATGTTAACCGCCATACATTGAGGACCACCGTAAATATCCGTAAAACTCAAACCGGAACTTAACGATCCTTTGCTACTGGTTGTAGACAACGATCCAAGACTAGAACTACTACTAACCGATAACGTACTCGCCGATAACGTTTTTAATTGTGACTCTAATTGCGTCATAGCTCTTAAAGCATCTCTTAATTGTTGTAATAATAATTGTTTTTCTTCGTGTAATCTTAATCTATCAGCGATTGCCCTGTTACTAATTTCAATCGCTTTGTTAAGATCTTCTTCTAATCTTTTACACTCTAATTGGATATCACACATTTCTTCTTTCGATCTAGTTCTTGGTGTTATGCTTCTTAATTCTCTTAGTAGTTGTTCTTTTTCTTGAAATAATAATAAACGATCTTTATCGGATTCTTCTTGTCCCGGTTGTACTTTCTCCTCCAAATCGGCTAATTTTTGTTGAATCATTTGCACCTTTTTCCTCGCCTCATCATATTCCAATCGCATCTTTGCCATTTCCGCTAATCTTGTTCCTATCGGTAATAATTCACAGGATAAATCCGTTTGTGAGGCGGTACTTAATTTTTCTTGGGGTAAACTTAGCGTTGAAGCGTCGGGCGAACTTTCGCAAAGTTGTAACCTTGTCATTTCATCTTTTAATTTCGCCAAACTTTGCATTAAATCAGCTTTTTCTTTCTCCCCGGACGATAAAGATTTTTGGATGTTTCTTAATTCGTTCATTATCGCTTGAGCTTCCGTTATGCTATAAAACATTCCTTGGTTTCGACTCAATTTTTGACCGACACTCGTTAACGTATCAACCCCTCTTTGTGTGTACGTCACTTCGTTTTTGATTTGTTCCAATTCCGATTTTAATCGAGAAACTCTATTTCTGGCCATTGCCACGTCCGATTTTAGAAGATCCGGATCGTATTTTGTGCTAACGCTACTCGTTGATGAACACACTAAAGATGTTTCAAAAGAGATTTCATTAATTTAATAATTTTTTGATTACTTTAAATAACTTACGGCTTGTTCTAGATGTGGTGAGTGTTGCTAAGGCATTGTTAAGATGATTGTATTCGTCTTCGGCGATGGTGAGCCGTTGGGATTTTACGTTGTAAATGTCTTTTTTGGCCTAAAACAAAAACAAGAATTTAGTAACGTTATTTACCTGGAAAATTAAGGGTCAAAAAAAATTTAAATTATAACTGGATTTATCGACGACCTCGTAAAGGGGGGGCATTTTAAGCAGGACCTCGCGATGGAATCACGTGTTAAAACTTTTTTGTTACAACTTACAAATCCGTAAGGATATCGGGGTGCATAAACAGCGTTTCCTCTCCTATAAGCACCGGGTTCGAGGGGAATCCCCACGTCGGCAACGACGTAAGAAGCGGGAAGAGTGCTGTAAGCCGGTCGCGGATGAACATTTTTCGTTAATTTTTCAACGTCGAAGACACCGGGAAGCGTGTGGACCCGGAGGGCGTAGGCGTCGCTGTCGAGAGGAAGACGAACGTAGCACAAGGGCCACATCCTGTCCCTCTGGAGGGCCGTGTCGTACTGAAGAAGAGCCGAACGCGCGGGCCTCGTGGGGCCCCTCTCGAGTAGCGGCCTTGGAATGTCCTTCGCACCCCGAGGGGCATACGGGGACGAGAGGTTGGGCCCTCGGCCCGGGCCACTTCTCTAATTTCCGTGTGCATTCTTCTTCTTCTGCTTCTTCAACACCGAAAGCAGCTCAAGATATATTTATATTTTTTTATCACGCTCATCGAGATAAAATAAAATTTTTTAAAGAAAGTTGTAACTAAAATTGTGTATGTGCCAATTTTCACGTCATCATCAACGCAAATTTAGTCAGAGATGAGATTTATACAAAGTCGATAACGAAATTTTGTACTTTGAACTGTTTTTGTTAATTATAATTGAGTTAAAAATAGAAATTTGATTTTTTTTTGTATTTATAACAGAAAAAATTATTAATTAGAAATCAAAAATTTTGAACACTTCGTTATTGATATTAATAAATCAATAATTATTAATCGGTTCAAATTCTATTAATTTAGTGTTTTTATTTACAAAGTATATTGATTCAAAACAAATTTTTTTAGTTAGTTTATACCAGATTTAAAGTACTCTGTTATTATAAAAGATTATATCTAACAGATTAGCTATTGAGGATCAACTCATAATCATCTAATTAGATGATGAAATGAAATAAAATTAAATGAAATGAAAAGAAAGAGTTAATATCCTCAACCACGTTGTTTTCGGGGCAGCTGCGCATTCCAGAACGCGGACACAGGCGGAGGAACCGCGACGACGACGACGAAGAAATGGGTAAGGAGTTGTAGGGGAAGCGGGGGTGTATGAGAAGCTTGGTCCGAAGCAAAACAAAAGCGCGGGCCCCAAAACATATAATAACATTCGGCGAACGAAGAACGGACGGATGGACGAACAACCGAGGGGGCCGAGCTGAAGAGACAACGGGACGCTGGAAGAATGCGAGCGAGCGAGCGCCCCGGGAGGGGGCCGCTAATATGCTCTCGCGCGCGGAGTTATGGAATGCGGACCCGTCGTTGTGGGAGAAGAAGAGGCGGTAGCGGCACGCGCGCATTCTACCAAAAAGAATGTGTCATTTCTTGGGAAGATATAAAACGAAAATGTAATTTGTACGGATAAAAGAAAGTTATTTAATTTGAATTTGGTTGTTTGTGCATCTTCACGCAGTCAAATCGTTTATGCCATTGTTATTCATCGGACTTAATTCGTTGTCAACGGCTGGGGGGCCGCGCCCTACCGTACTAAATTCTCCCCATCGCATTCCACACATTCATACCAAGTTCTTTAAAAACCATCCCCTTTAAATCGTCTCAACACCAAAAAATAACACTCAAAACGTATTAAAAATAATTTTTCAACTTTGTTATATGTACTCTTCGCGTGCGTCCTAATATGTTGTTCCTCGGCTGTCTCTTTCCGTAACAACCTGTTGAGGCGAGCGGGACCCCCAGGCTTGGGTAGAAAGAAGGAAGAAGAAGGGGGGAAGAAGGTAAAAGATGATGATGAGGGAAGGAAGGGGGGACCATCGTCGTAAGCGGTGGAATGCGCGTTCGGCGCGCATCGGCGTCGATCGGTGGAATGCAATGCAACGGCGGGCCGCCGCTGGATCGTGCGGCGTAACACAGGTAGCTACTGCAACACAAGGATCCGTCCGATTTTCGCCCTCTCCCCCCCGCGCGAGCAGACCCCTCCGGTTCAGAGTCGGGCATCTGCGCGCGCGATCCAAGGGGGATTCGAAGAGTAACGACAGAAGGACCTCAGATGACAATCCCCATTAATTGTGTGCGCCCAAAGGAAATCTCGCAAAACTCAAAAGCGATTCTTAAAAATCAAAAACGGGCGACGAATGCGAATCCTTGCCTCGCATCGTTTTAGAGGGGCGGGGGCGGCGCGGTGGTACGATCGTTCGAAATTGGCGTCGCGAAGAAAAAGGCGACGCGGGCAACCTCGACATTCCGATGTTGGCACGAGCCGGCCCGCTCCCTCGCCCCTCCCACCCCCTCGGGGGCCCCGACCCGCTGCTGCTCACCGCCGCGTTTTGTTGTTTGTTTGCCCGAACTCTTCCCCTTCTCTCCCTCTCATCATCGTCCTCTCGTAGTTCTCATCTTCGCTTCTACTCTTCGCGCGAAACACCAAACAGCTACCGCTTCTTTAGATTACGAATAATCGTTTATGTATTACAAAAATTTAGACGTCTAAATGACTATTAAGTATTTTATACATAATCATATAAACGTGGTAGATTCTTGATAATTTTTTCTGTTAATCTAAAATTCAGCGAAGTACTTCAATTCAGAATCAGATTCAATGTTCTTCTCCTTTAATGTTTTAAGCTAAAAAATTATTGAAAAAGTTATCAAAGTAAAAATAGTGCTTCGAAGGATTTTCAAGACTATGTTCTTCATTGTAACAGTTGTATCATGTCATACCAATGGGCTACAGAAGACATTATAAGCACTGATATTGTGCTATCAATGCCGACAGATTTGACAGAATCACTACCAGTGATTAATGTTTGATATCAGATTGGATCGAAAATGAAAATTTTCTGGTTCAGGCAGATATTTGCATGTTCACAGATGGATCAAAAACGCCGGAAAGGGTCGGGGCAGAACTATACTGCCAGACACTTCGGATTAAGCAAGCTATAGCCTGGGTACGTACTGTACTGTATTTCAGGCGGAAGTATTTAGGCTATTGATATAGTGCTAAAATCCTTCTTGAGCGAGCGGTGAAGAACATGACAGTGCCATTTTTCTCAGATAATCAAGCCGCTCTCCAGGCGCTGCAAGCCGTGAAAACGGTGTCGGCTCTATTGGTAATGTAATGTAATACTGGAGCTAACGTTAGTACTAGAACTAACACTAAATCTAGAACTAGAAACATTTGGGTTTAACCGCACGTCTCTTAAGACGGCTAAACCCGAATGATTCTAGTTCTAGGTTTAGTGTTAATTCTAATTTTAGTACAATAAAAATATACAATCTTACGTTGAGTACTAACTAAAACTAGAACTAACACTAGACCTAGAACTAGAATGTTTCTATTTCTAGGTCTAGTGTTAGTTCTAGTTTTATTTCAATAAAAATGATTTTGATGTTTTTTGAAAAAGTTTCGATGTACTGCTAAAAAAACTTTCAGGTGTCAAAGTCAACTTTAATTTTATTATTATATTCGTACTCCTTATAAAATAACCGTTAGAATGAGTCCAAACTTGATGCATTTATCTCAAAAAACAAAAAAAAAGTTTGAATAAAAAATATTATACCTGAAGTATAATACAGGGTGCCCATTATGTATGGAATATACTATACCGGATGTGCCTCAGAAGTGGCTCACCCCAATGAGGTACTTGACGATCTCAGATATCTAGATTAATGGTAATGATTAATTTTTAGTAATAAACAATTTTTCCATTTTTCTCAAAAATTTTCTGATGTAAGGATACAAAAATTTTACGCCATCGTAAAGAAAAAAGTAATCTTTATCATTCTGAATTAAAAACAATTGAAGGCAGTCTTATTATGGCAAATAAAATATTAAACAACTTTTGTATAAAATGTTTTTTATAAAGTTGATACCTACCAAGATATATACTATATTCCATACATAATGGGCACCCTGTATATTATGAAATACATAAATATTAATACCAACCTTAATTTTTAAGATTTTTTCTTATATTTTCGATAAATTTTAAATGTATGTATCATGTTTGGATTCATTTTAAAGGATTTTTAATAAAGATTGCAAATATGTCAAATTTGACATTGACTTTTCTAACCGGAAGTTGACCAAATATGCAAACTCACACTAGCATTAGCGTTGTCTTAGAATAACATAGTGAAAAACATAGTCTTAAAACACCAAAGCAACAATTTCCAACACACACAAATACATATGCTTTGGTGCTTTGGATGAATGATAACCAGAAGCAATAAAAATCTTATAAGTTTTTTCTGCACGTCAAAGATACTCAAATTTGTTTCTCAGTTCTTCATATTTGTTCTTGTTTTTGTTCAGCTATAATTACATTTTCATTATCGGGTTCTGTATCTTCCAATATCTTCGCATTTGAAATCATATTTACCATATCCGGAGGAAGTTCAACAATATCATGAAAATTAGGGTAACTCAAAATCATCTTTTAATTCTTGTTGAGTGCATTTTTTTGTAAATTCTTAAAATACCACTGGAAATATGTAAAGCGCCTTTCACACGATCAATATATATTGTCAATAACTAAGTATTGACAATATTATTGAACGTGTGAGGAAAAAGATTGACATATTGTCAATATTAAAAATATTGATGGGGTGGTTTGACGAAAACGAAAATATTCGATATATTGGCAATAAATATTGACAGTCTGAGAGAGATATTGACAATCCTACGTTAGTAGGATAAAATAACCATTAGAATGAGTCCAAACTTGACGCATTTATGTCAAAAAGTTAGAAAAAAAATATTAAACCTGAAGTTCGTAACAATGAAGTTAGCAAAATATAATAAATATATTATGAGATACATAAATATTAATACCAACCTTAATTTTTAAGATTTTTTCTTATATTTTCGTTTTTGTGACAAATTTTAAATATATGTATCATATTTGGATTTATTTTAAAGGATTTTTAATGAAGATGTCAAATTTGAAATTGACTTTTCTAACCGGAAGTTGACCAATATGCAAACTTACACTAGCATTAGCATTGTCTTACAATTTCCAACAAACACAAATACATTTGCTTTGGTATTTTGGATGTATAATAACCAGAAGCAATAAAAATCTTATTGTTGCTCAATTCTTCATATTTGTTCTAGTTTTTGTTCAGCTATAATTACATTTTCATTATCGGGTTCTGTATCTTCTAATATCTTCGCATTTGAAATCATATCTATCATATCCGGAGGAAGTTCATCAATATCATGAAAATTAGGGTAACTCAAAGTCTTCTTTTAGTTCTTGTTAAGTGCATTTTTTTGTGAATTCTTAAAATACTACTGGAAATAATTAAGAAATAATGATTTTAATGAATATAACGTTCTCACGGTGTAATAAGATTATAAATTTGAAAATAAAATGTCTTCATTAGATTTCTTATATGCACTTTCGTAATTGCAAATTAGTTTTTGCTGTGTAATGTGAGAACATTGTAACTAACAACGAATATGTCTTGTAAAGAGATAGGGGGAAAATGTAAAGTGTGTGATTTTTAATTTTTTTCTATAGTATGTATGCTGCTATAGCGCGGCATCGTCCGCGTTCCGTCCCGTACGATCTGATGCATACCCGAGGGGCAGCCATGCGTGATTTGTGAGGCATACGTTGGAATGCGAACATTGTCTGGCCGGGAGGGAGTGGCCGCGGCCGAATAAGGCCCGAAGGACTCGGCAATTTACCGAAACTCCTATCCTGAACTGAACCGACTCTCAAACTCCACTACTCACTCACCTCCAGTACGTACTGGGCGATCTCCAGGTAATCCCGTAACATCGCTTCCTGAATCGCGCGCCATTCCTCCCTTGGATCTTCCAATTGCGTGGTCTCTAAAAAAATAGAAAAAAAAAACATTTTAATTTTCAACAATCTTTGTAAAGCAATAAAGTTGTTATGGTATGTCAGGTTGGTTGCCTAAAGAGTTGGGGAGAATTTGAAAAGGAGAAGCAGCTACAACGTACGGCAAAAGGTGCATAACATTAGAGGAATGCGCCCGAGGCCTTGGCGTTTCTATCTGCGCGAACATAACTTATTAAGAGATGCCTTACGAGTCAATGTCAACCGGGATGAGTGTTTACACGGTGCCTTATTAACTGTAGAGGGCGTGCGCGGCGCTGCGCAGGAATGCGACCTCGCGGCTACAAAACCGCAACCGAGTCGTCCGTTTTTATTGCCCCCGGAGTGTACGCCACGTTTTCGATCGATCATTTACCGTGATACTATAAAAGTTCAACCTAAAAAAATAAAAGCTTCCTTTTATTCCCTATTAAAAAAAAAGAGACAAAAAGAAATCAAAAGTTAATCCCAATTTTGATTTTAACATCACTTTATTATTATTATTTTATTTGATAGTATTAAAGATAGAGATAGTATTCGATTAAAGTTGTGAATGAAACTCGACCCCAACCTAAGAAGAGATTGCGTCGTTGCCGTCGTTAAGCTAGAAGCCGTCGACTCGAAATCCGTTACTATATCCGCAAAACATTTATTATCCCGTAGAACCGAGGCGCGTTGCGCTTAGAAAAACGGTAAGAACGATTGCGGATCCCGCGTTCTCACCAACTCGGCAAGAAGAACTAAATCGCGACCGAGCAAAAAAGACTAATTACGCTAGGCGAATGAGTCCCGAGTATCGAAGCAGACGATGATTAGTACCGAAACCGTGACAAATAAGAAATTACTTCTTTTCATATATTATTAAGGCATTTTCTCAATATAAATATATTTTTAAATCATTATCATCATCCTTTGGAGCGTATAGCCACGCGTTGGAATTTTATCATAAAAGTGTTATCTCTCGTCATGGCAAACATTCATCGATACATACTTTGTAGTATCGATATCGCGCGTTTCTTAATGACATTCCACTGCGGTGACATCACCAGGTGCACCTTCGGACAACGACGACGACGACGACGACGACGCACGCACCACGCTTTATTAAAACCATAGTAGAAAGTGTTTTTAAACAACAATATGCCGGCCGCGTACGCGGAATGACTCTCACCTATACCATATGGCGTTGCAAAATCGTTGTTACATTTTCGCGACAGCGACATGTAAATCTCTACACAAATATTTTTAGTATGTTAGAACGTGTTCTGAATACAACAATGAACGCAAATTTTATTGTTAATATAGTATGGTTGTTGTAACACTTTGAATAATTGGGTATTGTGTGGGATTCTACAAAAACTATTTTCTTAGTATTTAATTATGATGACCAGAAATTAAGCAACAACAAAAAAAAACACCAGAATATAGATTTTGCTTTTTTAAAAAACTGTTCTGTTTATATATGCAGAAAGAAGAATAAGGAGCTGCATGTAAAGAATCTGAAACGAACTATGAACCTTTTCTGCTGCTATACCAGAATTTGGCAGCAACTGACGTTTCTACTAAGATAAGGAGTCAAACAGATAGCTTACAAATTATGTTTCTGGATTTTATGTAATTCCAATTTTTGCTTCCAACACATGATTCACCAACCACAGTGTGGCAATGCTTAAAATTTGTCAAAGTAAAGCAAAGTTGGACAGTTTTGTGGCTATTAACACAGTGCTATACTAATTACGCCCTCCTCAAGAGTGGCTACGCTAATATGTATTCCAAATGCTCCCAGTAACGTTTAATACGTCCCAACATCTATCTCTCAATACTTTACGTTGATACCGGTTTTTAGATGCATCCGAAACCAGCACATCCAATGAGGCTGACATCAGCCTCTGAAGGTTCAAAAAGTGCCCCAAATAGCTGTTATATTATAATATTCTCTAAATAGATTATAAATTTAAAGATTCCAATATGTTCCGAATGTCTGTCAATGCATCTCAATGGTTTACAATTATTAGGGTTGTCTCAATTGATATCTTATATATTTATTAGCTCCCAAATACTTCCGTGGCGTTTAAGACATTTCAAAGTCTTCCACTATTAAATCTGAACACCTTTCGTCATTATTAATGTCAGTTGCTCCCAAAACCTTTCGCGTTTAAAATAGTCTTTCTCTGTATAAACAATGTGACTCTGAAAAGTTTTCAATAGCAAGTGATAAGTTGGTACTATTGAATTGCTACAGTTTTAAAAGTCCCAGTTGCTCCAAATATCACCATCATTTGGTTCCATTATACTGTAATGTTTCCCACTCACCTCGGATAGTATCAATGAGGAGGGAGTGCTCGAAATATCTTTTGCTCATAATGCTATAATATAAGATAATATATATAATATAATGCTATAATTATAATTTGTCTCCAGAGGATTACTATACATAAATAGTATTAATAGTAATAACAATAGCAATAACCCCTTTCTCCAGCCTCCCCCGGCTTACTCTTCGTTTCCTCGCTGCCACCAACTCCGCCAATCTATTTACTTCCGCCGCCATCTCCCCCAGCATCTGTCTCCAGTCCATCACCTCCTCCCTCAACTCACTACACACCACCAGAAAGTGTAAAGAGTCCCTGCCCGTCCAATATCTATTCTATCGATAGGGTTATACCTTTTCCTTATCTCCGTTCTTTTCTCATGCATTCCCGCATCCCTATCCCTGCCCTCCAGTTGTCTCCACATCTTAATCCCCTCCTCCCTCTCTTTTCCTGTCCACCTGTTCCGTTAAATACCTCACCGTTCTGAACTATTCCTCCCTTTCTCGCTGCCCACAACGACTCATTCGTACTTTAATCTCTCTGCGACACTCCCCCAAGATGTTACAACCCAACCCAACCTTCATTTCTTCTCCTTGGATTATATACCCCGGCGTCTCATCCTCTAACAGCCCTTGCTCCCCGCATCCCTATATCTCCATCCCATACATCATAACGCTTTTTATCAAGCTCTCAAACATTATTCTCCTTTTTCCCACATCTCTCACTTTCACTGCCATCATTAAATCATTTTTGTATATTGTACATTTTTAATACAGGGTCCGGCAAAATGATCTCCCACATTTTGCAACACCACTGTGCTCGTATCACTGAAGAGAGGGAGAGTTTAGCGTATTTGGTTGGTAGCTCACGCCTTGCCATTTCAGTTGTCGTCATGAATTCGACGTGCCTTCATTATCGAAACATTTATGAAAAGTAACGAATCTGTAATTACAAGGCAAAGAACTTTTCGTACTCACTTCGTGCTTCGTAGACATGATCCGGGTCCAGATCACAAAAAGAAAATCAACTGGTAGACTCAGAAGTGCTCTGACACCTGAAAATGTTGCAGCTGTAAGAGAAGCGGTTGAACGATCTCCTACCCGTCCATCTGCTAAACATGCCTCTGCTTTGCGTTTGACAGATCGTTCTGTGAGAAGCATTTTACACGCCGATCTGAAACTCCACCCATACAAAATGATGATTGTGCAAGAACTTAGTGAATGGGGCTGGAAAAATTGCAGAATATGTGCCAACGATATTCTTCAAAACGTCCCACAAATGCTCTTTTGATAACGAGAGACGAACTTCAATAGAGCAATAGGTCAGCAATTACAGGAATATTCACGAGCAGCAATATGCCAAGAAATTAGAGGAATATCGCCCCAAATTACTGGTCGAGTGATGGAAACTTTCAGAAATCAGCTTCGAATGTGTATCGAAAAAAATGGTCGCCACTTCAATTCTGTAATTTTCAAAAGTTAATAAAAACAAATGGCATAGCATACATTTTCAGTTAATAAATAAAAAGTTTAAATAGCAGTTACAATGCTGTTTTTATAAAATGTGGTAGATCATTTTGCCGGACCCTGTAGTTTGTATTTTAAGTATGTGTACTTCCTTGATTACCTTCCCCTACTATCTCTAATCGTCAGTCCTCCTTCTAACCCCTTTACAAAGTTCCATCATGTTCGTTTTGTATCCGTTCAACTCCAAATTCTTCCCCCCAAAATACCTTTCCAGAGACCGCATCATTACCCCCATCTCATCCACCTCTCTCGCGATCACTACCAAGTCATCGACATACTATCAGTATGTCTTCTATGTCTGCAGTGTATAAAACAAACAAGGCTAGACATTCTAGGACTCTTGTCGTCCAAAACATTTCGTTTAGTTCTTCTCGCACCTTTATTCTTTTGCTTATAAAAATACCCAGTTGCGAATTGATTGCTTCTCAGTATCTTGCGGTGTCCCGAAAATAATTAAGAATGACTCTCAATACATCCCAATATTTTCCACCAACTCCCAATTACACCATAGGATACACAATTACTTCAAATTTGTCTTAATAACTCGTAACCAATAATGAGTAAGAATGGCTCACAATATCTTACTCGCTATTAAGAGGAATAGGATTCTTATTGGTCTCTGTATTTTAGCAATATTCTTAAAGACGCCAGGAAACTAACTTAAATGAACTCCTAAAACGTACTAGGAGCAAATTTCTTTTGGTGGAAATCGTTTGTTTCTAATGAGCAAACAAGTATATAGCCGTAATTGAAAGGATTTGTTTCTTCAATAGATTTACTCTGATTATGACTACGCTAATGCTTTAAAAATTAAGGAAGCGTCAACATAATTCGAGACTCTAATTGGAGGAAAATGCAACATGTAGTATGGATTTCCTTAATTAACATAACCTAGAATCCAATACTTTAGAAATGATCCTTTAAGTTATTATTTTGCAATAATTAAAGCTTACCATTAACATGATTGATATAGTAGTGTCCGATTTGGCCATCGTAGGCTTCCTCCCAGCCAACGGGCAACTCGTTCCCAATGCAATCCGCGAATGTCTGCGGTTTCGTAAACCTGTAACAACGAAAGAAGAACGAAACGTGAAAAATGTGTATAGAGTAGTGTGTAGTAGTTGTGTTTCTTAGCCTCTCCTCTTTTATACCGTTACGACGACGACGACTACGACGAAGTTAATGGGCAGCGGCCGGTGGCGCCACCTATTAGCTCTTGCCGGCGATACCGCCGGGAGCAGGTGAGCCGATCGCGGATTCTTGAGCAAAAGGTCAACATATGCGTGTGCGAATGAATAGTCGACCGAGTTCAACTCTTCGGGTGTTCATGTATTGAAGATGGAAGACGCGTTTTTTAATCGATTTGATGAAATCTGCGCGTGAAGATTTTGATACATTCCTCGACGGTGTTTTTATGTGATAGCAACACCGGAAAACGCCGACATCGAGGTGGTCATAAAAAACGACATTCCGCGGTTGGGACCGATTTTCACTTGGTGAAAATTGAGTTAGATATATAAAAATAACTTTTGATGATTCCTATTAAAAATATTTTTGGTTGTAATTTCGTAAATGGTTTGATAGGCAATTTTTTATTTGAAATTGCTCAATTGGTGTGAGTAACAGGAAATCTGTCGATGCAGGCGCGATTTTGGAGTCGTTATTCGGTTTATAAACAGTAATCGAAACCGTTTAATTGCGAATTTCTCTCCGTACCAACGTGAGTCACGTAGTTTACCACGTTCCTAAACACGAATTCGATTCTATAGAAAATAAATAACAAAATAAAAAATGATTAGGTTTTCGATTGAAAGGGAATTTGAAAATATTTATTGCTTATCACACCCCTGTGAGTCAGAGTTAATTTTTCAATCATTTAATTCAACTGAATCGTTTATCAGTAACCCGAATAGAACGCAAATCTGGGACTCGTTTTTTTTCCTTTTTGATACGCCTTGATAAGAATGGAATGCATGATAGTGCTCCCGCCGAATAATCAGTTATTGACATTACCCGACTTGGTTATATCGTTTGGTTATAAATAAATTGTTTTGGATTTGTATTTTTTTATTTTTCGTTATCGACGCAAAATTGACGTAAAACCCTTTTTAGCAGTGTAACTAAAAATATCAAAGATATATCAAACGTAAGAAATATTTCTTATCCTTTCTCATACGATTGACGTAACATATTTTGATAAAACAAACTGAATAACATGTTTAGAAAATAAATTTGAAGATTTTTGGTTGCGCATTAAATATATGAATATCTTGTAAGTAATAGAAAACAATAGATGGCGCTAATCAACATCAAAAAGCTATGTATATATTTATTCCAAATTAGTAGCAAAGATTTTTGGCTAAAAGAATGCGATGATATAGAAATCGTTTATAAAAATAAAAATGTTATAGAAGTTGGCTAGAGAATAGAGAAAGATGAGAATTAACCTTGAAATTTTTATTGCAAAACTTGGAATGCGCCTAAAAATAGTGCGTTTTGTGTCGGTTAACTCGAACGACGACCACGAAAACAAAAACCTCGATAGGTTAAGGTTACTTAAGTATACCAATTTTCTTCCTTATAATTTAATAAATTCCAAGCTTTTGAGTATTTTACGAAATCTTATCGTGCCACTTAAAGATAATAATTTTTGTAAAAGAATCAACCTTACGAAATAGTTTATATTAAATATTAGAACCAAAACTAGGAAACCACGTTAGAAAGTATACGAGACTCGTTTAAATCTACCCACAACTCTGTTCTTATATAACTAATTAATCGTTGTCACGTAATAAATAAATTAGCAAATACATAATAAAAAGTATGTAAACATAGAAAACTGATTTAATGCAATCAAATTTTTCGACACTTCCTGTGTCATCATCTTCTGTGTGTATCTCCGAAGGAATTTCGAATGGTCAAATACGCTGATGATCCAAAAGAGGGGGTCCCCCGCAAGACAAGAAGACGCGAGTGAGAGAGTCTATTTTTATCCGGACTGAGAGCCACTCGTGCACTTGTTGGGTTTCCAATTTTAGAAGCCGAATTCCGCCCGTCCGTCGTCGACCGGTCGCCCCGCTGTCCCCGGATCCGGCCCATTCAAGCGGATGGTGCGGAGACCCGCGGGTCCAGGGGGCCTCGGGCACATTCCGGGCGTATTTTCGTTTTTGGCCCATAAGGCAATAGCGAGCGGCGCATTCTCCGCATAGCGACCCACGCGACGATTTATTTTCGGGATCGCGATTGTAAAAATATCTTTCTGGATTCTCAATACTTCCTTCGTCTTGTTTAGATCGATAGATGAAAACAAATTTTTCCTTTTTTGAAAAGTAATTTAATATTCTTAACAATTTTGAGCATGTCTAACGATTTTTATTATTATTTATTAAATTAATTATTAATCTTCATCAAAATCCATTTAATTTGATACCAAACACGACATATTTTAAACAAAAACTAAACGTTGGAAATAGAGTTTATCTCGAAAAATTGAGATACTCGTCCTAACTAAATATCAAGTTAATAACTTTATTCGTTAGGAACTCTTTAATTTAATACCAAACACGACCTATTTGCCACAAGAATTTTAAATATTTCGGATTTTTAGAGATTTATCTCGAAAATTAAGATACTTACTATGATTTTTAACGTTTAAATCAACTTTCTTCACGCCATGTTAATACAGCGGCTTGATATATTGGAGCCCTAACCCAACTCCACGCGATTAGAAGAACTAAAACATTGGAGATAGAGTTTATCTCGAAAATTGAGATATCTCATCTTAATTGAATATCAAGCTAGTAACTATATGGCTAAGAATTCTTTAATTTAATACTACACACGATCTATTTGCAACAAAAAAAAATAAATATTTAGATTGAGATTTATCTCGAAAATTAAGATACCTACTAAGATATTTAACGTTTAAACTAACTCTCTTCACGCCATGTTAATACATGTGCTTGATATACGCGAACCCAACCCAACCTCGCGCGATTAGAATAACTAAAACAATGGAGACAGGGATTATCTCAAAAAATTGAGATATCTCATCCTAATTGAATACCAAGCTCGTAAGTTTATGGTTAGCAATTCTTTAATTTAATACCAAAAACGATCTATTTGCCACAAAAATTTTAAATACTTAAATGAGATTTCTAGAGATACATCTCGAAAATTAAGATACCTACTACGAGATTAAACGTTAAATTAACTCTCCTCACACCATGTTAATATATGGGTTTGATATATTCGTGTGCCAACCTAACCCCATGCGATTAGAAGAACTAAAACATTGGAGATACAATTTATCTCGAAAATTGAGATATCTGATCCTAATTACACATCAAGTTAATAACATAATTGTTAGGAATCCATTAATTTAATCCCAAACACGACCTATTTGCCACAAAATTTTAAATAATTGGGACTTTTAGAGATATATCTCAAAAATTAAGATACTTACTATAATATTTAATGTTTAAATTAACTCTCTTCACGCTATGTTAATATATGTGCTTGATATATTCGAGCCTCAACCCAACCCCACGCGATTAGAAGAATTAAAACATTAGAGATGGAATTAATCTCGAAAAATTGAGATATCTCCTTATAACTGAAGCTAATAATCCATAAATAACCATCCTAAGTAATCCTAAATAAGACTAAATCATCCTAAATAACCTAATAACTTTATTATATTTGCCACAAAAAAATTAAATTTTTTATTAAAAAAACTAAAACATCGGAGATTTTGAAGTTTATCTCGAAAAATTGAGATATCTCATTCTAACTTACTATCAAGTTAGTCACTTTATTGGTTAGGAACTCTTTAATTTAATCCTAAACACGATTTATATTTATATCTATATTTGGGATTTTTAGAGATATATCTCGAAATTAAGATATCTACTATGATGTATAACGTTTAAACCATCTCTTCACGCCTTTTAATACATCGGCTTAATATACTCAAGTCCCAACCCAACCTCGCACGATGAGAAAAAATAAAACATTGGAGATGGAGTTTATCTCGAAAAATTGAGATATCTCGTCCTAACTGAATATGAACTAACTTTATTGGTTAGTTATACTAACATTATTGGTTAAGAACACTTTAATTTAATACCAAATATAATCTATTTGTCACAAAAAATTGAAATATTGGAGATTTTTAGAGATATGTCTCAAAAATTAAGATCCATACTAACAATAAGATATTTAACGTTTAATTATTTTCTTTTTACCTTTCGATAAATGTGGTGAAAACGATGTATTAAAAAGATTTTTTTTTAATATCTCAATTTCTATCTTTAATCTTTATCTCTAATTTTTTTTTTATCGAAACCATATCGTGTTTGATATCAAATTTTAGGATTTTTAATCGCGATGACTATGGTGTATAGGAACCTATGTTTAAAGCACGTTTCCTCATGTCATGTTAATACATGGGCTTGATATACTCGTGACCTAACACAATTAGTTAAGGGTTTATGAAAAGCTGTAAAATTTTTTTTTTGTTTCAAATAGTTTATCGTCGCCGCATAAGAAATTTGAACTTGCGAAATTCAAATTTGCCACACCTCGTAAATAATCGCGATCGACGTGGAATGCATAAACACCTGTCGCGGTCAAATAAACAAAACCTGAGAACGAAACGCCGTTTTCTATAAACCGAAACGAAACCGTGTGGCCCCCTCGATTTATAAAACTATTCCAAGAATTTACGACAAAATGCATACTCTCGCTTTAAATATCTATGGGAAAGAGATAAACTTTTTAATCGGACGACCACGTTTCCGGGAAACTTGTGTAACAAGCGCCACCGATATCTTTTTTTATTCCTTTTTGTGCTATTTAACCGTATTATTTTTGTGTCATTTATTTATTAGTGTATTATTTGGTGTGTTCGCGATAAAGAGCAATTATCCGGAATGACGAGTACGACGGGAAAACTACGTCGAGTGGTCCGTGGAAAAATCGTACGCCCCTTAATTAAGGCGCGTTCCCACGGACGAGCGCAGAGAGGAGACTGTAAATCGTGCACGCATAGGTGAACGCGAG